GGTCCGGTATCTTCTGCCCGACGGCCAGGAGATCTCTCTGGGCCAGGAGAGATACCTCTGTTCTGAGATGTTCTTCAAGCCCTCCCTCATCAAGTCCATGCAGCTGGGCCTCCACACCCAGACAGTGTCTTGCCTCAACAAGTGTGACGTGGCCCTCAAGCGGGACCTCATGGGGAACATCCTGCTCTGTGGGGGCAGCACAATGCTCACCGGCTTCCCCAACCGTCTGCAGAAGGAGCTGAGCAGCATGTGTCCCAACGACGTGCCGCAGATCAGCGTCTTGCCCGAGAGAGACTCCGCTGTGTGGACCGGAGGTTCCATCCTGGCCTCGCTTCAGGGCTTCCAGCCCCTGTGGGTCCACCGCTTTGAGTATGAGGAGCATGGACCTTTCTTCCTCTACAGGAAGTGCTTCTAAATGCAGGTACCATGATAGTGGCCAGCCAGCAGCTGTGCCGGATGAGGAACAGGCGTCACAGAGAGTACTGGGCCAGCATATCCATTCCTGTACTATTAAACACACCTCATGTTCCCCTCCATGCTCAGGTGTTTTTCCTGACTGAACAAGTTCACACACGCAGATGCACGTGCTAAAAGAAAGTGGAGGCAGGGGGCTGGGGACAAAAAAAAATTACATTATAGGTTGACTGCTTATATGTTCGTGGGAGAAATTAACTCTTAAAGTGGCTGTCCTTTTATGCTGAGGATTCCCATTTCACAAATAACTTGTTAAAATCTGTTTGGAGGTCTGGGAGACAATAGTGGTTATCATGGGACTTGACCCAGGTTCGATCCCTGGTGGCGTCCCAAGCATCCCCAGAGGTGGGCCTGGACGCCCCTGAGCACTGCAGGGTGAAGGTAGTACCATACTCTCAGTCCCGAGTACTGAATCACCAACTGGTGAGGCAAATACTGCCAGAAGGTCACCCCCCCCCCCCAAATAAACAAGTCTCCTCAGGGAGAAATACGACAACACACTGGGGACTAAATGTTGTTGGGGTATTTTACATCTCTTCCGGGTAAACCCAGGAGTGATGCAGTGACAGTCTCATCACCTAGAAAGTAGCAGCATCCACATCCTTCAGCAACACTGCAGGCTTGCAAACAATTGGCACCATCATGTCTGATTCTGCTTGGACCAATCTTTCTCTGAGTTCCAGAAGCCACCACCCAATACCGGCTCTTGGGCAAGCCTTCAGTGTCTGTCTGCTGACCTGGCCTTTTGCTTTACCCTGAAGGTCTGGGAGCAGCAGGGTTGGGTATATTGGGCTTGAGGGCTGTATGCCGCATTCATCTCAATATCTGCCCAAACTACTCTACTGAAAACACTTCATGGACATTCACTGATGGAAGGGCTCAAGGATAACTTATTATCACTTAGATCTCTTTGGCAAAGTGCTAAAGCCTATGGACAAGAGTATTTAAAAATACATCGATTACAAACAAAACTGGTTACACAAAAATATACCATACAAGGGAGCACCAAATAAAGGGTGTCTGGAGGATCCTCCAAGGAGGGGAGATGCATGTCGAAAGTAGACTATGGACTGAACATGTTTGCCACTCAATGCCTCTTTTGCAGACCACAACACCCAATAGGAGAGAGAGAACAAAAGGGAATGCCCTGCCACAGAGGCAGGGTGGGATTGGAGGATGGGGGTGGGAGGGATACTGGGATCCATGGTGGTGGAAAATGGGCACTGGTGGAGGGATGGGTATTTGATCATTGTATAACCAAAACCTAAGCACAAAAATTTGTAAATCTACAACTGTACCTCATGGTGTTTCACTATTAAAAAAATACATATATATATATGTGTATATATATATATATATATATATATATATATATATATATATACACCATACAGATCTAATAGGGATCCCAAATCAAGAACCTACACAAAAGGTAAAGATCTTGATAAAGGGTAGCTAGTGTGGGAGGGTGGAAATTTTTGTAGGCTGGAACATTCCAGGCTATCCCAGGCCAACATTATTCTGAATTCTAAAATGAAAAACTAAAAGACTGAATAACTGCCAATTTCTTCAAAGCCCTTAATTATCTATTACCCATATAGAAAAAGAGAAACCTCTTCTCCCAGGATGAATAGTTTTAGTATGTGTAAGTCAACTTAGACGAGCAATTTTTTTTTTTTCAGACCCCACTCCCTTTATCACTCCCATCCCCATCTACACCCTTAGCCCAATGATTTTCAAGTGAGGGCAATTTTATAGCCCAGAGGAAACTGATCTGAAAGGATTTCTGGTTATCATAACAGGAATATGATCAATAAATATTGGCACTAGAGGGGTGAGGCTAGGGACACTATGAAACAACCTATAGGACAGCACCCCGAAACAATGAATGACATACCCACAATATCAAGGGTGCCATTAAAGTTAAGAAAACCAACTACTTAGCTCAATGGCACATACTGGAGGAAGCAAGTGACATTACATGGTTATGTCCAAGGACACTAAGATGGGTAGGTCCATGGTCTGTTCTTTCCAATATACTAAGATCTGGGTTCAGGAGCAATAGTACAGTGGCAATAGTACAGGGCATTTGATTTACATGTGACCAGGGTTCAATTCCTGGCACCCCATATGGGGTCCAGGCCCACCAGGAGCGATCCCTGAGCGCAGAGCCAGGAATAAGTTCTAAGCACTGCCAGGCCAAAACCAAAACAAAACAAAGCTCCCCTTCCCACCGGGATATAGTAAGGTCTGCTGTCTTCCTACAACTTCAGTCATACAGGGTAGTGGCAGAGAAGCCCAGTGAACAAACAGGAACGGAGCATAAAGCACAGAGCGAGAGTACAAGATCAGGGGTGGTCAATGTCACATGAGCTCTGGCATCTTGTTCCTTCTGGTTGGCTTCTGGGATGCTCACTCCTACCCCAGGTAGTAGTAAGTGTGACTGATATGGAAGGACAAACCAAGACTTTCACAGGCCCACAAATTTGTGCGTACTGTGGAGCTAGGCAGTGAAAATAAATAGGCAGCAGTGTTAAAAAGGTAACGGTGCTTCTCATAGAATTGAGCTTCTATTCAATTCCTGTGAGTGCCCTCTCAGTGTCCGTCTCTAGTTGCCATGCGAAATTCAACATGAGAACCAACAAAGGAATGTGGTTTTTATTGTATCATGAGCTTTGTTCTTATCACAACCTAAATACTGAGCAAGTTGTATTTCCGGAATATGACACACTTCATCCCAAATTACACATTCATGTCTTAGAAATGTTTTCTTTTTCCCATACAGTGCAGTTTCCCCACACTCAATTTCTTTCTTAATTTACCTTCAGCCTGCAAGATTCCTGCCTACTTCTCCAAATGAACAAAAATTCCAACCTGCTCAGATGAGACAGTAATGATACTATTTACAAATCTGCTGGTGCTGTGCTGCTGCAATAAATTATTTTAAGAAAACGAAACATTCACGAAGTCACAATACTATCAATGACACATGGATTTCTATTTCCAATCCACCTGCATGAGCCCCTTGACTATCATACATTTCAGAAGTACTGCAAAATATTAAAATCTTGGGGGTTGGAGAGGGGGTTGTATAAAGGGTAGGACACTTGAATGCATTCAGCTGACCCAGCTTCAATACCTGGAGCCCCATGGATTCCCTGATCACTTCCAGGAATGATCCCTGAGTATAAGCACTTAGTACCACCAAGTGTGGCACAGAAACAAAAAAAAAAATTTTTTTTAAATCTCATACAAGTTATCATGTTCGTTTACCCATGACAGAAGGGAAATACAACGCAATATAAGACTTCAATGTGGATACAAATATAGCAAATTCATTATGAATGTCAATCAAAAAGTGGAGTTTTAAAGAGCAGAATCTATCACTTTCTCCTCGAACTTTTTGGTATGCTGTTTTTGGGTCACACCCAGTGGTATTCAGGGGTCTGGCAGTGCTATGCTGGGGATCAAACCTGAACATTCTGCAAGCAAAGCATGAGCTTAGTCCATTAAGCTATCTCTCTGGCCTTCTATTATATTATTATTATTTTTGAAGTAAAACCACATTTTATTTGGAAGTTCTGAGGAGAGAGGGGGAGGAAAAAAAAAGAATAATGCACTCAGGAGAGAACATGGGCTTCTCCAGAGTGGAGAGAGAACCCCAGAACATATCCCAACACTAAAATATGAGCGTATGAAAGTACAAATCTCGAGGGGAGATGCGGGCAACACATGCTTGGACACCACATGCACTGGGCAGCAACGCACGGCTACAGGCAGCACATGGGCGTGGCCCACTACTGAATTATTTCTGACATACAAAAAAACCCTAAATGACATAACGAACACACTTAGATTCCTATACTTTATATAGTTAAAATTTTGCTATATTAGGGAAGAACTTCTTAGCACTTTCTGCTGGCTGGGGATTTGGCTCAGCAGAAAAACACTTGCCCTGCAAAAGTAAGGTCCTGGGATTTAATCCCCAGCACTGCCACCATTCCCTCAGTATACTAATGAAGATTGGTTCTGGTAATTGAAACATGAAAGAAATTTTTTGATTTACCCAAGATTCAGCCATGATACTTGCTTTTAATTTTTTTTTTCTTTTTGGATCACACCCGGCGATGCGCAGGGGTTACTTCTGGCTTTAAACTCAGGAATTACTCTTGGCAGTGCTCAAGGGACCATATGGGATGCTGGGAATTGAACGCGGGTTGGCCATGTGCAAGGCAAATGCCCTATCCACTGTACTATCTCTCCAGCCCAAACTTGTCTTTAATTTTTTTTTTTTCTTTTTGGGTCACACCCGGCGATGCACAGGGGTTACTCCTGGCTTTGCATTCAGGAATTATTCCTGGTGGTGCTCAGGGGACTGCCATGATATCTGTTAAAACAACTTTTTAGACTCATCAGAGAAAAATTTTCATTTCTTCCAGAGGAAATAACTGAAAGACAGAGGTCAGGTCCAGCACCAAAAAAAAGAAAGGGGAAAAAAAAAAAGGAAAGGAAAAAGAAAAAGGAAATAGAAAAAAGGAAAAAAAAAAGCTTATAAACATTTCGGAGGCAGTACTCTGGAGGAAAGAGGCTAGTGATTGTCCCTCTCACACAGCATGATGTCCAAGCTTCCACAACAAATGTGCTGGTGGCGTTTCCAAGAGTCTCACCTATTCCTGCCACCACTCCAGCACGTGACTCACAGGCAGGAGAGACAGTCCCCAGGGACACTGCAAGGACAGGAGGCTCGAGACCATTACAATGGAAGCTCACGACCCGGCTCACTCTGACAAGTAACTGCCACAAGCACTGGGAACCTTCAAAGAGATCCGTCGCTCCTTCCTCAGCTCGAGGGGAAGGAGGCAGCGAAGTTGACTGAGCACGACCAAATGTCCGTAACGTGACAGCCACGCTGTTTCCACGGAAGACTCTCCTCTAGAAACATAAAACAACTGACAAACACCATTTGACTTGGCTTCACATTTTTGAGGTAGACAGCACGAAACACTATTCCCAAGGCACAGAGGCACGGATGAAGACAACGACTATTCTACAGCCCCAACATGAATCAGGCCCGGAGCTGGGGATACAATCTGAGATGCTGATGACAACACCAGAGACAGGCAGGCTCTCAAGCAGCGTGAATCCAAACATTTAAAAAATAACAAGTAACTCTTGTGAAATGCTCTACTGGCTAAAGTTTCCCATTCTGGCGGTTAAGATTATGGGCAAGATAAAGATCGAAAAGCTGCTTGGGTCCTGGTGGCGTGGGGCAGAGCTGCGCTGGGAGGCATGATCGGCTGATGAGGGAGCCTGGGAGGGAGCCGGTCTTCTTGGGCCAGGGCCCACCTCACGCCATCCATCACTCCAGAAGGCTCAGTTTCCACGGGGTCTTTGTGTTGATCTTTGGTGGTATCAAAAGCTCAGAATCTGAAAGAAAGGGAAATCGGGAGAGACACGCTGTAGCTCGAAGGACCTGAGGTGACCCAGTTGCAAGGCTTCCCCACCCCAGCGAGTCTGTGCTCAGAGCAAGCCCAGAGGCAACGCAGGACAACTCCAGGGAAGAAGCAACTCTGAATGGAAGAAGATTCTATTAATGGAGGGGTGGCGGTGGTGGGTACAAGGCCACAGACATTGACTGAGTCTCACCAAAATGTATACCCAAGATCCATGCTTTCTACTTCAATAGGGAATGTAGCCAATTACAAGAGTTAAAAAAAAAAAAGTGCCAGCATACATCCAGTTGACAGAAAATAGTTATGATACCAAAATTCCAAATACAGTGATTTCCCCACCCTCCACCACCAAAATAAAAGTCCCCACCTTAAGATAAAGAAAAAAAAAAAGAAGAAGAAATGGAGGGACACATGGTTGAGAGAAAATTCTGTCATAAAACTAAAGCAGTTTTACCTAAAACCCCCAGGTCTTCCTCCAGTTAGATTTGTAGAGTCTATTTTCCAAGCAGTAATCACACAGAGGAAGCAAAAGGAAGGGCAACGTGGGGTGGGGTTTGAATGCCAGTCACAGAGCAAGACCCCTGACCGCTAAGCCATCTTCCCAGGTCTATGGTTTGTAACTTTTAAACTGGAGATGGACATGGAACCTAACTGAGAAACATCTCTTTCCCAACTAGTATTTTAAATGATTAAAGGGAAATGCAGACACCTTTAGTATTCTTTTATGTTTCTTAATATTCTTTGTTGCTTTCAAATTATACTGTTGGTCCTAAAGATGACTGAAAAGATCCAGCTCTTAAGAATCCATGAGTGAATCTGCTGAAAATCCCACGTATGCAGGACGTGAAATCTCCAGGCTTACCCAGCGTCAGGAATGGGTGACCTTCTCCCTTTCTCCCTGTGCTTCCAGAAGCTGGCAGTCATGCCCGCTGGCACAAACTGCCTCTGGCACATTTAAACTCATTAACATTAATGGCCATGACCTAGAGACTCACAAATAAACCTCGGAAGACAAAGACAGCAACATGCCACACAGATGCCTCTGGACCCCAAAGTCACCATCCATTTAAAAATTTAATTCCGCTGTATCACTCTATTTAAAATCTTAGAATTCCTGGAGCGACATCTCCTACTCTATACGCTAGCATAATGGCTCCAGGGTGATTCAACAATCTTTACACACTTTCCTCTAAGGAAACGTTTTTGGATCATCTTTAGTGAACTATTCATAAAAGGCAATACAAAGTAAATTATTATGTTCTGCTTTTGGGAGCAGACTTTGGGGATCAGGGTGGAATGATTAAAAATGTGGTGGTGAAATTGGTGTTGGATTATTGAACATAATCATTGTGAACAACTTTATAAAAATAAAATTTAAAAAATAAAAAAGGATTTTTAAAAAAAGAATTAAGACAATATGTAACTGCCAAGATGTAATGTTTGTAAACTGTACAACCCCCAAATATGGGGATTCTGAAAAATCTTTAAGTATAAATGTAAATTAGATAAATGTAAATTAGACTGCAGAATTAAACTTGAACTAGGATGTGTCTGTATGAAAAGAGTGAACAAAAAATTTTGTTACATTTAATGTTATGTTGGATTCCCCAGTCCTCAGGTTCCCAACACTAGAAGCATGAAACTGTTTTTACTAAAGAGAGTCTTAGACTTGCTGGAAAATTGTAGGCAATATCCAACTTTCCTTGTACTGTTGCTGACACAGAGACACGCCTTCTCCTTGCCACTGTAATAATACATGGGGGACAGTACTAACCAAGGGTAGGAGCTGACATTCTCTGTTGTTGATAGGAGGCCATGATACTATTTGCAGTGGAATCAGGACCCAGGACCTAAGAAAAAAAGTAGACTAAATTAAAAAAGATGATTTTACACTCGCACAAATACCCACTACCAAGCAACAAATCACCACCAGCAGTAAAGAATCTAACATCTTTGTACGTAGTGTCAAACAATTTTCTTTTCTTTTTATTCTTTTTTTAATTTAATTTAAATTTTTTTGGTTTGGGGGCCACATCCAGAGATGCTTAGGGGTTATTGCTGGCTTTGCACTCAGAAATTACTCCTGGCAGTACGTAGGGGACCATATGGGATACTACGGGTCAAACAGGGTTGGCCATGTGCAAAGCAAGCCCCTTACCCACTATACTTTCTCTGGCCCCTCTTTGGGATTTTGATTTGTCCATTCTCTAGTTTTAACTCGGACTTATAAATTTCACTTGTAGAAAAAGGGGCTGGAGTGATGACACAGCGCTTGTCTTGCACACAGCCAATCTGAGTTTGATCCTCAGCATCCCGTATGGTCCCCTGATCACCAGCAGGAGTAAAACCTGAGTGCAGAGTCAGGAGTAACCCCTGAGCATCACTGAGTATGGCCCCCAAACAAACAAAAAATCACTTCTAATAGATAGAACAAAAGAATGCTGTGGGAAGAACTCTCACTGAGAGATGCCTAATCCTTGCAAATGACCGAATCTCAACTGAAGGGAGAAAAGAGCAATACTCGACACCACAGAAAATCTGAATAATGAAGACGGCATGAAAATTCCTGGCCTTTTTCTATGGAAACAAATATGGAGCAGAATGCAAATTTGGCACACCAGCTGCCAGTAATGCTATAAGCTACCCAGGGTTAGTCTTGGTGGGCATGTGGCAGACTTCTGAGGACTGCATGCTAGTCCTCAGGGGCAAACACTCAGCAACAATGCCACATGTACCCTGCACTTCCGGGCAAAGTAGCCACACATCATACAGGGCTCTCGTTGCCAAAGCAAAACCACATGACTCCTGATCACTCTCCCTTGAAAGATGTGTGTAGCTGGTGTCTTAGGCATGAATACGCTCTAATTAGAAGCGAGAGGGGCATGCACAGGGTGGCAGTATAAACCATTAGCTTCAGAACCTCTACAGTCTTGACAATAATCACAGTTCTTCTAGTCCATACTGACTAGAATAAATTCAATACCCACTAGAACAAATTCAAGTATTTGTTCTTGGAGTGGAGCGATGCTTTTTCTATCTACCCTTTTATCTAACCCTTAAATAGTTCCCGTGAAGCATACATGATGGACAATGATCTTGGGAATGAACTCAACACCGACATACACAACGCAAGCCATCAACTGCTCATCTCCTGCTGAGCCATATGCCTGACCCATTTTGCATCAACCTTTTGCTTTGTTCGTTTTGTGGCCATACCCAGTGGTGCTCAGGGGTCACTCCCGGTGGTGCTGAGGGGACCCTGCAGACTGGCGACTGGACCCGGGTGTGCTCTAACCCTTTGGGTTACCTCCCAGGCTCTGCATCGACTTTGAAGAGTGTAAGTGAACAAAATGCTCTGTGAAGATGACAAAGACATACAATCATCTCTAAGAACTTACGGGCGTAGCTGAGCTCTGCTTGTGTTGGAGAGTCCAAATTTCTGGCACTGACTTTTCTATCAGTTGCAGAGTACCCTCAAAGGTCTTCTGTAACTCCCTTCCTTGCTCATCAAACTCAAAGAGAAAGAGCATCTTCAAAATATGGTGTATTTCATCTGGAGAAGAAGACATTTGACAGATGGTTAAAATTTGCGTTCCACTTCCATGCTAGATTCCTATCAGTGACTCCCCCCCCCCCCCCCCCCCCCAAAATACGATAGTATTCTAAGACATGCACATCTTTTTTCTTCCCTGAGGTGGAAGTAATCCATCCTATCTACTATGAGAGGAAGAGGGAAGCCTGGGGCCCTGGCAAGAAGCGCTGCCTCCCGTCCTTCACCCTCCCTGCAGCCTGATCACTTGCAACTCAGGAGTGAGGAAGGCAGAAGAGGGAGGCAGGCAGCTGAGAAAGCTGGTCTTGGCAACATGCCCTGAAATAACACTTCCTGCAGAATGTTTGCATCTTCACTCTAGGGGGGAAAACGAAACCTTAACTGTCCACTGAAGTCTCTATGTTGCCTTATTTACATTGATCTGCGGACAAAAATCATCACCAGTGTTGAGAATGTACCTTTCAACTTCTCCATACTTTGAACAACTTCACTCAAGGCCTCCAATAGAGCCAGGTGCTCCAGGGGACTCCCTTCCTTGAGGCTGTGCTTCTTCCGCTCAGCTTTCCGGCGATTCTTTGAAGATCGCCTGAGAGAGAGTAGAGAGACGTACAAGGGTTCAGAACGTAGTGCTGAATAGACAAGAAGGAATGGATTTGCTAGATACCAAGTTTCTAGAAATCTAGAAAATCTACTACCAGTAGAAAAACAATAAAATTCTGTGATGTCTAGTCTGGAACTTCTGATTGCCATCCAAAGTAAGATAAGGTTACATCTGATAAGAGCTGGCAAAATAAACATAAGCACAACTAAACTGAATTCTATACTAAAACATACTTCAAGGCAACAACATAAGACTTAAATCAAGAGACATAAATATACCAGACTGTGATCTGAGTCTCACACAGTGTCTATGAACAGCCTACTCCTCCCTGCCTCAGGAGTCTTTACTATGCAATTTGCTCTTTCACCCCGACTCTTAGAAGTTGAGCTCCTGTTGCTTTTGAGACCGTGGTCTCCCTATACTATACAGATCTTCATTTTAAACTCCTAATGCACAGTGCAGTTAACAATCTTGCTTATTTTCCATACAAGATTAACGCTTATAAAAGTCCTATCCCCATAAACATTTCTGATGACGGGACAGGGAGACAACCGTTCAAGAGACCCAGTGCCTGATCCCACCTGACCCATCACACACTGGACCCAAATGGACCAGACTGTAGGGCCCAAACTACTGTCCTGCCAATGCAGAGCACAGCCAGGAGTGGGCCCAATATCCCAGCACTGCTAGGAATGGTCCCTATGAACAACTTTTATAACACAACACCTAGCATGAGGGCATTCAAATAAAACCCTCTGATCAAATACAGTACATTTAACACTTATTCCAATCCTGATTTGAATAGAAAAAAGTCTTTTGCATGAAATCTTTTTCATCATCTGGGGCTGGAGTGATGGTACAGCTGGCAGGGCATTTGCAAACCTGGGTTCAATCCCTGGCATCCTATATGGTCCCCCAGGCATGCTTGAAGTGATTTCTGAACTCAAAGCCAGGAGTAAGCTCTGAGAACTGTTGGTTGGATGTGGTCCCAGACCAAAAAAAAAAAAAAAAATCTCTTTCATCTTTTAATCTTTCCAGTGTCTACACAGGATAGCCACTTCATATTTAACAAATACAACTAAGTGAATAAAATGTTACGTAAAATGAGTACCTGGTGTTAAGTGTCCCACTGCATCAGGCAAACACAAAGGCCACAAACCACTTCAAAACTGAGTCTAACCTCCTGGATCTCTTCCTGCAGGGTAGAGCCTAGCTCTGCTCCCCATGGCCATGAAGAAGGTGCTCCCAGGGGCTGCCCTGCCCTGGTGGGGAAACCCATGTCCTTGTGTGTACATTCTCCACAGCCTGGGGAATGGTGAACGAAACACAGTACATACGCTGAGATCCGAGAGTTACTGTGGGAGTATTTGCCACTCATGTCACTGGCACTCATAACGCTGCTGGTTTCAGAGAAGAGGTCAGACTCCTGATGCTGGGGCATGTCCTCCCCTGCAAAATGACACCGAATGGAGACTCTGTCTGGAGGGTTGGCAGCCTCCAGTGGGGCAAGTGGACTACCGCTGTTTAGAGTGCCTGGTCCGGTCCGGTCCCGTACCCAGGCTTGCCCAGCACGCACAAGATACAGTCACACACATGGAGAGGATCATGCTGAGTGAAATGAGTCAGATGCAGAGGGACGGATATAGAATGACTGCATTCATTTGTGGGATATTAACAAAAAATAGTATGAGATTAATATCCAGGGACAAGGAACACAGGGGCCAGGAGAACTGGTCAGTGGTTGGAAACTGGTCAGTAATCGGAGGGCAGAGGGCAGTTAGGATAGAGAAGGGACCAAATGACAGTAAAATTGGAAATGATCACAATGGACAAGAACTGAGAGTGTTGAAAGTAGGTAAAGGGACATATATGACAACCTTTCAGTATCTATATTTCAAATCACAGTGCCCAGAGAGAGGGAGGAGAGGGAGAAGGAGAGGGAGAGGGAGAGGGGGAGGGGGAGAGGGGGAGGGATCATAGTGCCCAGAGAGAAGGAGAAGGAGAGGGAAGAGGGTGGGGGAGAGGGAGAGGAAGAGGAAGAGGGAGAGGGGGAGGGAGCGAAGGAGGGAGAGGGAGAGGGAGAAGGAAGAGGGAGAGGAGGAAAAGGAAAGCAGGCTGGGGGTCCGGAGTTGGGGGGTGGTAGGAAGGAAACTGGGGACACTGATGTACACTGGTGGAGGGAAGAGTGTTGGAGACTGTATGACTGAAACCCAATCATAAGCAACTTAGTAATGGTCTATCTCATGGTGATTCAATAAAAAAAAAAAAAAAACCAAAAGAGTCAAACAGGCCTCTTGAGGGGTTTCAGAACCCTTCAACTTCGCCATGGCAGGGGAAGCACTGCCGGGGAACCACAGCCTTACATGCTGAGACAACAGGTTCAGGGCCGGTTGCCCACTGCTGGCACCGTGCAGACACTCACCCAGAGTCACCTGCTGGGCTTGCTCCTTGAGCTCTCGAACCACCAGGAAACGTTTCTTATGACGACTGAATGTGGCCGCCTGAGAATCCAGGAATGCCATGTAATGCTTCTGGGCTGGGGATGCAGACAGAAAAGAAACTGGGCATGGTATTACAGCGAAGCGAAAAATCCTGGGACGGCAGCGAGAAAGCTGGCATTTATGAAGAGAAATGGGTCACTAGGTTCCCCAAGCAAGGTTATTACCAGAATGGAATGACCTACATGCTCAATCTAAAGACGGAGCTTCCAGATCGGGAGAGCTCACCAACATTCTAAAATTCTCTCTGCCACTGGCATTACCGATTACCTGAACAAAGACCTGGTCATCTAAACCGACTGGGCACCCGCAAACAAAAGGAGTGAGCCAAAGGCTGTTAACAAAAGTAGGTGGAAACGTTTCCTCTACATAGGCGTTAGGCCTCTGCAGACGAAGTGTCAAGCAATTTTCTAGGTTCTCACTGATGGAAAAGTCCAAGGGAAGTGTGGATTAGAAGGCATGCATAGGACCAGGAGGGATCCTTCCACGGGGCAGTTAAGACGCCCCCAGGGAATGAATCAAAAGCCCCCTCCGAGGTGGAAACGTGGGTGAAATGTGGTTTTGGAATCCCATATGCACAAAAACTCTATGATGAACAGAGTTCTAAATCATCATGCTTCAAATTATTGGGGAAAAAAAGGCGGCGGGGGGGTGTGCATCCTACCCAATCTGAATTCAAATCAAGGCATGGGAGAGAAGGCAGAGAAAATTATGTGAATACATACTAACATCAGAACAGCCCAACATTATTTACTGAGTAACGGCACAAAAATAAGGCAAAGCATCAAGGCAAGCCCCATGCTCAAAGACACTTATCTGTTCCCTAGGAACTAATAACTTCCTGTGCAAAGTTACGTTGATTTTTAAATAATTTTTTATTTTCAAAAATTAAACCAGGGCTAGAGTTATAGTAAAGCAAGTAGGGCATTTGCTTAGCATGCAGCCAATCCAAGTTTGATCCCCGGCATCCCCTATGGTCCCCCAAGCACCAACAGGAGTGATTCCTGAGTGCAGTCATGAGTCACCCATGAACATCACCAGGTATGACCCAAAAAAGTAAAAAACACAAAAACAAACAAATGAAAAAAGTTAAGCCTACATCATGAAAGCAGCAATAGCACCTACATATATATCCCTTACCCATTTACCAACTGATAACACATTGCTCTAGGTCTGGATTCCTGTTTCTGCAAATACAATCATCTTTTTTGTGAAAAGTCTGAGAATAAATTGAAGATACAAACCTTCATCCCAAAATATTTCATCATCTATCCTTTAAGTAAAAGTAAAGGCCCTCCCGTTGTTCATCCATTTGCTCGAGCGGGCCCAGTAACGTCTCCATTGGAGACTTTGTTGTTACTGTGTTTGGCATATCCAATACATCATGGGTAGCTTGCCAGGCTCTGCCATGCGGGCGAGATACTCTCGGTAGCTTGCCGGGCTCTCCGAGAGGGGCGGAGGAATCAAACTCGGGTTGGCCATGTTGGCTGCGTGCAAGGCAAACGCCCTACCGCTGTGCTATCACTCCAGCCCTTGAAACCGATCCTTTAAGAGTAAAGCTATTATTACTATAACCACAACGCAATTATTTTAATATTTACAGGAAATTTACTAATGATATGACATTATTCTCAAGTGTAAAGCTCACACATTAAAGTTTACCAACTAGTTGGCTCTGTACTCAGGGATCACTCCTGACAGTGCTTAGGGAACCATACTGGATGGCAGGATTCAAACAGAGGCCAGCTGCATGGAAGCATGCACCTTAAGCTGTGTACTCCCTCTGTGTCCCAGTTTAGCATATTAAAACGAATTAAAAGTCATACACAGTGACCGAACATTTTTATGTGGTGTTGGGGATCGAACCCAGAGCCTTACAAATACAAGGCAAGTACAGTAGCACTGAGCTCCGTCCACAAGCCCTAGTAGAGCCACGTGATGACCCCACACATGCTCACAGAGGCTGCTATTCCAGGTGCCCCCATCTCTGTTCTTCCACAAATAAGAAACTTGATCCAAAAATGCAACCCTTACCTTCTAGAACGGAAGGCTTTACATTGGTTTCGATAATGTCCAGTCTGTTATACTTGTACACCTGAAAGGAAATACAGTAATTTTAGGCAGGAATATTTTAAGTTACTGAAGGTCTTTGAAAAGTCACCTCCAACGTACACTAGTTTCCGTAAGAACAGACTTTCTAAATGGCAGCCAACAAAAATCCACCTCATTCCAGTACAAAATAATACTTCATATTTAGAGGACTGATTCCAAACATCATCAAGCATTTATGTAAAGACTCGAGAAATCACTTATCCTTAGAACTGAGAACTTACTTGATTTTATAAGCCTCAGAAACAAGGGAATTCAAGGAACCTTCTCCCCCAATTCCACTCCCCTTATGCCTGCAGCAATTGCAGACACGTTTCTGGGGTTCTCTTACCAGTCTCAAAGCTTCTTCCCAGGCAGCTCCTTCTAGCAGCAAGAGCACTGCTTCTTCGTAGTCCTATTAAGGGACCAGGAAGGAAAGGAACAGGTTAATGGAGCAAGTATGTCAGATGCCGCCTTGACAAAGGACAACGCCAACAGTGCAGCCCCTCTCCACCTTGCCAACCCACTCAGGCTGGAGTACAAGCTCCATCAACGGTGATACAAAAGACAAAGAAGGGTATATGTTCCGGAAATAAACACCCAAACCACATGGTACATGGTGTCTCCCTACAGCTGCATCAAGAGCATCTCTTGGGGTTAGAGATATGGTTCAGAGGCCATGGGTGCCTGTCTTACAGGTGGAAGGTCCAGAGTTTGATCCTTGGCATCTCAAGTGCTCCTAGGCACTACCAGGCATAACTCTGGTCATTCTCAGCGCCACTGGGACAGGTCAGCATCACCCTGGACCCAAGCACTGAACCATCCAATCAACCAGGAATGACCACTGGGCACTGTGAGCACTGAGTCCCCTTGCCAGCTGGACCCCCAACTGTCACTGGAGCATCCTATTAGTCTGTGGCTAAGGGGAGGACATAAGAAGAAGATGATGATGATGAAGATAATGATGATGATGATGATGATGAGGAGGAGGAGGAGGAGGAGGAGGAATTGCTTTTTGGGTCATACCCGGTGATGCTCAGGGGTTATTCTTGGCTGCACTGCACTCAAGAATTATACCGGGTGGTGCTTGAGGGACCATATAGGATGCCTGGGATCAAACCTGGGTCAGCTGTGTGCAAGACAAATGTCTTGCCTGCTGTACTACTGCACCGGGCCCAAGATTGTTATTTTTATAATAAATCCTATAAGCCTACAAAAAATTGGCAATTTCCTTTTATACTTTGTTCAAAACTCGGAACCCAGCAAGCTACCTAAGATAGAAGAGATATTTCCAACAGTGAGAATCGAAGCAAGCAAAATAAGTGTCCAAGTTCAATCCCTTTATTTTAAAACACTCTCTTCTCATTGTTCCTATTTTGGCACGTCAGCGCAAAAAGTCTTACTACCCTGAAAACTGAACTTGGTACTTTTTACAAGCCATATCCATCCATGCCAGTACATTTTATAGGAGAGCTCTTTAGTATTCCACTTCAGAGAATTTAGCGGTATATTTAATTTTGACTTCACAGTCAAGTCAGAGGATGAAAGACTGCAGGGAAAGGCTGTCTCGGGGCTTTGTTATTATTCCTTTCATTTTATGAGCCTAGTGGCAAGTCTGCCCTGCTTACTGTGAGGCTCGAGGAGGGAGGAACTGGGCTTACCTGTGCATACTGTTCTAAAACCGTGGCTGCATCTCTGTGCTTCCTCTGTTCAACCAGCTTTCCTGTAAAAAGAACAAAGACTTTGACCTCCTTGGTGTCTTCTTTTTTATTTTTGCTTTTTGGGTCACACCCGGCGATGCACAGGGGTTACTTCTTGCTCTGTACTCAAGAATTACTCCTGGTGGTGCTCGGGGTGGGGGGCCATATGGGATGCCAGGAATTGAACCCAGGTCAGCCACATGCAAGGCAAACACCCTACCCACTGTGCTATCCTCCAGCAAACCCCCCCAGCTCCCTCCCTCCCCAACCCCTCCCCGCCCCGGTTTCTTAAAAACAACTGAACCAAAATCTGAGCTGAAATGGTTTCTGGTGGTATTGTTTAAATCAAATAGCTCCTGCACATTGTAGATTGAGCTCTCCAGATTGTGTTAACAAAATGTTTTAAAACAGCCTTCATTCATAGTGCTCCCTGATACTGTTCCACAGGATATGAAAAGAAAGCACACAACTGCCACTCTTGGGTTAAGCAAGTTCACGATGCCTCGGTGAGAGCACAGGTAAACATTCTGTTGTTAAAGAACTTCGTTCATGTTTTTGATGTTTCAAACACTGTGAATTTTGTCTGTGTGAAAAATAAGCAGGCACACTATGAAGTGCTATATTACAAGACAACTGAACCCTGTGATGTGAGATCCAGAGAGACAGCACAGAGGCTAAAGCAGTTGCCTTGGGCCAACCCCAGTTGGATCCTTAGCTCTACAAAGGATTCCATAAGCACCTCTAGGACCCCTGAGAACAGTCAGGACTAAATCCTGAACAGCATTAGTAAGGCCTCACCACCTCAATCTGTGTCATGAAAACTGTGTATAATTAAGTTAGCTACGAGAAATGCTTACAAAGACACACCCAAGGAAACTGCCCCAGCCTCTCTCCTTAACCCACTGCTCCTCTAACAGGAAGGCCCTGATGTTCCTCTGGCCGGACACTAGATGGAGGCAGCCGGCTGATATTTGGGTCTATGCATCTTTTTGTTGTTTTGAGGGGATATGATGTTCGGGCAATATCAGGCTGTGCTCAGGACTTACTCCTGACTCTGAACTCAGGGATCACTCCTGGCCCGGGAAACCATATAGATGCAAGGGATCAAACCCTGTTTGGTTGTGTGCCAACTCCTTACCCACTGTACTACTGCTACTGTACCTCTGAGGCATCTCGAAAGCCAAGAATCACTCAGGCCAGCTGCTTCCTCCTAAGTGAATTTTTTATCAGTGCATGTGACCATCTCAAGACAGGCTGTCCTAATTTACATGCGAAATCGTCACACACAAGTCTTTGGGTGAAGTCTCATCTTGGAGACCCCTAGACCACGTTTACCTGCCAGAGTTCTGCTGAGCCCAGCCAGTTGGTCTTCGGTCCAGTTGAGCTGGGAAGCCACACAGAGAGCTTGCTGCCAGCTGCCACAAGCCAGGAAGGCATCCAGCGCTTTCTCGTGGGCACCGCAGCGGGCAAACACGAGCCCTGCTGGCTCTTGGAGACGCTCCTGCAGCAGGTGCTCCCCGTAAGCAATGCTGATGTCCTAGGACAAGACACGCGAGGTCAGGGGGAAAGGCAACAGCCGCTTTCCGTCTCCTTCACCATTTGAGCAGGTCTGTTTAACGATTAGGAAAGTCCTGTGGTCGGTCAGTGCCATTCGTTCACTGCATAGCTGTGTACGCACGCGTGTCGGCAGTGGGAGAGAGAAAGTAATGCAACGGGTCAAAGCAAGCAAGAAAAGACAATGACAGCCAGAATCATGTCAAGCTGCTGCTTTTAAGGCGATAAAGGCCTTACGAACACCACACAGCCTCCAACACAGATCCAAGGAGTGGCAGAGACCACAAGCAATGAGAAAGCATTCGGAGCTGGGAGGAGGGGTCCGGGAAGCAGCTCAGCAACCTAATCTGGGAGCTGGAAGTGGCTCCTGAGCACCTCTGGGGGTGACCCCAAAGCCACAAAACACAAAAACAAGAGTTCAGGGAACAAGCCACATGGGGAATGCGGGGGAGCACACTTTCCAGGCAGGGAGCATGGAAGCCCATGGTGTGTGACAGGAGCGTGCCTGGAGCCCACAGGGCAAACACAGAGAGGCCCACACTGGCACATGCTGCTGCCCAGCTCAGCGTGCGACAGGTCACATACAGTCCCTTCCTGAACGAGCCCACAGTCCGCTGAGGGGTTGTGGGGGAGACAATCGGGAAATTGGGGATTTTGGTATATGTGATCAAGAGAAAAACAGGTGCTAGGGAAGCTCACTCAGCATCACAGGACCAGTTTCCTCGCAGGGGACCAGACAGTGGCGCTGAAGAGGAGGGGAGAGCAGGAAGAGCGCCGGGTCGTCTTCCTTCTAAAGAGGTGGCCGGGGCTAGGCCGGAGAGAAGTGCGTGCAATCCGCCAGGGCAAAGTGTCACGGGGGCAGGTGTGGCGGCCCAGGTGGGCCATGGCTGAAGGCAGTGGCTCTGGGGTTAGTCAGCCCAGGGCCGACATCCCACAAGCCCCTTCCAGCTCAGGGTCCCTAGGCAACTTCTCTTCTCACTTGTGAATTGCACCGCACCCAAGTAAATCACACGCAATGATCTTGCAGTGTCAAGTAAGAAGTGCTCTGTAGGTGTTTGCTTATGAAGACAAACGTCCCCGACTGCTCCTAAAGCAACAGTCAGGCAGCAGCGGGGACGAGTTTAAGGGAGAGCCGGGGGCAGGATGACAGCAAGGCCGCGAGCTGTCGTGGAATTCCTGAAACTTCCAGGTTTCTGGACGAGGCAATTTCCTTACCATCCCTGAACAGGAACAATTCAAGGCCATTTCCCCAGAAAAGCAGCCCAGGAAGAGACTCATTAGTTTAAAGACCCCGCTAGGAAATCAAGAACCGTGTCACGCTCTCAGTGGGAAGGCCCCTTTCTCACAGAGGAACTCGGGGCAGTGCGGTGCCAGATACCTTGTACTGCTGCGAGTCCCGTGGGTACAACTTCAGAGCTTTGTTGTACAGGTTTTTATCTTTTATTAAGTTTAAGCATTCCGGGAAGTGTTCAGGTCCTGGAAAGTGAAATTCAGATAAACATATGAGTTGGGTATATCTTCCAACCCCCCCCCCCCCCCCCCGATTCCACATGGTCCTCCAGAGCACTGCCAGGAGTCAGTGCAAGCACAGAGTAGGGAGTAGCACCCACACACTTCTGGTTGTAGCCCAAATCCCTCCATCTCCCTCCAAAACACCATCAACTTAAGACTTTGGCATCATCACTGATGACCCTTACACCAGTACAAACGAGATAAACAAAACCAATAGACGAGGCAAGATCAACAAAGCTTACAACCTCCATGATGAGAATACCAGCAGGATGAACTCCGGGAACCGGAATTTTAACCGGACCCCTTGGACCCTGTGAGTCACAAGAAGAACTACCCAGAATCAGTCTGGCTTTAAGCCGGCTCTGAACTCCCCTCATCCAATGGCCACAGAACCCAGTGTTTCCCACGCTGGTGGGTGACAAGAATCACCAGGTGAAACAACAAACATACACACATCTCAGTCCACTCCCGACCGGACCCGGTCACTCTCTGAGGAGGCCAGAAGCTTGGCAAGCACGCCTGATGGTGCTTCTTGGCCTGCTGCCACGCAGGGAGAGGAGCCAGGGCAGGCCAAGGATGCGAAAAGCGGACAGAACTACAGACACCATGCGGTGTTGGCTTCCATGCCATCGCTGTTGAGTCCAGACACATCGGTGGGCGCACTGCCAGGGCTGCACTCACTGCCTACAGGATACCCGTTTTCCCTTACGTGTTTGCAACACTGCGACAGGAGAGAATTACCAACCCGTTCTCATTCTGAGTTGATGAAAGGAATGTTAAGGTGATCTCTCAACTCCCCAAAGATCTGCTCTGTTCTCTTAGCTAGGAAAACTCCATCCATATTTTGGGGATTTTTGTCACTTTCAATTTTGGGGTGTGCCCTACCAGGTGATGATCAGGAATTACTCCTGGCTCTGTGTTGAAGCATTACTCTAGGTGGGGTCCAGAGGTTGGATTCCTGGGGTGGCCACATGCAAGGGAAGTGCCCTACCTGCTGTCCTGTCTCTCCAGCCCCCTCCAACAATATATTCAGTCTTTTTTTTTTGCACCCAGATTTTTCACATGATAAAATAAGGTGTACATACAAAATAGTTAATATTTTTAAGAGTTGAAATTAATAGCACAGCGGGTAGGGCATTCGCCTTACAAGCGGCCAACATGGCCGACCCGAGTTCGATTCCTCCGCCCCTCTCGGAGAGCCCGGCAAGCTGCCGAGAGTATCTCGCCCGCACGGCAGAGCCTGGCAAGCTCCCCGTGACGTATTCGATATGCCAGACACAGTAACAACAAAGTCTCCAATGGAGACGTTACTGGGCCCGCTCGAGCAAATCGATGAACAACGGGAGGACCGTGACCGTGACATACTAAAATTAAAATTAAATCTTTTAAATTTCAACACAAAAATTCCAAAGCGGAGCTGGAGTTCCAAGACAAGCTGAGGCAGAAATAAGCATACCCGTGTTTGCACTTACCACATTTGCTGAGGTGGCCGATGGCTTTCTCATACCGTTTCAAATGCTTGTCTATAGTGAACCGCTGATAATTTGTTTCCATTTTCTTAAGTGTATTAAGAAATGGAAGATATTCTTTGGGATCCTGAGAAAAGCAAAAACAAAATTTCTTGTGATTATATTTACTTATAAAAGTATGTACTTAAAATGTACTTATTACACTTAATTGTAATAATAAACCTATACTAAATGCTATGTAAGACTAAATCCAGACAACACAGAAGGTATCAGCAACTCCGCCTTCCCCCCGCTTTTTCTTTTCTTTTTGGGTCACACCCGGCGATGCACAGGGGATACTCCTGGCTCTGCACTCAGGAATCACTCCTGGCGGTGCTCAGGGGACCATATGGGATGCTGGGACTCGAACCTGGTTTGGCTACACACAATGCAAATGCCCTACCTGCTTTACTATTGCTCCAGCCCCACAAAAACGCTTTAATATATGAGTAGTACTGGTCTTCATTTGTAACAACAGCTATTCAAGTCTTACAACAGTCACACTACCTAAGCTATTAAGGTTCCGATCTAGAAGATGCTCAACAAATTTGTCCAAGTTTCTACCGAAAACACAAAGCACTGCACAAAAAAGTCGTAGGTCTATATAAAGTATAGTCTACTTTCAGCATGCCACTCAATGCCTCTTTTGCAAACCACAATACCCAAAAGGAGAGAGAACAAAAGGGAATGCCCTGCCACAGAGGCAGGGTGGGATGGGGGGGATGAAGGGTGGAAGGGATACTGGGATCTGGGGTGGTGGGAAATGGGCTCTGGTGGAGGGATGGGTATTTGATCATTGTATAATTGAAACCCAAGCACAAAAATGTGTAAGTCTACAACTGTACCTCATGGTGTCTAATAAAAATTAAAAAAAAAAAGTTCTGCCAAACCAGCTTTGATTAACACAATCTTCTCCAGCTTTGTGCTGTGCCCCCGGGGCAAGGCTATAGCCCTGCATGCTATGGGGCACTGGGTTTCATCTGATGAAAAGAAAAAGAACACGGTTTTCTACCTAAAGAGATGTTACTGATTCTTAATACTTAATCCCACTGGGCAGAAAGGATAAATACATGCAAATATAGTACAGAAGAAAATGAACAGATGTTCATGCATGAGACGTGCATGGGGCTAAGTCTAGGCCAACCCAAGCTCTTGAGAGAACTGGGTCTACACAGAGAATGCAACAGCACAGTCTTCGCCTCAGCAGATGAGGTGGACAAGTGCACGGGGCAAGCACTGACACAGGGGAGACTTCTGGGGTGGCCATTTATCTGCGGCTGGGCAGGGAGGCATGAATGTTTCCTTGGAAGATGTCCCCTGGGCATCTGGCAACCTCAAGAGTAAGAAACAGTCAGGAAAATGGGGGTGTGAGAGGGGTAGGAGCCTCCGGCAGGCAACATTCATTTCCCTAGGAGGGGAGTTTGCGGGTGAGGGAGATGACAAAAGTGTTGCTCTTCCTGCACAGCACGGAGAAAGGGGCAGGGCCAAGACATGACAGTCACCCAAGAGAGGATCACAGGAGGGTCTTAACTGCAGCTTTGGGCTTTGGTTCAGAGCAAAGGGAGGACCTGAGAACTTTCAGAAGAATGAAGGATCAAATTTTCCACTCCAGGGGCTGGAGCAATAGCACAGCGGGTAGGGCGTTTGCCTTGCACAAGGCTGACCCGGGTTCAAGTCCGAGCACCCCATACAGTTCCCTGAGCACCGCGAGGAATAATTCCTGAGTGCAGAGCCAGGAGTAACCCCTGTGCAATCCTAGGTGTGACCCAAGGGAAAAAAAAAAAAAGACCACTCCGGCAAAAGCAAAGAAAGAAATGTTCGGGAACCAAACTGACACTACCCAAACCAAAAGGAGTGGAGGGAGGTGGGGACGAAACTGTGTAGAGCAGGACTCACACACAGAAGCAGAACATGTCGAGGTGAGAGGCCCCGACCTCTCTACCTCCTGGGTTCCCGCGCCAGCTGGGAAAAGGGCTCCAAGACAATGAACTGGAATGGGGTATGAATCATGACATTTATTCCAGGGCTCGAGTGACCCGGGGACACTCCCAGAGAGTCCCTGCCATCAGGTTCTGATGGTGAGAGCCAGATGGTGGGAAAGGGTGTGGGCCCACCCTTGGTGGGGACAGGAGGGTCACTGGAGTCATAGCTGACCATGTCTGCAGAGTCTGGCCTGTGCTCAGCTAGACCCCTATCTTCCTATGCTGCACTTAGAAAAGGAAAACTGGTATACAGATATGCCGACTTTTTAAATAATCAAGGCACTTTCTTTCACCTAGCACTCTGAGAAGCCCAGAATCAGGGCAGAGGAGGAGGCTAGGGCCCTCACGTCCAGGTCTGTCCTTGCCGCCCAGCCTTGGCCACACAGCACAGCAGGTGTTCACTAGGATTTCAAGACTCAAAAGATGCCAAGATCCCAGAGAGGAACAACTCTGCATACCTTCTGGGACTTCTCGGCCACCATGAGAACCAAATCAAAATCATAGGTCCCGAGAGAATGATCATATAATTCATTAACGTCGACCAGAAGCAGCAAATACTTGAGGGCGTCTTCGGCACTAACAGCATCAGGAGCAGATGTCCCGTTTCCTGTCAGAGTATTGGGAAAACAGAACAAAACAAATTGAAGGGGAAGAAGCGGAAGGAAAGATGGACACACACATGCGCACACACACAGACACAGACACACACACAAAAGACAAAGTAACAAACTCTCCCAATAGACTGGAGACTAGTTAAATACACACTTGTCACTTCTGCAAATGCTTGGCAGGACAAAGCTCAAAAAAGGGAAAATAAGCTGCTTCTGAACCTATTAGGTCAAGGAGATGGTACAAAGGCGAGACGCTACCCTTGCATGTGGCCAAGGCCCATCCGAATTCCTTGCCATCCCATACGGTCCACACACCCCCAGGAGTGACCCCTGAGTACAGAGCCAAAAACATGCCCCTCCCATTGCAAACCAAATATAAATGAAAAAGGAAAAAGAGAAAGACAGTAATACATAAAAATGGCGACCTTTTAAAGGGTCTTGTGTTCAATGTGTTAAGTCAGTTTATCACAGTTTTACAACACAATCAAACGGCTGACCAGTCTTGGTCAGTAGGCGCTCAGAAGACAGCCAAGCATCCCCGCTAAACTCTTCCTGCATGTCTCTACCTTGGAGCTTGTGTACCTTCTGCAGCACAACTTCCAGTTCTGGAGTGGTTTTCTTCACGTGGGAGGTGAGTATGGACAGGCAGTACCTGCAGGAAGGAGTGAAGACCACCACAATGAGCAGGAGAGACGCACCGGGTCAGGACACCAGACACTTGCTACCCGAGAGACGCCGGCCAACAGCGGCACACGTACTTGTGAGGATTTATGTTCTCCATGGCTGCTCTCATAGCGTCGCAGATAAGATCGACTTTGTTTCCCTCGAGGTCCTCAGAGAGCTTGTCCAGCTCACGAGCCACCAGGGGAGGGTACATGGTCTTTGTGACATCCTCTTCCCTAAGAACAAGTGGTGGATGAAGAGGTTACTGACAGAACATTTCGCGGACTACCACCATATGCATGCCCAGGCCTGCTGATGAGAGCTTAACAATGGCTTTTGGAAAAGAGTATAACTGTAAAAATATCAATATATAGTGAAAAAACCAAGAATCGGGCAATGAAAACATGTAGTGTTTGTACGGGTTGTATTTATGCAGCCCCAAACTGGGCAGTCTGAGCGTCCATCAACAGGAGACTAAACATTAGTACATTTACTTAATGGAAATGTGCTGTTTGAAAAAATAAACAAATAAAAATACAACGAGCAAAAATCAAAAAACATGGAATCAGGGCTGGGCTCAAAGAGGTGTAAGACATACTTTGCAAGCAGGAGCTCCCAATTCAATCCCTGGCATCAACGGTCCCCTGAGCACTGGCCAGCAGTGACCCCTAAGCACCGTGGCAGGAGTGTGGCCCAAGCATCAACCAACACGAGGTGTGTCAGGACAATATGCTGACTAGCGTGTGTGATTCCATTCATGAAAGTTCTTGAACAGGCAAAACAAATTTGTGGTGAAAAACTCCCAAGAGTGGTGGCCTGGGGCTGAAAAGGGACAATCTGAGAAGGGATGGAGGGAACTTTTGGTGATGAAAGAAATGTTCTTCATCGTGACAGAGGTCTAACTTACATAAGGCATTTTTGATGTATGCCTTTCGCTAGCAATGTGAGCTGCAGAGAGACCCCATACATATATGCAGGGTTAAGTCTGAACACTTTTTTTTTCCTGCGCGTGGAGGGGCACCACCCAGTAGTGCTTAGGGTGGACTCCTGGCTCTGTGCTCAGGGATGACTCCTGATGGGGCTCAAGAAACCACATGGGATCTTGGGGACTGGTCAGCTATTGTGCAAGGTAAGTACTAAGGTTCTAGACCCATGGGCTGAAATGTTAAGAGAAGTCTGGCAAACTGCAGAGGAACCAACAATTAGCCTACCACTTGTTTTTTTAAAAAACGATGAAGGATAGACCAATGGTAGACAATGACACACAGGGACAATGACACAATGACAAGGACAATATGAACTGCAGAATCTAAGCGGAGGCACCAGAATAATTCTTTCAACATTTCTCTAAATTAAAACTTTCTCAGTAAAAAGTTGGAAGAGGGACTGGACAGATAGTACAGCGGGTAGTGCACTTATCTAGCACGAGGCCAACCCAGGTTTGACCCCCAGCACCCCGTATGGTCCCTCACAGACTACCAGGAGTGATTCCTGACTACAGTCGGGAGTAGTCCCTGAACACCATCCACTGTGATCCCAAAAACAAGATGGATAAAGAGTGATTGTAAACTAAGACAGCATTTGATTTCAATCTCAAAAAAAAAAAAGTTTTATATGTACACCAAAAAAATAAAGTCACATAATCCCGAATAACATGTTTTAAATGCATAGTTTAAACAGGTTGTATTTAACAAAGAGGGAAAGAGCAATAAACCAGTACATGTGGCATCCAAGAAAGAGTCATTTTTAAAAAGAAAATCAAACAACATTCATCTGAGTTCCTTAAGTAGACGAGAAAATTCGTGAGTGTGGCACCAGTAAATTATTCAAAATACTTACTTTAATTCTGTGAAAAATAAATTAATATGATTCACAGAATCTATCTGTCTGATGAAGTTTTCCACATTGTCAAGAAATACCTACCCAAAAAAGGGAAAAGAAAAGGAAACAAAAACATTTCAGTTTACATCATATTAGTACAACATCAAAGAACACTGGGGGGAAATATAAAATGCAGAAAATCACCTTAGGATTGTGATCATGAATCAGATTGAGATTAATTCTCAGTTTTCTCATGCATTCAAATGCTTCCTTAAACATAAGTCTGTGAGAAGAGAATGAAAAGGCACTTTTCACAAAATCCAAGCTCTCTGGACCTAGCACATTTTCGTTACAACACAAAACAATGATATAATTTAGAGTACACCCTAAATGACAAAATACTGTTACTGGATTTCCATTTTGAAATTAAAGGGGAAAAAAAAAACCTGTCAAGGGTCCATTCACTGTCTTCACAGCACTCTGAGGACAATATTCCCAGAGACACAACAGAAAAGCATCATGGAACTTAGGGCACCTTTCTTTCTTTCTTTTTTTTTTTTTTTTTAATTTATTGAATCACTGTGGGAAAGGTTACAAAGCTTTCAGGTTTATGTCTCAGTCATGCAAATATCAAACACATTTCCCTTTACCAATACTTATTTTTTACCATGAAGAACCCCAATAAAACCCCACCCCCCACCCCTCCCCGTCCCTGTGAGGCAGATGAATTCTAGTTAACACTCTATCTGCTTTGATTAGATTCATTGTTTCAATAAAAGATTCACCACTATTATTTAGAGTTTACCCCCCCCCAAATCAGACATGCTGAAAAAGCATTGTGAAGTGATTTGCTTTCTACAGCTGGGTTCAAGAATTAAATGTTGGTTTTGGATTTCTGCTATTTTACCTATTGACCCTGGAAGTATTTCTACTGAAAGTCAGATAGTTAAGAAATTGGTTTCTGTGTTCTGGAGTCGTGGCCGTGCTGGAGAGCCGCTCGCGGGGGGCAACCGGTAGCCTCGGTAGGGCGTGAAGGGCGGAGCGAAACACCCCCCTTCCCATGAGATTTTAGTCGCTAGGGCACCTTTCTTATATTAGAAAGACCTTCAAAGCTAACGAAGGTCTTTCTAATATAATATTCCCCCAGGTACACATACACATACTACACACTCACCCCAGTCTGGTGCACAATGGCCCTGGGATCATGGAACTGAAGGCACGTTACACCTTACACACACACACACACACACACACACACACACACACACACACTCACACACACACACCCCAATCTGGTGCACAATGGCCCTGGGATCATGGAACCTGGGGCACCTTTCTTATCACAAAGCTAATGAAGGTCTTTCTACTATAAAATTCCCCCAGGTAGATTCAAACAGTGAATCATTCCCTTCATAACAGTAGCTCAAGGTTCCAGAATCTGCTGTAAGCCTTGAGTCTTCGGACTGGGTAAATACACAGAAAGATTCTTGGTACCACTGACGTGGCGCTCTGGCCACAAATGTGTGAGACCTAAGGTCACACACACACACACACACACACACACGCGCGCACACACACACACACCAGTCTAGTGCAAAATGGCCCTGGGTTCCCAGAATCTGGAAAGCCTCCTTAGGTTTGGACCCTGTTTGATCTAACGAGGCTCATGATTCTTTATATAGAAAGGTCTAATATCCCATATGGCATTAAAATGCAAGTGTGTCCCCAAAGGAGCCTTTGAGAATCTGAGTGGAAGACATCTGGAATGATGGATGTTATAAAATAACTAAGAGTAGACAGTTGCCTTAAGACACACATTGTAACATCAAACTCATTAGTCATGTAAGTGGGACTTACTTATCTAACCACTTCCGAAGCTGAGCTAAAACCAGGGCTCGATGGTGAACAACTTCCAAGTTTCCTCTTGGCATCTTCAGATAAATAAAACAAAAGTGTGTTTAGTTAGGTAGAAAAAACTTGAACATGCAGGGTACACAAGGTTTACGTTCTCATACACAACTATCACAATATAGCAAAGCAGAATCTAGTGATGCACAATATTTTGACTTTCCGAAGAAGCTTTCCTCAAGCTGGGACACAGTACAGCTAGTAGGGCGTTTGTCTTGCACATGCCTGACCCCTGTTCGACCCCAAGAACCACACACAAGCCCCCAAGCCTCAACAGGAGTGAGCCCAGAGCATGGAGCGAGTGGTAGGCCCTGAGCACCACTAGAAGTGGCTCCCTCACCCCACCCCGCCATACACACACAAAAAGTGGGAGAGGAACTTTCCTTTCAGTCTTACAAAGAGCATGTATTGATAGGAGGAATCAGCACTCCAAACCTTATAGAGCATTATTGCAAATAAAATCCACAAGAGTTGCCTAGTGAAAATCAGTAATACAGCCTGAAAAATTAACTTACCTGTAAAATAAGCTTTGTGTCCTGGGGCACAACAGCGACGATTCGTGAGCCCCGCTCCACCTTCCGGGAAGTCTCCCCGTTCGACACGGGACCGCTGCCCAGGCTTGCCTGTAATGCTGAGGACATTGTTGGTGGAACATTCAGATAACGGTCATGCCACAACACCCGCCATTCGCTGCAGGGGACATTGCATGTTTGAGGCAGGGCAAAGCCAGTAACCCGCCGGCTATGCTCGCCACTGAACCTCAGGTCACTCCCCTTTCGGATCACTCACCCTACAACTGGCCCTCTCTCACAGAGCCCTCGTGCATGCAATCTCCCCACTGACTAGGGAAGGGGAAAAGTGAGCTTCTCCGCCGCTCTACATTATCAGGGGCACTACAATCTTAATGGTGTAGGGTCCCATTGCAATGCAGGAGCAAAGACAGGAAGTGGGGGTTTTGAATGAGAAACAAAACACTCAAAAGAGAAAATTACATACAACAGAAGAAAAAATAGAGACAGTTTCTGATCAATACACACACTCAATGGAAGGAAAATGACTTCTCCTCTCCCTCACACACACTCTCTCTCTCTCTCTCCCACCTTTCTCCTCTTCTCTCTCCCTTTCTCTCTCTCTGATAGTTTCAGACAAACCCTGCAGACCTTCATCTATATAGTAAAGGTGCCCACAGTGTGCAAAAGAGGATTATTACAAAGTCATAGTATACTACTGTTTTATATCAATGTGATAACTTAAGGTATTAAATTAGTTATATAAGAAAACTCCCTGAAAACTTTTAATTCTAGGATGCCTGAGACCAAAGAGACAGTTAAAGCGCTTGCCTTGCACGCAGCAGACCTGTTAGATCTTCAGCATCACCTGGTCCCCTGGGCACTGGGCAGTATAGTTCTGGAGGCTCCAAACCACTTCTGGGATGGGGCCAGCTGGTCCCAGCACCACGAGACCCAGCAGCACCGCATCCTCAGGCCCTTCCTCTGAGCCACTGGCTCTTGGTTAAGAGTTGCCACAAGGGGTCGCAGGCCTCCTGAAGACCATTGGAACGAGCCGAAAACTTAACTTTAAAATAATGTGATCTTAGGATGCTCTAGTCAAGGTAGATTTCTGTCTCTGGAAGTCTTACCTGGCACTGACTTAAGTGAAATACGAAGCTGAGACTGGGTCTACGGAAGCTCTTAAAGGTTGAAGTTTTTGTCAGAATGATAAGTAGCCACAATAGGTGAAGAACTTAAGTCCTCAAGAGCCAGGGAGACAGAAAAGAGGTAAAGGCAGGTGCCTTGTATGTGGCTGACCCCAGCTCAGTCCCCTGCACGAGAGCACCGCCAGGTGTGGCCCTCAAGACCCCCTGAGCATTGCTCGGGAGGCACCCTCTCTTCCCCATAAAATATTGTCAGGCTACAAAGGGCAAAAGCCACCAGAAGGGAGACTATTTTCTGTTTTGTACACCGAAAACTTACTTTTAAGCGAAGCCTCTCTCAGGCAAAAACACTGGCAGGTATGGGAATGGGTTGTCAGCAGTAAGAACTCATCATAAACCACAAATGATGTGATATTTGAAGCAATCTGCAACCAGGGAGGAAGCATGGAAGTCGGCTTTAGTACTTCAAGTCAACACTGAAATAGACACAGCCCACACCCCAGCCAATAGACACGGCCCCTTCAATGACCGCCCCCCGCCCCCGCCAAAATATATCAATCCCTTATACCTCAGTGTCATTGACGAAAAAACGACACCTGTCAGACAAACCGAGGACACATTCCTGCAAAGAAAGAAACCGGGGATTACAAACAATTCACATTTTCTCTCTCACTTTCTTTTTTTCTCTCTCTCTCTCTCTTAAATGACCATGAGATACACAGTTACAAGGTTGTCCATATTTGGCTTCAGTCATACAATGTTTTAACACCCATCCCTTTACCAGTGTACAGTGTACATTTCCCACCACCAATGTCCCCAGTTTCCCTCCTTCTACACCCCACCCCCACTCTGCCTCTACAATAGACACTTTTCTCTCTCAATCTCATCTGCCCCCCCCACACCCTTTTTGGTCATTATAGTCTGTGGTACAGCTATTATCATGAATATCCCTTTACCTACTTTTCGCTCTCAATTCTTGCCCAGGGTGATCACTTCCAACTGTCAGTCACAGTAATCCCTTCTCTGTCCTAACTGCCCTCCCCGCTTCCTCCCACTTGTGACAAGCTTCCAACCGTGGGCCAGTCCTCCTGGCCCTCATTTCTATTGTCCCTGGGTAATACAAATGATGCTAACCCAACCGTGAAGCCTGATCTTTCCGTTACACACCTCCACGGCTCTGTAATTTCCCTCCAACGACCTTGTAATCAGGACGGAACGCAGACACACAGCACGCCACTGGTCTGATCTAGATGTCCTAAAGTTCAGCCTCCCCAGCGCCAGCCTGAGCACAGCACCCATGCCACCTGGCCGTCCCGTCTCCACAGTCAGACTAACAGTTCAAACTACGAACAGATCACACCAGCTTCCTGACTGAAAACCAGTAATTTCCTATCTCGGTTAGACAAACTGACACTCCTTCCTGTCTAAAATCCATTCACTTCTTTTACTTGACCTGAGTAAGCTGAGCTCTGCGCAAGTTCAAAGTAAATGTAGCTCACCTCGAGAGAACAGGCTCCCTTTCTTGGGGTTTGTTTCCTTCCCTCCCTCCCCCCCCACACAGCTCAGTATATTAAAATCACCTCACAGAACTTTCCAGGATAACCAACAATAGGTCTCTCCTTCCTCACAGCTACCACCTTCGAGTTACTTCCCAAATACCTCACTCTTCTCTACCACTACACCCAGTCCAGTCCATTCTTTCTTTGCTCAGAGAGGACAATCATACTCATACTGACAACCTGTAAATTCCAGGGCGAGAGAGCTAGCACAGAGATGAAGGCCTTGCAAGCAGCCAACCCTGATTTGGTCCTACACACTGTCTGTGCCCCCAAACACCACTGGGAGCAGTCAGTCCCCTGAGCATAGAGCCAGGAGTAGTCTCAGAGCACCAGAAGGCATGGCAAAAAAAAAAAAAAAAAAAAAAAAAGGCAGAAATATATTACTTAAAATTTTTAAATTCCAGAGAATCAATCAGCTGAGTTTCCTGGTGACCATCATATCTGACCGTCCATCAAAAGAACAGTCATTCAAAAATTTGAATGATGACCTACTTCGGATTATTTTTCAAAGTCACATTTTTGTTCTCATGGGTCTTGAGTAAAACTTGGAATGTTATGCCCAACTTGGGCTAAAGTTTCCAATTGTATCATTTTTAAATTTATACCTACAGGGAAACAAACCTGCTACTGCCAGGCAATCTCATCCTGTTCAACAGATGGAGAAATTTACAGCTTTAGAAAACGAGACAATTTCTCATCGCCAGGGAATTTAGCAGAGATCCAAGTCTACCTCCAAAGCTCCAACACTCTACCTCAGACTATCATCAGTATCTGAGTGTCTAAGTGATGAAACTTTCATCCTTTATTTTGGGGGTGGGTGGGGACAGGACTTGGTGGTCTGTTTTCTGACCCTGTTAACTTACCTCCCCTCCAATACTGGCCAATTCCATCTGCGTGCATGGGTAAGGAAACCGAACAGGAATTCCATCAGGATTCTTCCAGGGCTCAACAACGTGAGAGGGGGACTCTGCAAGATTGGCGGGAGAGGTTTACAAAAAGCTCTCTGCTCATCATTAAAAATCTGCAACACCAGTACTTCTCCAGACACTCAGCACACAATGTGGATCACTTTGGAAACTCAATACATTACGACAATTTGTTACAAGAAAAAGCAACAGCAGAGTGCCACCTGCCAACTCTTCTGGAGTTGGGGTTTTCAAGGGTCACCGAAGGACCTGCCGATGAGTGTGGCACTGACAACAGATTCACAAACGAACGTTCTCCAGAATGAACGTTCTCCAGTGTGAAGTCATTAAACATGCTTCCCTGAGATTCTGGTACTCACCCCAAAGGTACTTAAGTATCTGACCATCAGCAAGCTGCAATGCTATGGATTTGGTCTTGGAACTGCAGCATGCATTGATTATCACCCCATCCACTGTCACAGACGAACTGGCAAATTCAAAAAAAGAAGAAAAAAAAAAAGGATACGTGAGAGGAGATTTTTTTCCTCGAAAATAGTGACATTTCATGAGCTTTGCAAAAAAAAAAAAAACTGAACACGCAATCTCTATTGATGCACTTCTTGCCTCAATATAGGTGTCTATGATACACACAGTTCAATTCACACACACATATGAACACACATACATTGCTACAGAAAACATGGTGAGCCCACGCCCAGTATAGCACTTAGCTCTGATATGACACTATTTTCCTAGGAGCTCGGTGTCTACCCTGAGAAGGCACCATCTGGCTCTGGCAGTGACTTACTACAATGTACTGCAATATGTCACCAGGTGCTGTCTTCACCAGGCATGCAAGGCAGCAGCAAAATCTGTCTTCTTAAAATACAAGCTGTAAAAATGACTGTCGGAAAGGAGCACCTCTTATCTCTACCAATGCTTCACGCACTCAGGTATTACTCCTGGCAGTGCTCAGGAGACCATATGGGATGCTAGGAATCGAACCCGGGTTGGCCGTGTGCAAGGCAAATGCCCTACCTGCTGCGCTACCACTCTAGCCCCCAGAATTCTGTATGGTTAAACCATCTGTGGAGAACAGACACTAGTGATGGTGGAGACAGGGCTGCATCCTGGCCTCCCTGCGCAGTGCAATGAATTGAACTGGGGATGGTCAAGGGCAAGGCAAGTGTCTACACCCACCCCAATACTATACTATTGCTCTATGCTATCTTTCTCTACTTTCTTTCTGGCCCCCAAAATATATCTGTAATGACTTCTCACTGTCTTTCCAATAAATGATATCAGTGCATCTAGCTCTTCTTTCTATAAACTGATAAATTTCCAATTTGGAGTAGAAATCTGCAGAGTCGAGGCACACCTAATAGAAACTGTTTAGTTTTTCAAAACTGAGTGCTGAACGCAGGTAGGATATATATAGATTCTGTAACCAGATGTGGGCTGGAGCAATAGCACAGCGGGTAGGGCATTTGCTTTGCACGCAGCCAACATGGTCGGCCCGAGTTCGATTCCTCCGCCCCTCTCGGAGAGCCCGGCAAGCTACCGAGAGTATCTCGCCCGCATGGCAGAGCCTGGCAAGCTCCCCGTGACGTATTCGATATGCCAGACACAGTAACAACAAAGTCTCCAATGGAGTCGTTACTGGGCCTGTTCGAGCACATCGATGAACAACGGGAGGACCGTGACCGTGAACCAGATGTAGACGCAGACAGGGTTTTTCAAAATCTGAAGTGGATGAGTCAAGAGACTACAGGAAAATGACTATATCAGACTATGGTTTATGTACCTGGCAAAGAGGCCAATTTTGAAACGAGAATTGTCAGCGTAGAAACCTAGGGAGCAAAACTTCAATGACAGATGAGTCTAAGAGGCCATCTGTCACAGAGCAACACAGATGACGCTGTGGACTGAGGGACAGGGTCGTTCTCTAACTCAACCCATCAAGTGAAGATGCACTCGGAATGTTAGATGCCACGACACACAGGGCAAGGAAGCAGTGACATGTCAGCAAAGGAAACCAGAAGTTCTCTAGTGTAACTGCACTCGTGTGTCAAAGCGGATAAAAAGGGGGCAGCCAGGAGAAGCATTTCTCTGTCACCCCATCAAAATGAAGTGACACACAGAGTCTTAATAATAGATTTTAAATGGTAAGTTCTCATGAGCTAGTAAGAAACAATGCCCTTCTGGAGGGCAATTATCTGCTGAGCTGAACTAAAATATTTAACACAACTTCAAAATGTCTTGCTTCATCTTCTGCTTTCTGACTTATTTATTTTTTTCCACCGTTTCTTGAAGTCTTCTTAGTCTGTACTTTGACCTGACTCAGACTTAACCCTCTTGGTAAGTATGTCTAATAAGAAAGCCTCTGCCCCCACCTGGCTCACCGGAAACCACTCAAGTCGTGTGCAGAGGAACAGACAGCAGCAAGACTCATTCTGAGTAGCAGCATGGGGAACGGAGGGAGGAACTGCAATACCTAATACTGAGCTGTCCTTGCTCATCATCCGTCTCCGAAGGGACCGTGGTCAGATGCTGAATGACAGACCGAGAGCTGGATGCACTGTGGCTGACAGCCAGGAAAACGTCATCTTGGATCCAGGCGATCAAGCTGAGTTTCAGTGGGTTGACTTCCTGATCTTCACCATTCGCAAATTGAATTCTATTATCAATATTAAAGAATACCAAAGAAATAAAATTTAAAAATCAGTGGCACTATCCAAAACAATGAACCAATATTGCAATAATAATAATAATAATAATAATAATGGGCTGGAGTGATAGCACAGTGGTAGGGCATTTGTCTTGCATGTGGCCGACCCGACCGACCCAGGTTCAGTTCCTCCGCCCCTTTCGGAGCCTGGCAAGCTACTGAAAGTATCTCGCCAGCACTGCAAAGCCTGGCAAGCTACCCAAGGACGTATCAATATGCCAAACACAGTAACAACAAGTATCACAATGGAGACGTTACTGGGCCCGCTCGAGCAAATCGATGAAAAACGGGTGGACAGTGACAGTGACAATAATAATAATAATAATAAAAAATATGCACATACATATATGAGGTGGAGTGACAGTACAGCAGGTAGTGCGTTGGCCTTGAATGTGGCCAACCCAGATTGAATCCCTGGGCACCCCATATAGTCCCCTGAGCCCACCAGGAGTGATCCCTGACTTCAGAGCCAGGAGTAAGCCCTGAGCACTGCAGGTTTAGCCCTCCACACCTCCCTGAAAACATATGCATTTTTGAATTTTATTTACTGAGGCACTATATCTTACAACACTTCCGAGAGTTCCTGCATACATTGTTCCATGCAAGCACTACACCCGGCATATTCCAGAGTGCCTGCTCCCTGCCACCACTGTCCAAGAGACCCCTGCAGCTGTCTCCATCTCCCTCCCCGTCTCACCCAGCTAAACTTGGTTCTATAGACTAACCTTCCAGTTCTGTTTCCTTTGGTTATTTACTGCTCCCTTTACTGCATGTCTTTTTCTTCCCCCCTAGAGATTTTGCTTTTGAGCTATCTTTTTTGATTTAGGAAATTCTGTAATTTTTCATTCCCAAGTGTTTTGAGTTTTTTCTCCATTTCTGTTTGTGATTTCCACTTTCAAATTATCATGGCCTGGAAGAACAGTTGATATGATTTCTCCCTTCTAAATTCTAGGAAGATATATTTTGTGACCCAGCATGTGATCTCTCTGGGAATGTCCCATGTCCAGTGGAGAAGAATGGGTACTCCATTTTGGGGAATGAAGGACCTCATATATGTCTACTAGGCTCATCTCCTCCATCTCTTCCATTAAGGCCTGTTTCCTTGTCGATTTTTGTCTGTCTGAAGTATGCAGCACTGATAGGGAATGTTCAATTCTCCTACTACCATCATAAGCTGTCATTATCTTCCTTCATGTCTGCCAGCAATAGCTGTAAATATTTTGATGGTCCATTAGGACCATCCACATATAGAAGTGTGAGTTCTTCTAGAGGTATTGATCCCCTGACCATTAAGAAGCAATCACCTCTGCCCCTTCCAGCCTTTCTTGAAGTTGAAGTCTATAGATTGTCTGGTCACCCAAACAACACAAATATGGTCACCCCAGTCATAAAGGAGCTGTTTGCCTGTGAGATTGTTTTCCATCCTTTGACTGATTCTTTGACTGACAAACCTCTTAAGGATCTGAAGCGCCAAGCCTGAGCTCATGCCCAATACGAGAAAATCCAAAAATACTGTCTGCCTAGCTTAAGAATACGTCAGAACTCCTAAAAATTATGTTTCTTGTTCTTGGAGAGGCTTACACTTAAAGGGGACATTTCTGGAAACAGACCACACAAGATAACAACCTACCCCAGACCCTGGCCAAGAGCAGAAATTCTGTTCTGACCAGCATTCACAGCAGACTGCTCTGGAAACACAGGTCTCAGCAGAATGGGCTGGACCCTAAGTCCCTCCGCATACCCTGACCAATCAGCTGGAGGGATGGCTGCTCTGCCCCACCCCCTGCCTTCAGTAGCATGTCCACACCCAATCAAGGAGAGTTTTTGCTGTCTCCTGCAGGAATTCATAATGGTAGATACTTGCTACCACTTGTTGCTCAAGCAGCAAATCCTGGGGAGGGAGGAGGGATCTGAGGGTGGAGGGGCAGACATGGAGGGAGACCAGGAAGAAGCCGGGTGACTCACCAACCCTCCTCCTCGCCCAGCTCCTCCAGAGCCCAGACTCCGCTGCACTCAGCCCCAAGCAGGAGCACTCGCACCTCCGCTTCTCACTAACACTGTGCCGTCCTCCACCCCCGACACTCCCAGGCATTTGCCAAGGACCAAGAAACGCACTCTAAATGGCTTGCATGGCTCTCAACTTGCTCAAATAAAACAATACTCCAAACTGCCTTATCTAGTTGGCCTTAAATTTGTCCTTTACTAGTTTCAGGTCTCTGAAATGAAATAATTCATAGAAGTGTTTTGTGAAAAATGACTAAGCACGGCTGGAGAGAGTACAGGAGTTAAGAGAGGCGCTTGCCATTCAGATTTCCAGTACCAAAGATGGTCCCCTGAGCACTGCCAGGAGTGATCCCTGAGCACGGAGCCAGGAATAAGACCTGAACACAGCCAGATGTGGTGCAGAGTCAAAAGAAAAAAAAAAAAAAAAGAGCACGAAAGAGAAAAACTATGATGTATTCATTAAATAGGCACTGTAGCACTGTAGTACTGTCCTCCCGTTGTTTATCGATTTGCTTGAGCGGGCACCAGTAACGACTCACAACAAATTGTGAAACTTGTTGTTACTGTTTTTGGCATATCGAATACATCACGGGGAGCTTGCCAGATTTTGCCGTGTGGGTGAGATACTCTCGGTAGCTTGCTGGGCTCTCCGAGAGGGACGAAGAAATCGAACCTGGTTTGGCCACATGCAAGGCAAATGCCTTACTGGCTGTGCTATCGCTCCAGCCCGTGCCCCCCAGATATACAGGATGGATACCTATGTACACAAAATATAATGTATATATTTAAGAAAAGAATATTCACTTAACTTCATTCTCTTCAGTTCATCATTTCTATTAATTTAGGAATAAGTTAATAGCCATTGGGCTACACTAGCACGCGACAGGGACAAATGGAGACGTTACTGGCGCCCGCTCGAGCAAATTGACGACTAACGGGAAGTTAAGTGATTAAGTGAAGGAATAAGTTATCCTCACAGGCAGAATTAGTCAGTTTAAGAACATAGGGCTTACCAAATTGAATTCTCACAGAAGTAGAACTGTAATTAATAACTTGGCTTCTGTCTACCCGATACATTCAATTATACTCTGTTTTAGGTAATGCTTCGGTGGGAAGAGGCACTGCCAAGCTGGGGGCCTCCCAGTAGTGTCTCAGGACATTCTGAGAATGTGGAATGAAGCCAAGAGAGGCTGCATATGACCCGCCACGCTAGCAACCACTACAGGTTGGCTTACACGAACAAAGACAACCCGGTGATTTTAGGGAGAAATAAGTGTTGGGGCACTGAGTTTCAGGTCAGCTTATGATCCAGGCCGCTCCTGCCACTCACCGGGGTATGGAACAGGCTGATGTACAAAGGGACTCATTTTGGGGCCAGAGAGATAGCACAGCGGGTAGGGCTTTTTTTCTTGTACATGGCAACCTGGGTTCGATTCCCAGCATCCCATATGCTTCCACAAGCACTGCAAGGAGTAATTCCTGAGTGCAAAGCCAGGACTAACCCCTGTACATCGCCGGGTGTGACCCAAAAAAATTTTAAAAAGGAACTCATTTCTCTGAGCTGAAAACCCACAGCCTAGCCATACTCCTGATTTGTTCCATTGCAAGAGGCACGGATGTCAGGCGGCTGGAGTTAGGAGTAAACGTTAGCTGCTCCCTTTCCCAGAGGCCCAAGACCACTGAGAACCACTTACCTGTATCTCTTTTCCAGGTGAGGCATTCTAAAGAATACTTTCAAGCCACAGCCACCTGCGGCTCCTGGTTTCACCGTGGGGTCCACACTTGCACCATCACCTAGAAAAACAAAATGGACACGCATTCCCAGTGAGACCCGGGTCATCCCCCCCAGCGCGGGATGGGGTTGGGGGGGGGGGGGGGGTCTGGCACCTGCATTCAGTTTCAGAAAGCAAATAAATCACATGGCAATATGGCAGTCTAGGAAATGCCCACAGCGCCGCCTCTCAAGTCTTTGAAGCTGCCCGTCTGTTACTAGCAGTGGTCACCCTTGTCCCCTGTGTCTCGGGAGACCAGGTGGAGGGGCTGTCCCTTGGATCCTCTGAAGTCTTCCCTCTACACAGCGCCACTCCTTCCACTTCTGAACCCCGGGAGTAACACACAATTTCTTCAAACCCTGTCAGAACACCACACTGCCCTGCTTCGGCCCACTCAGAGTCACCTCAGGTCTCACCTGGATCTCTTTACTCTTTGCAGTTTAGGTCTTTATGGTGGGGAGGTGGGGCAGGGGGGAAGACATCCCCCAGGCAGAGCTCGGTGCAGTGATTCCTGGTCTGGTGCTGCCCAGGCCCAGCAGGGTGGTGGTGCCAACCAGGGCCACCGTCGCCGCGAGTAGAGCCTGCATTCCAGACTGAGCAGTGTGGCTAACCCAGCACCAGAGTCTGGGAGGGAGCAAAGGCCGTCCCCTGTACCGTCCCACCCCCACAGGCTCCTAACTTCTCTCGACTCTGCCTTTGGGGCCACACCCTGCGGCGCTGGAGGGTCAGTGCCAGGGTTCTGGGGAAGACTCCGGCACGTCTCATACACAGCGGGCACCTCTGGGGCTTTGTCTGTACTGTCAGGACCATCGGTACCCCAGAGGACTGCATGTCTCCCTCTCAACTTCTGCACGACGTCAATGACAGGCACATCATGTGCCTCCTCTGACCATTCTGGCCTCTAGCTTACTGACCTCAGAGCCCACCACACGTCTCTCTGCTCTTCATCTGAGGAGCGAGCATTTCATTGCAGCTGAGGACCTGGGCCCGCACCAGTACCCTGACCAGTTCCATTCAAACCACAATATTCTGACTTTGTCTCAGCCTCTAACTCTCCCCTGTCTCATTTCTTTGGAGTTCGTTAACACACGCTATTCCAGGGCTCGAGAGGCAGCTCAGGGGTTTAGACACCTGCCCCATTTGCAGCCAACCCTGGTTCAATCCCCGGCACAATATGCGGTCCCTGAGCGGTGCCAGGAGTGACCTCTGAGGACAGAGCCAAGAGTCGGCCCGAAATAAAATAAGATGCCGTTAATGGCTGGGGAAATGGCTCAAGGGATGGAGCAGATGTTTTGCAAGAGGGAATGCTGGGTTTGATAGTCCCCCAATACAACAAGGGCTGGCTTCCAGCACCATAGGGAATAGGCCCCCAACTATCACCCCAATATAGATAAGAGTTTTATCCTTTCTGGTTTTCCTTTACAATGAACACATTAGCTGTCTGGAGTTTTCAAAAAGCTATTAAAAAAAAAGTTTAAAGAGCATTGTATAGTAGCCCCCACCCTAATTAATCTGCAAAGGTATGTTCAAAGGCCCCAGCAGGTCACTATATCTGCAGATTTTAGTACTTGAACTTATTTTAGTACTTGAACAGATTTTAGTACTAGTACTTATCTCTCTCTCTCTCTCTCTCTCTCTCTCTCTCTCTCTCTCTCCATATCTTTTCCTATAATTACTATCACTGTCCGCCCGTTGTTCATCAATTTGCTGGAGCGGGCCCAGTAACGTCTCCATTGTGAGACTTTTGTTACCGTGTTTGGCATATCGACTATGTCCCGGGTAGCTTCCCAGGCTCTGCCGTGCGGGCGAGATACTCTCGGTAGCTTGCCGGGCTCTGAGAGGGGCGGAGGAATCGAACTCATGTCGGAGATGTTGGACACTTGCAAGGCAAATGCCCTACCCACTGTGCTATTGCTCCAGCCCTTCCTATAATTACCTATGATAAAATTAAATATATAAATTAAGCAGTTAAGGGATTAACAAGGAGCTTGAGAGACAGAGAAGTGGGTAGGGTGCTTGCCTAACATGGGGCAGACTCGGGTTTGATCCCTGGTTTCCCATAAGTCATACGGTTCCCCAAGCACCAAACAGAATGACTCCTGAGTACAAAGTCAGGAGTAACCCCTGAGAATCACCAAGTGTATAAAAGGTAAAGGTAAAGGCCGTCCCATTGATCATCGATTTGCTCGAGCGGGCCCAGTAATGTCTCCATTGGAGACTTTGTTGTTACTGTGTCTGGCATAACGAATACGTCACGGGGAGCTTGCCAGGCTCTGCCGTGCAGGCGAGATACTCTCGGTGGCTTGCCGGGAGCGATAGCACAGCGGTAGGGCGTTTGACTTGCACGCAGCCAGCATGGCCGATTCGAGTTCGATTCCTCCGCCCCTCTCAGAGAGCCCGGCAAGCTACCGAGAGTATCTCCCCCACGGCAGAGCCTGGCAAGCTCCCCGTGACATATTCGATATGCCAAACACCAAGTGTATATATACTGTTTTTTGAGCAACTGGTAAATGGACAAAGGAGGCAAGACAACAATCTGCCAGAAGACTGTGGCCCAAAAACAAAATATACAGTCTTCTGGCATATATAAATTTGTCTTCGTGTGTGTGTGTGTGTGTGTGTGTGTGTGTGTGTATGTGTGTGTCTCTATTTTGCAGCATTTTGTGTAGAAGGGACTAAAGCATCTACTTCATAAATTTGAAGCATACCATATTAATACACACATACACACACACACAAAGACTATAATGACATACTACTAATAAAAGTTTCATGAACATGGACTTTTTAAAATAATAAACTTAATATTTTCAGTTGAAACTGAAAACTGAACTCATAACTACAGAGGGACTGTCCTGAGAGCATTTCACTGACCACAATCAGAGAAGCTAGCAGTACGGCTGAGTGGGATTCATGTCAGCCCTGAGTCTGGTGACTTGCCAGGAAAGCTGCTTATCAGAGTAAAAAATTCCCATATGGGGAATTCCCTTCTCTCAGTATTTAGGCTTTTTTTTTTCCCCTGAGAATTTAAAACTTCCAGTCATATGTGCCAGTATAATTTGCGATGTGATCACAGAATGCACACATAAAAACAATTAAATTTCAGGCTCTTCCAGAGGGAAGGTGACCAGAAACCAAGAGTCACAGCGTGGGCGAGAATGCCTGGCCAGAGCCCCGCGCTGACCTCTTGCCCACTCTTGCTCCTCCAGGGGCTAAAGCCCATGGCAGCGCTTTGCGCCCTCCTTCGTAAAATAGGAGAATTCCTTCTCTAACACTCTCTGAGGCAGGTAAAGAGATGGAAGCTAGAAAACACTAAAAACAACTGCTCTTTGGGGCTGGAGCAATAGCACAGCGGGTAGGGCGTTTGCCTTGCACGCAGCCAACATGGCCGACACAGGTTCGATTCCCAGCACCCCATATGGTCCCCCGAGCACCGCCAGGAGTAATTCCTGAGTGCATGAGCCAGGAGTAACCCCTGAGCGTCGCCGGGTGTGACCCAAAAAGCAAAAAAAAAAAAAAAAAAAACCTGCTCCTTAAGAGTAGGGCCTGGAGCAATAGCATGGGGCATAAGGCACTTGACTTGCATGCGACCCAAACTATTCAATCCTGAGCACTGCATATGGTTCTCCTCCCAGAACCACCAGGAGTGGTTAAGTCACAAACACCACTGGCTTTGGCCCCAAAACAACAACAGGGAAAAAAAAAAGAAAAAAAAACCACCCATAGTCAGTAGGATTGGAAAAACAACCTCTTTCATCCCCAAAGTCACAAGCCAGTTAAATGGCATGATGATAATGACATCAGTTACACAGTTTCAAACCTTTTAGGAAGAGCATGGCCAAGTACAGCCAAGGCAACATCTGGTGTAGGAGGGAGCGAAGCGTCTGTTTCCTAGGCCTAACACATACCGTATCGATAAACAGAGATCTGGTTACTGGCGTCCAGGACCGCGAGGTCGTTACTCTTCTGAGGGTGCAGAGAGAACATGACTTGGTTCACGGGGTGCCGGAAGAGCACCTGGTAGGTGGACATGGGAGGTGGGACCACCATCTGCCGGAAGACCGTTACCAACACCCTGTCTGCATGGGAGGAAGAGGAAGACGGAAACCATGGAGTCAGTCCACCAGGGGAAACAGGGTGGTCGAACAGCACAGAGACACCAACAGTAGGGTTGGGAAATAAGGGGCACCTCTTATTAAATGCAAATTTTGGTGTTTTGAGGACGTGGGAAGGAGGGAGAGGGAGGGCAAGCACCATGGCTCCGCAGGGGTCGCCTCCACGTCCGAAGCGTGGCCCGTTTTTGTGCTTGAAGCATCAGGTACGAGGGACCAAGGCAAAAAGGGCCAGGAGGTCAGAGCTCTGGCTTTAGCCTGGGCCCCAAATTGAACCAGACTAAATCCTGGGAATCAATCTAAGTCTTTAAAGCACGGCCCTACCTTGCCCCATGGGCCTGTCATCAAGCAGCGCTGCTGAGCAGTTCCCCTCTGCAGGGTGGGATACTGTGAAGTCAGAATTTACGACCCCGAGAAAGAAATTTTCCATACCCTCCTTCACATTACAACCTCACATGCTCATTTTCGGTGCTGCGGAGTGCGGTGACTAAACTGCGTTCATGCGAATACATCTCACCTCGTTTTTTTCCCCACTCACTCATTATGAAACATCAACCCCGTCTCCCACTGGCCAGACGTCTGTGACTCAACAGAACGTACTGGACATGCCTGTGACTGACAAGTATCTTCTCAGAAAAGGAAACAGCACGAGCTAGGTGGTACAAGGATCAAGGTGAGCCTACCCGGGGCAAAGCCAAAGCCAAAGCCAAAGCCCACGAGTGTTGCTCTCTATCAGCATCAAAGCCTCCCATTCCCCAAAGTCCAGACACGGACACACTCGATAAGGGGCCTGGAGGCAGTGCTATCTGGCATGAGGGTGAGGAACAAGTATGATGGTTCTCAGAAGACCATATGCTCCACCAAAGGGCATCCCCATCTCATCAAAATAAATAAATAAATAAAGCTGGCCAAACAGAAATGACGTTCCCCACACTCTGAGACAAATAACACATATAGAGGTACAGGGCACAAAACCCTCTACTGCCACGTGACACACTCTCCCCACTGCTTACTTCCACTGATGACGGCGACATTGACCATGTCACTGGAGTTCTCTCCAGCGCTCCGGTCAGTGGCCCAGTGCCAGTCATAGCAGAGGTAATGCCAGCCCTGGCAGACGACATGCAGCCGGAACGGGATCACCGGGTCCCACGTCAGAGACACTATCTTGCTCTTCTCACCGGTGTCAAAGGGCAGACTCTGCTTGAGATACCAGTGGTAGTTGCCCACTGTCCAGAGCTGAACTGCAAAGTGAAAGGATGAACATCAAAACGCGGTGCCAGGAGGAGGCTTGGAGAGCTGGAGTGCAGGCTTCCCGGGCTCCAGGCCCCGAGTTCAGACCCTGGCACCCAGCACCATCCCAGGCACAACCCCATGGCTTCGAACTCTGACCCCAGCACCAAGTCCGAGCAGCACTGCACCGCAGGCCTGAACGCCTGTCAGGTCTGGCGCCATGGGGCTGAGGGGCTAAGCATCACTGCTGGGGAGACCTTCCCTCCTAACCCCCAAGCACAATTTCAGCTTCTGTCTTCAATGTAATGGTCTAATGGCAGAAGGGCAGTAGGACAAGGTTAAGTGGGGGCATTTTTTTTAAGTACGGGGCTTGGGGGACATACCTGACAGTGTTCAAGGGTAACTCCTGGGTCATTGCTAGAGGACTGTTCACTCCTGGGAGTGTTTGGGGAGCTAACCTGGCCCTTTGGCATGCCAAGGGTACAACCCAGCTGCTCACTTCTCTCTTTATGCAAAGAATACTTTAATGAGGACCTTGACACATAAAGATTCAGAAAGGAAAAAAAAAAGCATGTGCCAATTACATTAAAAGTATTAAAATAATCCATCTAAGAATACTGGGCAGCATTTCCACATTCTATTAGGCATAAAATGCTTATCACTTTCTTCCAGAGGCTTTGCATGCAATTAGGTTTAGGGCCACATGGAATTAAATATAATTTAACTGGTCAAAGGAGACTTTCAAGCAAATTTCTCTTCCAACATCATTAAGAAAATAAAACCTAATCCTTTGCGGTTGGGGAAAAGGGTACAATCTTTTGGTTATGAGAAGAATAAATTTCGGAGGGCTAATACACAGCATGGTGACTCCAGTTTAATAGGTATACTCCAGGTTGCCCTGGGAGATCTTCAACGTCCTCACCTTAATAAAAAAAGTGACATTTATTTGAGGTGAAGGATGTGGCAACTGACGTTGTCATGGGTGGAGGGACATTGGGGGAGAGGGGAAATAAAACTAAACATTTCAAAACCAACCTTTATTAAAATAGGTGACATAAAATAAAAACCGACTTCAGGAATTTTCTTCAAACGTCTCCCTGATGACTGACCACAGCAAATATTAACGCATAACCTAGTTACTTGACTATTTTCTTTTACTTACATAAAGGAGAGTAACTCTCCTATTTCCCAGTGTTCTCACCTATTACAAAACATACTAAAAACATGTACTTACAACTGTAAAAGCTCTACAGGGCCTGGGAGATGGCCCACCGGGTGGGAGTTTGTTCTTACTGTAGGAGTCATGGTTTCAAGTCCCGAAACCACATGGTCTCCTGAGGAGCCGTATGCCCCGTAAACAAAACAAGCTATAAAAAATCCTTATACCTAACCCAATTCCTCTTTCATTTCAACAGTATTCCTTTATCTTGTATTTTAATTTCCTGGAGTATTATCATCCAGGAGAAAGGATCGATGAATCGTGAGGGGCAACTTTACATGCCAACTCAGCAAGCCTCAGAGTGGGCTGTTCGCTCAGACACCAAGCAGATGTCACTGGGAAGGTACCCTGCAGAGGCATTCACACTGACCATCAGTGGACTCTCCACAGTGCACTGTGTTCACGAGTCAGGAAGGTGGGTCTCATCTCATGAGTTACAGCTCTCAACAATGAACACTTAGATTCCCCAAAGAAGGAGTTCTCACTCAAGACTCTAATACAAGGAGCCTGAGGGAGAGTACAGCGGGTAGGGTGCTGGCCTTGCATGCAGCCGACCTGAGTTCAATCCCCAGCACGCCAGATGGTCCCCTGAGCCCCACCAGGAATGATCCCTGAGCACAGAGCTAGGAGTGAAGACTGGGCACCGTCAATGTTATGGCCTCAAAAAAAAAAAAAAAAGCGAAAACACAAATAAGACTGTATTATAAAATCCTCCCTGAATTTCCATATTATTGGTCTGTCCTATTTTATTCAGACTCAAGACTTCAATATTAGCTCTTGGTGAATCTCCAGCCTATCCAGGTTCTACAGCTCTAAAGAACCCCCACTGACACAGAACTGAAATTTGTAAGAAAAAAACCAGCCACTCCTCCATCTCTGTGTGCTTCAGCTGACTCTGATTCCACTACAGAACTATGAAGAGGTGAGGGAGCGCCACATGCCAGCAAAATAATCGCCACAACAGCGCTGCTTTACCATAGGTCTTTCGAGAGGAGCTCTCTTCGCTCTGAAGATCCTCCAGCCACACTGCAAGCACAGTGGAATCCGCATTCCAGAGGAGTTCATTTACCTAGGATGAAAAAAGCATCAGTCATTATCCTCTACTTATTCAACAATTTTTATGATGGCCGAATACTCTTCTCAGACAAAACTAAGAAACTTCAGTTGATGGTTTACTGAAAACTAATAAGCCACAATGCCATTAAATCATCCTGTGGAGCATGCAATCATATAAAAAAAGAACTAAAAAATTTTAAATGCTTCACTGCCACTGTCCTCCCGCTGTTCATCAATTTGCTCAAGCGGGTGCCACTAACTTCTCCATTTGTGCTGACATGTGCTAGTGTAGCCCGATGGCATATTGGGGGCTCTTTCAGGGTCAGGGGAATGAGGATCATCACTGTTACTGTTTTCGGCATATCAAGTATGCCATGGGTAGCTTGCCAGGCTCTGCTGTACAGGCGGGATATTCTCAGTAGTTTTCCAGGCTCTCCAAGAGGGATAGAGGCTTTTTTAAATGCTTATGTTTAAATAATTTAAAAAAAAAAAAAAAAACAAGGGGCAGGGAGCTAGTAGAAGGCTTAAAGAAGCCTGCCTTGAGAACTGGTCGGTAGAACTGAGCTAACCGCGGTGGGGGCTGAGGGGCCAGTTGATGGGGGGTAGGGGTAAACGACACTGGTCGACAGCTTGGTGCTAGTACCTGGTATGAAGCCTCTGCTTAGGGTCATATCAAATACAAACCTTCTCTATGGAACCCTCTAAATTTGGCAGTGAAACCAACACAGGCACCTACCTTCACCTCATCTTTGTAGAAAGGGAGAGTAAACTGTCCATGGAGAAGTCCATTTTTCTCAAAAAACACAACATCCTGCTGGTTGGGTTTATCTTGCGTGGATGCAATCAAACTGCCAGAGGGTCTGAAAGTAAGCTCAGAGCGTCAGGATATTGAAAAGCTTGTCTACCAAGAATCATGTAACGTCATTCACAGTCCCGGCAGAATGGCTGAGAAGCACCCGTGCCTGTCCCGTGCCCTGGCTAGGCCATGGGTGATTTCCAGTACCTTCCCTGCCCCTGCTATAAATAAAAGAGTTTTTTTCCCCCATCTCAGTAGCAACCATTAGAAGCAAGCCCGTTCTCTCTCCAGGCTCAGAGGAAAATGAAATGCAACGGCAAACCGTATCTCCAGCAAAAACCAAAACCCTCCATCCACTCAAGAATGCCAGGAGTCCCCCATGAGCCTCCCAGCAAGCAGTAACTAGTGCAGGACTGTCTGCCCCGAGCAGGTCTTCTGTACACAAAGACAGATGTAGACAACACTGGAGTCACATCTTTTTCTGGAGTGTGTGTGGGGGGGCGGGGCAACCCCTCGTGATGCTCAGGGCTTACTACTTGTTCTTGCTCTCAGGGATCATTCCTGGCAGTGCTCAGGAGACCACAGCGGGTGCTGGGGGATGAAACCCAGGGAAGCTACATGCAAGGCAAGTGCTCTGCCTGCTGTACAATCAACGAATCAGTCATCCCAAGTCTAATGTCCTATAAAACCACAAACTTTCTCCTTCAGACACATCGTTTTAGGAAACATTTCATCCTCAGAGAGGTGTGTCTGAAGGCCTCCAAATACAACGGACACGCCACAATCACCTCATTTCCTCATGTACATGAGTTTTCATTCAGGTACATTTCTTTCTTTGCTCTGTCAGCCAACAGCCATAAACTGCTCAGAAACAAGCCATCAAAAGCCTGGAGAGAGAACGGGCTTGCTTCTAATGGTTGCTACTGAGATGGGGGAATAAAAAAACTCTTTTATTTATAGCAGGGGCAGGGAAGGTACTGGAAATCACCGATGGCCTAGCCAGGGCACGGGACAGGCACGGGTGCTTCTCAGCCATTCTGCCGGGACTGTGAATGACGTTACATGATTCTTGGTAGGCAAAGGGCTGCCCACCCTGACCTCCAGTCAGGACGGCTGCAGGTCACGGGCAGCAAGTGGCTCCAGAGAGGCCCTGAGTCAAATGTTGACTCGTCCCAAATTTAGGCTGTAAGGTTCCTAGCAAGAAGATTCCCCCCGGGGGTGGGTGACTGTATCGTGGAAAGGATTCTTCTGCTTTTCACCAAAGTCCCCTTGCTCCAAAGACCCCTCCAGACATTCCTCTAAGCACCAATTTCCCTTCCACACGATGGCTTCAGACAGGTTCCGCCTAGGACACATAACACTAACACAGGTGGGCCTTAGAATGGTAAGAACTGAGAAGGGTCAGAGAAGTCGGATGAAGGGTAAGGTGTTTGTCTTGCACATGGCTCTCCTGGGTTTGATCCCTGGCACCAAACATGATGCCTGAAGTCCTGCCAGGAGCGACCCCTGAGCACAGAGCCAGGAGTAAGGCCTGAACACAGCTCTGTGTGCCACCAACAGTGCCTTTACCCCACCCCTCTTCCCCCCACCAAAGAAAAAGAACTGAGAAGGAGGCTGGGGGTATAACTCAAAAGCTGGTAGACAGGCTGTGTATGCAGGAAGACCAGGTTCAGTCCCCAGCACATGGTCCTGGAACACTGCTAGGTGTGACTCCAACACACACACACACACACACACACACACACACACACACACCCCTTACACCTGAGAAGCAGCTCAGAATGTGATCTTCAAATTTAATTCAAATTCAGAGCACTAAAAGGAAAATGATGTAAGTTACACCAAATGAGGAAAAAGGAAACGTTTCTTCGGTATTAAACTTCCACAAGCCGCAGTTGCCCCATCCCGAGGGCTTCTTTCCCACTCACTTCCATGCCAGAGCCGGTCCGAGTCCTGCCACAGGCTCACTGGTTGACTGCAGAGCAAACTCTCGGTTCCACACTCTCACCTTCCGGGCCCCTGGGGAACAGAAACAGACACTCTTAGAGCATTCTAACCAAATGCTGTCAAGCCAAAACTCTCAAACATTAAACCAATAAATGGGACAAGAAAAGGAGTCCCATGGACATATGGTCATAATTTTAGTCTTATTACAAATGACAGTCATCCTGCAGGACATAGGGCCAGATGACCTCGCAGAGCTCTTCTCATTCTTAGCTCCAGATTCATTAGCAACTAACACTAAAGGTCTTTATTTCATTTATGAAATTAGAAAAAAAAAAAAAGAAAACCTTCCTGAATTAGCAAGATCAATTCCGTATGTAACAGCAACTGATTTCCTTACCTGTCTCTGGGCAAACAACACTCACTGCAAAGAACTGGCCATCACCACGCCAAGTCACCCGGGGTCTGTGGTCATCCCAGGGCAAAGCAGACTCGTGCTGAAGGCAGAAGAAACACAAGTGGCACCGGGAGTTGGAAAGGGTCCATATCGAATGCACTGTGGCCTAGGACATTTCTACCTTTGCTTGAAGGTTTCTTTGACCCGGAAACAGTCAATTGAAAGCATTTTAAACAAAGTAATTCCTTGGGCTTCAAAGAAAGAGGGACAGGTGGTGGTGGACTGACCCCAGAGCTGTGCATGTCACCACAGACTCTCTCCCCCATTCTTTTTTTTTTTTTTCATTAGTGAAACACCATGAGGTACAATTACAGACTTACAAATTTTGTGCTTGGCTTTCAGTTATACAGTGATCAAGTACCCATCCCTCCACCAGTGCCCATTTCCCACCACCACGGGTCCCAATGTCCCTCCCATCCCTCATCCCCCCCATCCCACCCTGCCTCTGTGGCAGGGCAGTCCCTTTTGTTCTCTCTCTCCTTTTGGGTGTTGTAGTTTGCAAAAGAGGCATTTAGTGGCAATCATGTTTGGTCCTTAGTCTACTTTCAGCATGCTTCTCCCATCCTTGGAGGATCCTCCCAACACCCTTTATTTGGTGCTCCTTTCTCTATCTGAGTTCCCTTTTCTCCTAGCACGTGTGGCTGGCCTCCCAAGTCATGGAGCAAAATTCCTGGTACTAATCTCGGCCACTCTTGGGTGTGAGTCTCCTATTGTGTTACTTTATGTTCCCCAGATGAATGCAATCTTTCTGTGTCGATCCCGCTCTTTCTGACTCATTTCACGTAACATGATACTTTCCATATAGTACCACTTATATGTAAATTTCATGACTTCATTTTTTCTAACAGCTACATAGTACTCCACTGTGTGAATGTACCAGTTTCTTTAACCAGTCATCCGTTCTTGGGCACTCGGGTTTTCTCCACATTCTGTCTGCCCAGTTCTTTCACCGATGGCCCAGGCTTACCGTGTGCATCTGAAAGGCTGCTTGCCTCCCTTCTGATCCGTGGAACTGGGTCTCCTTCTTGCCCCATCCAAGAGTGACAAACTTGCCTAGAGAACAGTTGGTTGAGAAGACACAAGACAACCAGTAAGTTAATAGAAGCAAGCTCGTGTGAGTCTTCAGGAAGCTCATCAGATTCTCTGAGACAGCTTCATCAATTGATCAGTAGTCAACACTCATAAAATCCTGTCCTCTCTATTATATGCAGCTGGGCTTATAAAGTAACTAAAAGGCCTTTACCTTGGAAAACACTTTATTGCCATCTTATATACGCTAAATATATACTTATATACCCTTGGTGATAGTAAACAATGCATCCCACTTCACAAAAAAATGGCATACGAAGAGTTTAAACGTGTCCACGAATAACAATGCCTAAGACTCAGCTGAAAAAAAAAAACACTGGAAATAAAATCCTGATTGTAAACCTTCAACTGAACATATATAACCTCACTGCTAGCACCAGGGGCTACACAACACCAATTTCAACACCTCACATACACGGGAGTGTGAAGGGCCCCTCCTGGTAGAAGCCAAAATCAGAACATGGGGCAGCAGCCTTCTAGACTAGGGTTCTCTCTAAATCATATTGCTTCTCTTATACAAGTCAAGAGGAGCAGAAACAAGACAGGCTTTCAGTTCCTGGAGGAAGAAAGGGCATGGTAAGAATTGCAGAGGGGCTTGAGAACTACTGCAGCCAACGGGGCACTTGCCTTGAGTAGTCAGGAGTAAGCACTGAGCACTGCTAGATGGGGCCCAAGAAAACAAGAAAACAAAACAAAACAGAGATTTCCTGCGGAGCTATCCCTGAAACCAGCGGCCAGATGCAGGCCCCAGTATTTGACTCTGATGAAGCGGAGTTGATTTCTATGGTCAGTATGTCCATTTCTATGCTTCACGGGCACATCCAAGCAGCCTTTGCTGCTGCACACAAAAAGCAATGTCCATCCTGCTGGTCACTCCTGGGCGTGTATCAAAATGTCCCCAGACACCAGCTGGAGAGAGAGCACAGTGGGCACAGTGCAGGCCTTGATCATGCCAGCCTGGATTTGAGCCCCAGTACTACATAGGGTCCCCTGAGTGATTCGGAGAAGTGTTCCTGGGCATTGCCCAGTGTGGCCAGAATAACAAGAATAAACTCAAATAAATGAATGAAAGTTCCCATAGAGAGGCAGAGGAGCAAGGAGTGAGAGGGCTCCAGTGGCTCAGACAGGAAGCAGTGGGGTCAGCAAACTCCAGTTGGCATCTGCTCCCTTATGGGGACCAACCCTTATGGGGACCCTAATCCTCACCTGCTCTCATGCTCTCACAGCAGAGATGAGGAGCTGAGCAGAACCGTGTGGCTTGCAAAGCCGAAATACTGTCTAGCCCCTTAGAACAAGTCTGTCAACCCCAGGCTAAAGGGAAATTATTTTCTGCTCCACAGAGTGGGAATTGAAATGGACTTCTTTGTTTATTCTCCGGGGTTCTTAGGAAGGTCGGGGGCTTTCCCTGGAAGAGGTGCTGGTTACCACCCCCATTTCCACATGCCTCCCCTCCCCCACCCACGTGACTCCTCAAAGCTGGTGGCCCCAGAGTTCCTCCCTGGGTCCTAGACTCCTCCAGAGACCCACCATTCACAAGACAGTAAAGCCTGTAAAGCAAAGGCTGCCTTTGTGCCAGTGACTCCCGCTCCGTATCCACAGCTCTGGTTCTCTGCTGCCTGCTACCATCTGATCCACACTGCCCAAAGCTGCAAAGGGAAACCCTCACCTACCAATTCCACACCAGCACTCACTACCCCGCCTTCCTGTCCAGGCTGGGAGCTCCCGGCTAGAGTCCCACTAAGCTGGTTCTTCCTCACCTAAATTTACCCAAAGCCTCACTCTCCCACTTCGAAACTGAAACATCTCCAACTCATGACTATCAGCAGAGGAATCAGACACACACGGGTTAAGTAATGGATCTCAGACAATTAGGAAAACACACTCCCATTCTCACCAAGAATTCACTTTTTAAAGAACGAATCCTCCCGGGAGAGCCCCACTCCCACATTCCTTCTCCCTCCCTGGAGCCCTGTAGCAGCCTCCAACCTGGCCACCCGCCCCGCACACGCCCGCCTTCCATCCAAGCTGGTCAAGCTCCAAGTTTAATCAAAATCCATCCCACTCACTTCATGCCACACTCATGGCCTGCCCCCCGCCACCCCCCACCCCGAGTACTGAAATACTCTGCTGCCTAAAGACACCATGCCTTGTGAAAAACGTCTATGAAATCTTCCCTGGCAACGAACTACTGTATTCACTTGGACCGCCCCCCCCACCTTCCATTAACCCACCAGCACTCAGTCAAGGCTCAAGTCAGTCTCCACTACTCAGTGCTCCCTCTCCATTCGCCTCTTCCCATCTCTTTGATACCCAACACCTGTGCATCCAGGAATCCAGCATGGAATTCCGGGTCTCCCTGAGGGAAGCGCCAAAGTATCCATTACACAAGAAACACTCTGGCATCCATAGTATGTGCTCAAATTAGTCCGGAATCAATTATGTTCAATAAATAACAGAGTGCTCTTTTTTTTAGCTTTTTGGGAGGCTGGATCGATAGCACAGCGGTAGGGCGTTTGCCTTATGCGTAGCCAGCCTGACCGAGCGGGGTTCAATTCCTCCGCCCTTCTGGAGAGCCCGGCAAGCTACCCAGAGTATCTCGCCCACAGGGAAAAGCCTGACAAGCTACCCGTGACGTATTTGATATGCTAAACACAGTAACAACAAATCTCAAAATGGAGACGTTACTGGGCCTGCTTGAGCAAATCAATGAACAACAGGAGGGCAGTGCAGTGCTAAAGCTTTTTGGATCACACCCAGCAATGCACAAGGGTTACTCCTGGTTCATGCATTCAAGAATTACTCCTGGCGGTGCTCAGGGGATCATATGGCATGCTGGGAATCAAACCCGGGTCAGCAGTGTGGAAGGCAAATGCCCAACCCTCTGAGCTATCGCTTCAGCCCCCAGAGTACTTTTATAACTGACTTCTCAGAGTTGGTACAAGGCGTGAAATAAGACTTTGATAAGGGTTAAAACCACCTTTTCCCCCTATCGCACTCCTCATTCAGGCCTGCCAGCTGGTGCCCTGACCTTGGGCAGAGCCCATGGGAGACACAGCATCTCCTCTCTTCATTTCCTCTGATACTTGTCCCCCCCACTCACTGCCCAAAACACCACAGCAAGATCTCAGCAAGTAAACAATCTGACGGCTCCCATGAAAATATAGTTTGGGATGCAATTAGCAGAAACAAAGATAACCCTTCTTTTCTACTTCTACTTCTCATTTTCTCCCCTGAATTATTCCCTAGAAATTTTCTTCTTCTCTTTTTTTTGGTTAGTAGAGTCCCTTTCATTGACTCCCCAGTCCAAGACTTCCCAAGTTTGGGAGCAGAAGCTAGATTTACCCAGTGACCTAGATAAATAGCAGAGAAACCTACTCCACAGATTACTAACAAAGCCAACTCTCTGACACAAAGAGGCATCAGAGGTCTGACTTCTAACATGTGGGATAAGCCAAAAAAACTGGGCTAATGATAAGAATCAACCCTATAATCCTATAATCCAACTTCCAATGCATGATAAAGCAGGTACAGCGCAGTTACACAACAGAATACTATGTGGCTGTAAGAAAGGATGAAATCAAGCAATTTGCCCACTATGTTGATGGAAATGGAGGACATCATGCCGAGTGAAGTCAGGAGAGGGACAGACTCAGAATAATCTCTCTCATGAGGGATATAAAGATGCACAGTTTAGGAGCAACAGACGACGAAAGGAAATGGAGAGCTGGTCCAACAGAGTCAGCCCGGGAGTGGGGGTGAGGGGTGGATGGGAGGGATCCTAAGAACTGGTGGTGGGATATGAGCACTCTGGTGGCGGGTGTGTTGTTGGAACACTGTAAGCCGGAAACTATCATTAACAGTATTGCAAATCATACCACCTCAACCAAACCAAAGAGAAAAAGACGACTGGCTATTGGATGTTTAATACACCAAGGTTTAAAAAGTCTCATGGTTCTTCAGTTTATATGGTTTTGAGAATATCGCAAGAAAATGATCAAACCTGAGAAGAAATTCAAGCGACAAACTTTTTCAATCAAAGTTCTACTCACTTTCACCAAAATCCTCCTGGTGGATTTGTTGTTCCATGATGGGTTCAAAGTCTTTCGTCATCATAATCAGGGTCTGTTGACCTTGAAGGAACACAAACGACAATGATTTTGTTTTCATGTAACGAATCTGAGATTCCCTAAATATCTACAGCACTGAAAGCTACAGAGCTGAAGAGAAACCATTCATGGTCAGGACAATGCAGGCAACACACTCAAAACATCTTGACTCGTTTAAAAATAATACAACAGTGGGACCAGAAGAGTCCAGCGAGTAAGGTGCTTGCCTTGCACTTGGCCAGCTGGGGTTTGAACCCCCGAATTCCGCCAGGACTGAGTCCCGAGCACAGAGCTAGCACATTTAAGAGTGCTACTGGGTGTGGACCCCAAAACCAAATAAAGTAACAATTTTGATACGTCATCATTATTCCCAACTATTTAGTAATGCAAAACTAGCCTAAAAATCCATATGGCCTGGATGACAGAGATGATATAGGAAGTAAGGTGCTTGGCATCGTAGACATCGTAGACCCCCGTTCAATGCCCAGAACCACATGTGGTCGCCTGAGCACCACCAGGAGTTATCCCTAAGCACAGAGCCAGGAGTAAGTCCTAAGCACCACTGGGTGTATCCTCAGTGTATATGTCGCTGTAAGAATACTATGTAACTGTAAAAAGGATGAAATAAAAAAAAACATAGCCCTTCTCCACTAACTTCAACACTTTAGTCACCAAAGTATCTCTTCAAATATATGCTTTACTGGGGTGCAAATTTTAAAAAAATATATATATTCATCTGGAATTAAGAGAAAGTGGGAAAGCAGTGTTTGAAGGCAGGTAAGAGCTCTTAAAAGAGCTGTAAGAAGCAGGGCAGGAGAGAGTACAGTAGAGAGGGCACTTGCCTGGCACACGGCTGACCCAGGTTCAAGCCCCTGCACCACATACAATCCCTGAACACCACCATGGATAGCCCCAAAACAAGCTCTAAGAAGCATTTTTAGTATGTGTTTTACATAGTGACTCTTTTTTTTCTTTTTGGGTCACATCCGGCAATGCACAGGGGTTACTCCTGGCTCGTGCACTCAGGAATTACTCCTGGTGGTGGTCGGGGACCCATATGGGATGCTGGGAATCGAACCCGGGTCGGCCACATGCAAGGCCAATGCCCTACCCACTGTGCTATCACTCCAGCCCTACATAGTAACTCTTTCACTGAAGTCAGGAGGAAAAAATCTTGCTGGCTGGAGGTACGGATCAATGAAAGTGGGAGGCTCTAAGCTCAGTCACACTTGACTCTTCCCTCTCCCAAATGAAGGAACATAAAGACTTTTAAAATAATATATTAAAATGTAAAACAAGCTAAGATATACACACAGATTCCTTATAACAATGGTCTGATAGCACAAAGACACTCATGGAACTGCATCATCCGGTCAGTTAAGCCCACCAGATATCAAGAATCGAGTTTTAGAAAAGCCGCCAGTTCCAGTGACAAGCTCACCTGTAACGAGGAGCACCAGCTCCTGGTCAGGACTCCAGCTCATGACACAGATACCACTGGCGACGCTTCCGACACATTCCAGCTGAGACAGAGACAGGAGATGAGATTTGAGAAAACAGCAGTGGCTAGCTGTTTACTAGAGACTTCATCAGAAATATCAACCGCAAAGCAAATAATCATCTGATGACAGGGCAGCTCAGCATGACACAGAGCATGGGGCTAGACATGTCTGGAAGCTTCATCCCTTCCCCAAGGTATCTCATGGAGAAGATGAAATCATTTTTTTTTTTTAATCACTAAATAATCTTGGTGAGAACTCTCTGTGCACAGTAAGGAACAGGAATTCTGTCTTGCAGGCCCTGAGAGAGGTCACAGCACGATGGACAGCAACTAACTGGAGGAGCCTGCAATCTGCAAAATTTTTCAGAACACTTTTCACTTTTCAAGTAAACACATGAATACATGAATTTTACACATGAGAAATAGTAACAGAGTTAAGGTAAAGGTAAAGGTAAAGGCCCTCCCGATGATCGTCGATTTGCTCGAGCGGGCCCAGTAACGTCTCCATTGGAGACTTTGTTGTTACTGTGTCTGGCATATCGAATACTCTCGGTAGCTTGCCGGGCTCTCCGAGAGGGGCGGAGGAATCGAACTCGGGTCGGCCATGTTGGCCGCTTGTAAGGCGAACGCCCTACCGCTGTGCTATTTTTTTTTGCTTTTTGAGTCACACCTGGCGATGCCTAAGGGTTACTCCTGGCTCACGCACTCAGGAATTACTCCTGGTGGTGCTGGGGGAACATATGGGATGCTGGGAATCAAACCCAGGTCAGCCACATGCAAGGCAAACGCCCTACCTGCTGTGCTATCACTCCAGTGCCTAACAGTTATACTTTATATTTGATAGTTTTGCTATTTCTGTCCATGAACTGAGAATAAGGTTTCATTTATTTATTTATTTGTTTGTTTGTTTGTTCTGGGGGTCACACGCAATGATGGTCCTGGCTCTGCACTCTGGAATAACCACTGGCAGTGCTTAGAGGACCAAATGGGATGCCAGGGGTCAAACTTGGGTTGGGCACGTGCAAGGCAAGCGCTTTACCTATTAATTACCTATTATTTATTAATCTTTCTACTACCTCTCCAGTCCCAAGATGTAAGGCTTATTATGACACTAAACAGAAGAGGTGAAAATGAAGGTGCCACATTCAGAGCACCAGGGGCCAAATCCCCTCTGACAACTGCACTACTCTGACCTACTAACGCATGCCTCAATTTCTCCTTCTGAAGAATGAGAAACAACAATCTTCCTCATAAGGGTGCAGTAAAGAATAAATTTAAAATAATTTTGTTTGTTTGGGGGGCACACTGGCAATACTCAGGGGTTACTCCTGGCTCTGCACTCAAGAATCACCCTTGGCAGACTCTGGAGACCACATGGGATGCTGGAGATTGAACCTGGGTCAGGTGCATGCAAGGTAAGTGCCTTACCCGCTGTACTTTGGCTCCAACAAAGAAAAAATAAAATTATGCACAAAAAGTCCTTGGAGAAGTATTTGGCACATTATAAGATTTAGCTGATATTAGGAGTTGTTACTATTATACTAGCAATGTAACTCTTGTGACAAAAATCAACATTAACAATACCATAATCAGGGCTCAGTACAGAGGGTAGGGTGCTTGCCTTGCAAACGACCAAGCCAGGTTCAATCCTTGGCACACCATAGGGTCCCCAGAGCCTGCCAGGAGTGACCTATAAGTGCAGAGCCAGGGGTTAGCCCTGAACACTGCCAGATGTGGCCCAAAGAAAAATAAAAAACAAGACAAAATATGTAACTGTAAGATGCTTAAACATGATGGTTCCTGAGTCCTTAAACCTCTGCACAAGGGACCTGTTTGAGCCAGGATTCTGCCTCCCTGGCGGCTCTGGCCTACCTGGTGTGTGCTGAGATTGCAGAGAATGACGTCTCCCGAGGCCATGGCCACACACACAGACTCCTGATCCAGCAAGTCCTGAACACCAACGATGCGGCCACTTCCGTCCTCGGGGAGAAAACCTTCTGCCACTAGAGAAATTTCATTTTTCACCTTACACCAAAGCAAAACAGAAACAAATCAAATCAATCTACTTTCAAGGTCATTTCCAGAAATCGAGTACTTTTTAATGTTTCTCTAATTATATTAAAGCTTTCAAAAAGATTTTTCCTATGTTAAAATTCAAACTTTCGATAATTATCATTATTATTCTCTTTAATAATATTTAAGATATTTCTGCTAAGAAAAACCAAAAAGAAGTCTTTTAAAAATGTTCAGTAACACCTGACGTTAAAAAAATGCAGTTTTCTAAGATTTCTATAGAAAAAGGGGAAAATGTAATTATCTACACTACATTATTAAGGAAATATAGGTAAGGGAAGATACCAGAATTAATCCTAACAGTGTGCTGTGGTCAGGATCCAGTGAGGATCTAACTAATAGAGTTAGCATGGGTTGTAGAGTGAAATGCAATTTCTAAAAATTCTACAGGCAATTTTCATCTGTGCGATCAGTTGAAAATCACTATTATGGGTAATATTTACATATAAAGGGGGAAAAGTAAAGTAGCTACAAAAACTTAAGCTTTTATCAACTTTAATTCAGAATAGAAGCCAGGTAAAAAGGACTCATGCTTGATATTAATATAAAGGAATGTACGTTGAAAGGAATATTAATTCAGTAAGATTTAAAGTAAATGTTGTCTGGCTCTTTAAGTCCATGCTCTCCCTTCAACATGCATCTCATTTTTTGGTCTCTATTGCCTGCCTTTTCCACTCGGGAGATTCTCATGTTCTCTCGTAAACATGTACTTCTTTCTCTCCCCTCACATATTTCTAAGTGAGCTTCAATAAAAATTACCTTACTTCACACACAGACACACAGACAGACAGACACAGACACACAGACACACAAACACACACAAACACACACACATACACAGAGTAAATATCGTGAGGGAAGGTAATCTGAAAGCAGGCACGTCAAGGGTCATGCCAAGCACAGGTATTTTCCACTAATAACTTACTTCTCTCGTGCCAGGGTCAACTTCTATCAGTCCAAGCTCTGAGCCAATGAGCACTGTTCCCTGTTCAGTTCGAAGAGTGAAGCACTGAGGCTTCCCTGGAGCCTGAATATCCCGAAACTCCAGGGTACGCAGTAACTTGAGGTTTCTCATGATGTTGATTCCCAAAGAAAAGCAGAAATATCCCCTGCTGAAGCATAAAGCCCTAAAAGAGAAAGGAACAGTTTGACAAGGACAAATCACACACAGAAGCAAAATGAGTTAAAGGGCCAGGAAGGAACAGAGTAACAGGGAAGGAACCAACATCGGTCTCATCAAAACCCCACGGGGAGGGGACAACTGCCACCCAACATATCAACCTATAAATGGAGGAAAGTCGAGTCCCAACAAGATTTTTTCTTTCTTATTCCTCAGTTACGTTGAAAAGAACAAAGCAAGTAAGGAAACATTTCATATTTCAGATTATCTTTGTATAATCCTGATTGACTCATAAAATCATTAAGGGAAAATGTTTACCCCAGTGATACACACAAACCCAGAGTTGAAGAAGAGCTAGGATAAAATGGCACTAATGAGGCTGGAAAGATAGTACAGAAAGGCAAGGGGTTGACCTTGCATGTAGGTGACCTACGTTAATTCCTGGCACCCCTAATGCTCTCTCAAGACTGGCCAGGAGTGTTCCCTCATCACAGAGACAGGAGTAAGTCCTGAGGACCACTCGGTGTGAACCAAAACCAAAAGCAAACAAAAAGAAACATTAATATCTCCGACTACATTTATTTATAAACCGGCTGTATATTAAGGTAAAAAGGTAAAGGCCCTCCCGTTGATCGTCGATTTGCTCGAGCGGGCCCAGTAACGTCTCCATTGGAGTCTTTGTTGTTACTGTGTCTGGCATATCGAATACTCTCGGCAGCTTGCCGGGCTCTCCGAGAGGGGCGGAGGAATCGAACTCGGGTCGGCCATGTTGGCCGCATGTAAGGCTAACGCCCTACCCGCTGTGCTATCGCTCCAGCCCAGGCTGTATATTATGTTCATTAAAAAGATTAAAGTGAAATCAAGCAGAAATTGTACTAAGCATTCACAGTTCTCAACAAGATATGTCACTGTCACTGTCCTCCCGTTGTTCATTAATTTGCTCGAGAGGGCCCACTAATATCTCAATTGTGACAATTGTTACTGTGTTTGGCATATCGAATACGTCACAGGTAGCTTGCCAGGCTTTGCGGTGCGGGCGAGACACTCTCGGTAGCTTGCCGGGTTCTCCGAGAGGGGCGGAGGAATCGAACTCGGGTCGGCCATGGTGGCCACTTGTGAGGCAAACGCCCTACCGGCTGTGCTATCGCTCCAGCCCAAACAACAACAAGATATGAAAACATGGAAATCACAACAGCTTACTTCAAAGCAATGACCGAGAGGGTGGAGGCACTTTAAGACCTGATATAACTGACTATACATGATCTGTATTTCCAGGCCTGGCTGTCGTAAGACAAAAAGGTGACAAAAGATTAGGAAACCTGCTTTGGTTTGGCAAAATCGGAATTATAACTACAAGGCTGCATGGTTTATTCAGATTTCTTTAAGAATGGACATGCCTAACTTCTGTTAGGGTTGGTAATTACATAAACCACGCTGTTGTTAATGGCATCTCAATCCAACATGAATTCTTGGATTCATCGTGACATTTCATAGACGTAACATCTAAAGAATAAAGGTGAGTTTATCTTTACATTCCATGGCAATTAATATTAAGTAACAGAGTAACAGCAACGATACAGCATATAATAGGGATTAGCAGGAAGGTGAAACTTGACAAGTGAGGAAGAGTCAAAGGCAGACAATGGCTTGAAAGCTTTGGTGACATCTGATTATTGACTTCCAGGAAAAAGTCAAACCTGTACTATACCTTGCAGGGTTTTCTTATTATTATTATGAAATCACCGTGAGATACACAAAGCTTTCATGATTGAGTTTCAGTCATACAATGATCGAAAACCCATTCCTCACCAGTGCACATTTCCCACCACCCAAGTCCCCAGTATCCTTCGCACACAGCCCCACCCCATCCCACCCGCTGCCTCTGTGGCAGCACCTTCCTTCTTTCTATTTGGGGCATCATGGTTTCTTGCAGATTCTTAATCACAGACCTAATCCTTCAGAGAAAGCACACGAGGATGTCAGTTTCTCCAAGGATAAAGTCCCAGTCCGGAGAAAGAACTGCAGCCCAGCAAGCAAACCCTCTCCGAACCTCCTACCGCCTCTCCCACACACTAACAGGTTCGTTTTCAGTCGGGTTGCCCACTATTGCAAGGAATGCCCAGGCTGGGCGAGGATGCAACAGGCAGAGTTGAAGGCAGGAGGCCAAGAGTCACGCCACCGTCCAGGCATGGCCTGCAGCGGGCAGACAGTGGGCCACCGCTGATGCCCTCTGGCAGGGGGCGGGTCGCTCCAATACTCACCTGCACGGTGGTCTGAAGAGCCCCGGCCGAGCCCCGGATCACCGGCTGGTGCAGCACCCAAAGGCAGCTAGAGAGACGCTTGCACCAGGCAGCGAGGGCGAGCGGCAGCCAGCTAGCTAGCAGCACGGCCTAGGCGTGACGTCAGAAGACGGAGAGGCAGGGGCGGAAACTTCCGGTGCTCGGGTGACGCGGAGGGGAGGAGCTTCCTCTGGACCCGCCCCTCTGCCGCCTGCCAGCCTATTGCCTTCTAGTTTCTCTCTGACGTCACGCGCAGATGCCGCCGTCGCTTCCGGGTAGGCGGAGCTTGCAGGGCGGGGCGAGAAACGCGCATGCGCACGATTTAAGCCGGCGCCGGAAACGCGCCGGAAGGCCTCGGAGCCGGGTGGGCGGGGGCCGCAGCGGCGCGGGGGGTCGCCATGGCTACGGAGCCCGCGCCCCTGGGGCCGGCCGCCCCTTCGCTGGTGGATCGTTACTTCACCCGCTGGTACAAAGCAGGTGAGAGGGGACGGAGGTCGGTTCCCTCCCGGGCCTCTGTGGCTTGGAGCTGTCGGGGCCGGTCTGGAGCCGCGCGCTCTCCCTGCTGATGCAGTGTCCGCGTCGGAAGCGGCAGGGATGGACTTTTGCAGCGGCCATCGGCGGGGGCGGGGGGGGTCTGGGAGGTGGCGAGGGTGGGTTCTGCAGCCGGCAGGGCAATGCCCAGTCCGAGGGTGGGTGGCTTACGGGGCTCGTTCGACTCCCAGGTGTGGCCCGCCGGGTTGGCAGGGGACCCCTTCTGGAGGGTCGGATTTGAAGGGCTCAGCCCCAAGATCCGATCAGGGACCCCGGCGGAGGTTGTCGGGACGACCAGAGTACCAGGAAGTTCTCCTAAGAGGATGCGCGTCCAGCGGTGTCCAGGACAAGCCCCTGGTTGGTTTGGATTTGCTGCTGAAAAGTGCCCCTGTAGGGAGGGGGGAGGAGAGCTCCAGCGCCAGCGCTTTGGGTCCCCGAGACCTGGGTTCGATCCTGGGCAAGGCATGGTACGCCTCATCACCCTGGAGGAGTCACCCCCTGCCTGCAACAGAACCTTGGCTGGCCCCTGAGCACAGCCAGGTGCCCCTCGCACCCCCCCTCAAAAAAAGGAAGTGACCTGTTCTGCAGTGGATACTCTGTATCAGTGGTTCTGTCATCATCCAAGCCCTTCTTCAACTCCTTCTTGGTCTTTCCTTCAAAAATCATAGAAGCACCCACTTGAAAAATAAAATGGTAGCACATTTCAGAGAGGTCAACCAACTGTGCCGATTTGATCAGGACTGTGGTTAAACTCCTATTTCCCCAGAAATCCTAGACATTCTCCCCTAACATGGGGGCAAATGAGGATGACATGGTCACCTTTAAATTGCCCAGAAAAACGTATGCTATTATACTGTAGTACTGTAGCACTGTCCTCCCACTGTTCATCGATTTGCTCCAGCGGGACCAGTAACGGCTCCATTGTGAGACTTGTTATTTTGTTTGGCATATCGAAGACATCACCGGTAGCTTGCCAGGCTTTGCCCTGCGGGTGAGATACTCTCGGTAGCTTGCCGAGCTCTCTGAGAGAGGCAGAGGAATCGAACCCAGGTCGCTGGGGTCAGCTGCGTGCAAGGCAAAAGCCCTACCCGCTGTGCTATCACTATTATATAAGACCATTATTGCTTAATTTCATTTTCCCCCCAATAGAAATGAGTGTACTCATTTTAAAGTGAGGGTAAATGAGATGGAACCCAAGCTTAATTGATTTACCATTGACTGAATGAATGATGTTTCTGAGTTAAGTTCCTTTAAATAGCTTGGAACTCTTGAGGTAAAGTCAATCTTTTAAGTCAGTGATTGGCATGCATCTAGTTTTCATAAGTAATTTTCTATGAACCAAGAAGTGTCACACAGCAAGAATAAAGCCATTGACTCAAAAACCAACAATTCATTTATTCTTGTAGATGTCAAAGGAAAACCCAGTGAGGACCATTGTATACTACAGCATTCTAACCGGTAAGCCAATTGGAATTTTAAGCTACCACCAAAAATGTCTTTCTGGGTTGGTAGCCAGAGATGGTGAGAGTTTGAACAAACATCCATGGAATTACTTTTACTGTGTTGAAGTGGTATAGTCAGTGATAGGAGTTTGGGTGACAAGAATGGAACTTTTACTCATTCTGAACAATAAAACAACCAGATTACTCAAATCTTCAAATGGCAGACCACCCCCAGAGCCTGGTACTTGAGGTAACTCATCCATGCCTGATCATGGAAATGCCAGAGTCCATGAAGAAGGCACAGGTGGAGGCATAGATGATACCCTATGCCTACTGGCATGAGTGACGTGCCTGACTTATGCCTTCTTCTACCTAGGGACCTCGGGTACTCTTCCCTTTCTCAAAGGAAATTGACTCCTTCTTACATTATTGCATTCCCTTCTACACTCTAATCAAAGAGAAAAGTTGGAAAGGATGGGGAGATAATAGTTTGACGAAGCAAATGTTCATTCCGATGATCTTAGGCCAGTAGAAAGACTCTGATGGGAGGGAGAATGTACCAAGTAGTAATACAGGACCACTTCTCACTCTGTAGAATCTGTGTCATCACACTGGCAGAATCTCATCCAGTACTTCAAAGTGGAAAGACAATTAAAAGCATCTCCTATCAAATCAGCACCAACTGCAGCAGACTTCAGAACAAGGTCTCCGGGAAATTCAAGCGGGTATGTTCCTGTCCTTCTCTACTTCACTCCTGTCAGTCGTGACTGGTCCAGTTAGTCTGAAGAGCCAAAATGTCCACACAGCATGCTCTCTGACAGTTTGAGATACTGACTATAAGAACGCTGGAACCGTAAAGTCTTAGTACCAAAACATGAGATATTTCAAAAGGTATGCTATCTGGCAAGATAGGGCCTGTATCATTATCCTCCCCAGGATGGAGGGCAGAGAAAGCAGCCGTTGAAAGAAAATGCTAATGGCAGTGTAACGAGATACTTCTGGTTTCATTATAATTTCACGTTCTAGTAGTATTTCAAGTTCTATAAAATTCAGACTAGCAAGTGTTTATTAAAAATATGTAACCAGGGGCTGGAGAGATAGCACAGCGGGTAGGGCGTTTGCCTTGCACGCGGCTGACCCGAGTTCGATTCCCAGCATCCCATATGGTCCCCTGAGCACCATCAGGAGTAACTCCTGAGTGCAGAGCCAGGAGTAACCCCTGTGCATCACTGGGTGTGACCCAAAAAAAGCAAAAATAAATAAATAAATAAAAATATGTAACCATCAATATGTATAAAACAAATATTTTCACAAATAAAATTCTTAAATTATATATCTTAAGGTTGAAAAAAAATTCACTGTGAGAGAATATGTAGTAGTTGCTGCTTATCCATTTTCCATTCCTTCATGGCTGCCAGTTCTGGTGTATCAGGATGTGCCCTCTGCCCTCCATACACTGCTCACCTGTGCCAAATGTTACCTCTGCTCTCAACAGGTTAGTATATGCTACTTAAAACTTTTCTCCTGAGACTGGAGGATATGGTAGGCTTGCCTTGAGTCCAGGCATAGAGCCAGGAGTAGGCCCTGAACACAGCCAGGTGTGGCCCAGGTAACAAAAACAAAAGAACAAAAAACCTTACTCTGATTTCAGATTTTTCTCCAAGCACTTTGTCGAAGTATTAAAATACCCCCGTTGGGGCAGAGAGATTGTCTGTTGGGGCGAGCAGCCGTCTATTGCCTTGCACAAGACTGACCTGCGTTTGATTCTTGGCACCCCTTACAGTCCTTGGGCCTACCAGGATTGATCCCCGAGTGCAGAGCCAGGAGTAAGTCCTGAGCACCACTGAGTGTGACTCAAAAGTCAGAAAAGGAAAGAAAATTAGCCCATCTACAAAGTGTCTTCGTGATCGACCCTAATAAAGACGTTTTCCTTTATTGTATAATATAAAAATGTAGAAATCTTCATGAAAGTAACTATTTCTGCCATACTGAAATGTTGGAATTTATATTACTGTGAATTGACAGATTTTCCTCTATTTTAGGTGCACACCTGGCTTTCAGTAGCACTTCATTCTTAATCTATAACTAAACTTCCAATTATTACATATTTTATGTTGGAGCCTAGCCATAGCACATAACAAGCACCTGTATACAAATGTTTAAGTCATGACTTTATTGTGCTTTATTTTTTTTAACTGGTTTTTTTGTTTTAGGGCAACATTCGACAATGCTCAGAGGTTATTCCTGGCCTGCACTCAGGAATTACTCCTGGTGGGCTCAGGCAACCATATAGGATGCCAGGGATTGTACCCCGGGTCAGCCACGTGCAAGGCAAATGCTCTACCCACTGTACTATCACTCTGGCCCCTGTGCTTAAGCCATTTTTTTTTTAATTAGTGAAACACCATGAGGTACAGTTGTAGACTTACAAACTTTCGTGCTTGGGTTTCAGTTATACAATGATTGAGTACCCATCCCTCCACCAGTGCCCTTTTTTTATTTAAAACTCTGTTCTACGAATATATCCTGTTAAAACCCTGAAAGTTTTCTTTCAAAGGAAATTTTAAAATGTACATTAATCACCTTCCCTTTTATTACACAGGGGGCACAGTTTCTAACAGAACTTGCACCTCTGTGTAAGATTTACTGTTCAGATGGAGAAGAATACACCATATCTAGGTGAGCTACTTGTTTTGACTGTACACTTGGAAAAAAGGTAATATTTTTCTTCAAAGCCATTTTTTTCCCCCCTTAATAGCTGTGTCAGGGGACGGCTGATGGAAGTGAATGAAAACATCCTCCATGAGCCATCCATTCTTCAGGAGAAGGTAAAGAGGCAGAAAGTCTGATCCCATTATGGTTCACGGACTGGTCACTGGACTGAAATTACCAAATCATTCTGTTTTCTTGCCAGCCGTCCACCGAAGGTTACATTGCAGTTGTATTGCCCAAATTTGAAGAAAGTAAGAGCGTAACAGAAGGTCTACTAACGCGAAAACAATATGAAGAAGTCTTGGTGAAACGCACAAATGTCGCAGCAGCCACCTCCTGAAGGCTGGCCTGGAGAGGGCGTGTGCAGAGTGGACACTTCCCGCCCGCCTCCCCGCAGTGGCTGCCGGCTGCCCGGCAGAAGAGCTGCTCGATTCACAGCCCGTCCCCGGAGAGCCCGCCCTGCACTGCGCCCGGTTCTCCTTCCCTGTCCAGCTCGCCGTATCCCCATTTCATCTTTCAGCCTCCCAGACTGCCGCCCGGGGACTCCCTTCTTCCTCTGCTGCATTTTCTAACAAGCAGTACATAAACACAGGGTATTTTTGGGTTAGTAACAAAAGTGGATATTTTCACATAGATATTGTGGCATTGGGTACTGGTTTGGACTCAATTTTCCATCAATTGGAAGTTTTAAAACGAGTGGATCCTTCTGACCCTTCTTAACCTCTACTTCACTGTGATACCAGAAAGTCTAGCCTAGCGTTTCTCCAACTTTCTCCGTCACCCCGTTCTGACCTTGTGTTCTCCCTGTGACCCAACCTACCTGTTGGCTCCCTGGTCTCATGCTGTGTGTCTCCCCCCATCCCCTCCCCCGTTTATGTGATTTGTTTACCTAAAGCCCTGTTACAATGAGTTTCAGATAAAAAGAACCTTAAAATTTATTATTTTTCCTGAAAATTCATGCATTTAAGTATCACTTGTTGAGTAAAAATTACTTAGAAGAATCCCCTTACATGTTGGGGGTCAGGGAGATAGCTCTACAGAATGAACGTATGCTTGGCTTGCGAGAACGTGAACCTTTACAGCCGATTCCCAGCACTGCAGTCCATGCAGTGCACCAGGGCTCCAAGACATGAAAGTTTCTGCACACCCTGCAGGTTTAGGCAAACCCCTCCCACCCCCAAAAAGAATGTCTAGCTTGTAAACATTTCTCCTCTTATTTCTATAGTAATTTGAAAGGATCTTTTGTTATCAGAGATCAAAAAGTAATGATTTGGGGGTTTTGGTTTGGGGGTCACACCCAGCAGTGTGTGTTTCAGGGTTTTTAGTTTGGGGGTCACACCCAGTGTGTGTGTATGATTCAGGGTGTTTTTGTTTGGGGGTCGCACCCTGTGTGTGTGTGTGTGTGTGTGTGTGTGTGTGTATGATTCAGGGTTTTTAGTTTGGGAGTCACACCGTGTGTGTGTGTGTTTGTGTGTGTGTGTGTGTGTGTGTGTGTGTGTGTGTGTTTGTACACGTGTGGTGTTGGCCCGGGCTGTGGCAGCACAGTGAGAAGCCCAGTCACAGATGAGGGAAGGGCTCAAGAAAAGGCCCTGGGTTTAAGGAAAAAACCCAGGTTCAGCCAGAACTGTTTATTTTCTGCTGAAGATTAGACTCGATGATGATAAGCTGAAAAGTAAAAAAAAAAAAAAAACAAGGAAGTGCAGGTGTATACATACTCAAAAAAAAAGCTTTAGTTTAAACTCATTTAGTCAGTGGGATATTTGACTTGGTTTTTGTTTTGGGGCCACACCCAGGTAGTGCTCAGGGCTTACTCTTGGCTCTGCACTCAGGGATCATTCCTGGTGGTGCTCGGGGTACACCATGGGGTGCTGGGGATTGATCCCAGATCAGGCTTATGCAAGGCAAACACCCTACTTGCTGTTCTGTCCCTCTGGCCCCCTGGGCTTAAACTTGATTGTGGCAATGTCCCATTTTAGAATCACACTGCAGTTTGAATTCTAGCGATTGCCATGGCATTTATTAGTTTCCAAAAGTTTCCACAATTGATTTTATGGTCAGAAAATACAGCAGTATTTCATGGTGTGTGGGTTTTTTTTTTAATAAAATTTTTGAATTTCTAAAAATATAAAGGATCATCTGTTTTAGAAAAACGTCAGCCTTGCCACGCGATGTTGCAGATATCTGACCCCAAAAGCTCAGGATTTGCCATTCACAGAGTCTTTCTTTGTCACCGAGCCCCACTTGTTGTTTTCCATCTGAAACTGAAAAAGAATTAAGACAATTACTTTTCTACGTGGAAAATAAAAAACCGAACAGCAGCTTTATTTGGTGTTTTCATTTTTAAAATGTGAGTTGGAGTCAGATTTCTGTCTCACCTTCTTCATCAGCTTATAGCACAGCGAGAGGAGCTGCACCAAGATAGCCATCGTGGATCTCGCCTTTGTAATGCACTTATCGACCTACAGTGGCAGAAACACAGATGTTAACGCTGGGGTCTAAGAGGAGCAACTCTGTGCTGTGGAATTAATCGTGTTCAGCTTGGGTGAAGCTACTGTTCCCTGGGGTCAGTTACAACTGCAAGTGATAAATGATTCCTACAGTCAAGGCATTGATAAAAATGGAAATAAGGGCTGGTGAGATAGTATAGGGGTTTAGGCACTGTCTTTCATCCCACCAACCCAGCTTCTAATCTAATACCACATACCCCCTGAGTACACTGGGGAGTCTAAGCTCCTGAATACCATTGGGGGTTACTCCTGACAAGATCTGATAATTTTTTGCAAGGTATAGCCCTAAAATTAAAAAAAAAAAAAAATATATATATATATATATATATATATATATATGCACTGCTGTGGATATTAAACTTTTGAGGAAAAGGGGTTTGGAAATAAACTTGATGTCAGTCTGAAAGGATCTGCCTGATCAATCCACTGTTCCGCTTACCTTTAGAAAGACTTGATTCTGGAAAGGTGTCCTAGTTATTGTCTGGAGTTGTTGGCAGAGAGGAGTTAGCTTGTTTATTTCCAGGAGAAGCATAAGCTTGTCATCATCTCTCAGCTGAAACGTAATTTAGGAAATGGCAACAATTCCAAACCAGCCCATCACTTAACTCTTAAAAATGCATTAAGAATTGACCCCACCTCAGCACTACCTGTTTGGAGAAAGCTTGTACACTTGAAGCTAGCTTTAAGCCCTCATCAGCAAAAATCTGGTGGAAAGGAAGCATCACAATTTTAGGTATATGTCTTACAGATACTAAGAAATACATTAAGAAACCCTATAAGTAACAGTATTATAAACAACAGTATCTAAAAAAAAAAAAGGTGCCTGCCATAGAGGCAGACAGGAGGGTGGGAGGGAAACTGGAGACGTTGGTGAAGGAACTGGGTGTTGGAAAAATTGCATGCCTGAAACTCAATCATAAATAACTTTGTAAATCACAGTGCCTCAGTTAAAAAAATCTTTTTTTAAAAAAAAGGGCTGAAGTGATAGTACAGTGGTTAAGTTGCTTGCTCAAAATCATCTGGACTATGGAAGGAGAAAACTAATATGTCCTAAGTTCCCACTGATGGCTTCAGACCAATGACAGATACCTCCTGATGTGTTATTTCGCTTCATCTATATTCCCTAATTAATAATAAAGAGGCCATTAAGCCTGTCTGGAATCCAGGAAGGTACTAGATGTATAAACCTACTGAAACACTATTTCTCTTGCTTGGGGAAAGCTAAAGCAATATCGTATCTATTGACTGTTGACTTTTACTCCACTTTATTCTTATATTATTTGAGATTATTTTCCGATATGATAAATTCAAAACACTCCATAAAATGTTCCTGAAATTACTTTTATTTTTTTTCGCTTTTCTATCACTAAGCTCCTGAATACCATTGGGGGTTACTCCTGACAAGATCTGATAATTTTTTGCAAGGTATAGCCCTAAAATTAAAAAAAATATATATGCACTGCTGTGAATATTAAACTTTTGAGGAAAAGGGGTTTGGAAATAAACTTGATGTCAGTCTGAAAGGATCTGATATATGTGTGCACAGGCCAGCACATACACATGATTCAGTAAATGGACTCGAAACTTACTACCCACTTTTAGAAGAATTTTAGCAGCACAAATGGAAAGAAAACATACCTCTAGCTGATGAATTAAATCCTGGGAAGTTTTTAGTGGCCCCTCTCCCCTGAAATAAAATTAATTTACGAAAGAGGTAAGAAAAAGTGACGATATGAAATTTGGTTTTATAAGCAAAGTTTTAGTACCTTTTGTGTATTAACAGTCTCGAAATTTGAATAATAATATTGAATTTTCCTTCTATCCTTTTTCATTTTGCTCCATAAATTAAATCTATGAGACCTGATTAAATGCTGCCCATAAAAGGCCTTTATTAGGTAATAAAATAGCAAACCAGTTAGAAAACTGTCATTTCTGAGTCAAATGCAGCTCTGACAGGAACCCAGTGGTCATGAAGCCTATTGCTGAAGTGTGAATTCTGAGTGTCTATGTGAACCTTTTCACATTTGTGCTACCACTCTCTGTCCCTTAGTGGCTCTGTGATGTGAACAAAAGAGTCCTGTTCTCTGATAAACCATTGTGAGGATCATCTGAAGGTACAAAGGAGGTATCAATTTAAGAATCATTAGACCCCAAGGCTGGACACTTAGCTGTTAAGAATGTTTATAACATTATAAGTCAGCCTTAAATGACAGCCTGGGGAAGAAGTACACAGTTACCCAGCAAAACTACAAACCAGGTACGGTAAATGGGACAGGGGGTCCGAAAGATGGCTCTCAGAGGGCTGGAGCACACATTGCATGCAGGAGGCGAGGGTCCAGTCTGAAACATATGGGGCCCCAAAATCTACCAGGAGTGACCCCTGAACATGGAGCCAAGAGTGTCCCTTTAATACTAAGTCAGAAATAGCACCTGAGCACTGCCAGGTGTAGCCCAGAGATAAATAATTAAAAAGGACACAATAAAGGCGAATTAATGTGTTTCTGAAACTTGGGTAGTTCAAACAGGATATGGGGGTGCAGTCCTTGGGTAGCAGCCTTGGGTGCAATTGGGTGGGGGTGGGGGGGAAAGGGTGGTACTTTCTGTTTGTTCTCTTAAGGTAGATTTGGAGCCAAAGAGACTGTATAAGGGTTAAGGTGTTTGCCTTGTATGTGGTTCACCAGGTCCATTCCCTGATATGATCCCATATATGATCTCCTCAACCTCTAGCCCCCCCAAAAAGGAAGGTAGATTTCTGGAGGTGCTGATGAATCTTTTTGTTGCTGCTGTTTGGGAGTCTCACCTGGTGATGCTCAGAAATAGTTATTTATCATCTGTACTCTGGAATTATTCCTGGTAATAACTCAGGGAACCATATGGGAACGGACCACATTCCAGTCTGCTGCATGCAAGGCAAATGCCCTACCCACTATACCCAACTCTAGCCCATGATTAATCTTTTTTCTGAAAGCAGATAGTACATCAAATAAGTTTAGGTACCTCTGATACTAGATGAAGTGGATATAATCATCACAGGTCTTAGATAAAAAAGAAAATCCTTCTCGGGAAGGGGGACAGATGTATTGACACATGGGTAGAATCCAAAGGCAGTGTGAGATGTTACAGGCCAGGTCATGTGACAGAGACTCATCAAAATGGCACAAGGTGTCACCCATTAGGAAAACCTCATTTTCTTTGCCTAAGCTCCAGTCTTCCGGTCCAATAACTATTTTCTAGAAACAAGTTCCAGTCCATGGAGCTTCGTACTCCTGCTGCTCAGGATGTGACCCTCGCGCTTCCTACTTGCCATGGGTTGCATATGACTCCTTCCCAGGTCCAAGTCTCCGGGCTGGGATGGAACACAGAAGCACAGGGCAAGCCTCAGATGCATAGAGCTCTGGGCTCACCATGAAAAGAACCTACTGTTATGACTGAAACAAGAAAGCCAGCAGTTTCCTGAAATAGCCTAAAATTAGAAAATAAAGGGGGACAGTGAAGCAAAAAAAAAAAAATCTACTGGTGAATTTCTTTGGCAGCTTGTATATTAGAATACATCAATTAAAATATGATTATTAATTTTATCGTAGTTGAAAATATATTTTTTGGTTTGGGGGCCAAACTCAGTCATGTTCGGGGCTATTGCTAAGTTGGTGCCTGGGAGAACATGAAGTGCCAGGCATCAAGCACAGAGCTCCAGCGAGCAAGGCAGTGCTCTGGTCCTCTAACCAACCTCTCCAACATGCACTCTCAGTGTTTAGAAGGAAAGCTGCTGGTTCAGATCACCATCACATTCGATTAGCACAATTCCAGCCTCCAGCAAAGACTTCTGTTACATCGGTTCATCGGTACATGTCTACTGTGAAATGTGACCAATACTGACTGGAACATTAAACCAAAGTCTTGAAATGGGACATTTAAGACTTACTTTAGGTCAAGTAAGAGTCAAAGGGAAATTCCCTGCTACAGAAATTTATTTTGTGTCTGTATTAGGCTGATTCATGGAGGACTGGTACCCAACTGCAGTTACCCTAGGTAGGGCTTGGGGCTTTAATTTTTCAAGTAGCTAACTAGTCCATCACTTGGGTTTTTACTTAAGAGGGTTGAGGCATACCTGGAAGTTCATGGAGGTCACTTTTAGTGAGGGGCCATGCCCATGGTACAGGGATGGAGCCATGGAGCCAGGTCCTGGTGCAAGCAAGCTCTCCAGTTCTTTGATACATCACATTGGTTTCTGCCCTCCCCCCCCCCCCCCGCTTTTTTGGTGTTTATACTAGGGAGCTCAGTCGTTTGTATAAAAATTGAGAAGGTAGTGAATTGTATATGCGAGGCTCTGGGTTTGATCACTGGCACCACACACATAAAAAATTTTATTTATTATTATTATTATTATTACTATTTTGCTTTGGGGATCACACCCAACAATGCACAGGGGTTACTCCTGGCTCATGCACTCAGGAATTACTCCTGGTGATGCTCGGGGGACCATACGGGATGCTGGCAATCATACCCGAGTCAGCCGCGTGTAAGGCAAACGCCCTACCCACTGTGCTCTCGCTCCAGCCCCCCACAAAAGGGATTGTTTTCGGAATGTACTGAGAGAGGACAGGAGAGACCCTGTCATATAGGAGGACAAATGTAGAAAGCAATTATTTCAAAACTATGGAAAGAATTGAGCACAAACCAAAACAAGTAGCTTTGCCAAATGCAAATTCTAATTAAGTATTTGTCTTCTTGTCACAGTCACTTAAATGTCTTAAGGACTGCTTGAGGGCAGAAGAGATAGTACAGAGGGTAAGGTGCTGGCCACTACATACAGTGCCCCAAGCCTGCCAGGAGTGATCCCGAGCACAGAGCCAGAAGTCCACCCTGAGCACCAGAGTGTGGCCCCAAATGAAAAGAATTTTTTTTGTTTTTTTGCTTTTTGGGTCACATCCAGCGATGCTCAGGGGTTCCTTCTGGCTCTGCACTCAGGAATTACTCCTGGCAGTGCTCAGGGAATCGAACCCAGGTCGGCCGCATGCAAGGCAAACACCCTACCTGCTGTGCTATCACTCCAGCCCCGAGAATTTCCTAGTCATTTTATCACATGTTTGAATCTGACTTTAACCTATCGGTGTTTTAACATGGCGCTTTGTTCTTCACACCATATTAAATGAATTTTATTAAATGAATTTATTAAGTGAATTTTATTAAATTCATTTAAAAAGATCAGAGAGTCACTCCATTTACCTAGTAAATAAATACAGCGAATAGGCCATGTTGGACATGCTCCGTCCGCCCCGGACAATCTCATTCTCCTGGTCCTCCCACTTCTCGATCTCACAGTTGGCGTCAGAGGTGAGCAAACCCAGCTTAAGGCCAAGCTTTGCTATCCTGGCTTGCTCCTACAGAACGGACATTTGAATCACAACCATTAGTCATTACCGATGGGAAAGGAAGATGGAAGCAAGCCGGCCACAAGGAAAAAGTTCTTACCTCAGAGTCAGGCTTTTCTGGCTTTAAGGATTTCAGGTTTGCATTATTCTTCTGTGACAATAAAAAGATTGAGAGAGCTTAAAATGCAGGACGTCTCATTGGAAGGCAATAGAACATTAGTAGCAGGGATAGCACAGTACCTAAAGTACCGGAGTAGTAACATTTTAATTGAAGCATTTCAATAGCTACTCAAAGTCTATTCATGTGTTTAGCTAAATGGCAACTAATTGCCAGAACGCCAGTGTTTTGGTTTAGCTCTGAACAGTCGGTCAGCACTCTGGGGTCAGAGAAAGCACGGCCTATTAGAAAGTTCTGGAGACTCTAATAGTCTACTCAGGGTCCAGCTATTATACGCTTAAACCTTCCTGGTCCCTCTGTTGGATGAGTCTTATAAAAATGTTACGATAAAAATAGCTATTCTGGGGCCAGAGCAATAGAACAGTGGGGAGGGTGTTTACTCTGCATGTGACTGACCTGGTTCGATCCCTGGCAGCCCATATGGCCCCCTGAGCACTGCCAGGAGTAATTCCTGAGTGCAGAGCCAGGAGTACCCCCTGAGCATTGCCAGGTGTGACCCAAAAAGAAAAAAAAAAGCTATTCTTTGTTAGTCCTCTATAATTTGCAATGCTGTGACTCTGGAATGCAATTCCTTCCAGCAACTTGTCCTGTGAGGACTAAATGTCAGCATACTAGTTTCTTTGACATCCTGATTCCTTATCCTAATATCCCATGGTATACAAGAGATTCTATTTAGGATTTAATATTTGTTTGGTTTTAGGGTCATATGCAGCAGTTCCCAAGGCTTACTCCTGGCCCCGTGCTCAGGAGTCACTCCTAGTAGGACTCAGGGACCCATTTGCATTGCCAGGAATTGAACCCAGGCCTGCTGCATGCAAGGCAAGTACCTTACCCACTGTACTATCTCTCTAGCTCCAGGATTAAGTGTTTGAACCAGAACATTTGCTGAGCCCCAAGCAAAACAGTAAGACACCTTTCCTGTAGGCTCTTTGGAACACAGAGTTTATTTCCCCTACTAGTGGAGAAAACACTATGTGCTAGTTAGGGCACCCTACTGGCCCACCAATACCTCTTTACTTGGAAAATAGAAAGCACTGATGATGTTTTTTGCAAAATATATTCCCAAGGTCCCCAGAGATAGCTCCGTGGTTGGGTGTTCCACTCACTCTGAGCTCTGGTGGGTGCTGCCCTGGTTAGGACAAAAGCTCATAAGAGCAGGCCAATGGAGATAAGGGCCTTTTTCTGTTTTATAATAAAGAAAAGGAATACTTTGTTTACACCACACAAGGCATAGTTGCACGTGTCCACAAATTATAGATTAAATTAAAGCAAGATGTTCATGTGGCAGCTTCAGATAATGATCATCTGCCAGTGTGCCCGTGAACTCCTGTATGCTGCCTCCTTCATCAGCATCATGACTTATTGTTTCTCACACAAGCTTGACTGCCACCAACTTACTGCAGAACAGAATAACCTTGGTTCTGTTCTTTTTCTCTTTCCCAGAGGTTATATTTGCTCATTTAATATTGTCTTTTGGGGATTTTTTTTTCTAATGCTTTTACTATAAAAGAGAAGTTAGAGGGGAGAAAATAAACATAGGGAAACTATAAAAGACACACACAAAATCAGGAACTGTCTCATGTTTGTTGGAAAATAGAGATGAAAAATGACCTCTTAAAATGGTTCCTCCTGTCTCAGCACACCCAAAGTTCCCTTAGTCCACTAGACCATAAAGCACTTAGGAAAGTTAAGAAAACTCTCCCCTGAGTTCTGCGGAATGTGGTCCAAACAACAAGAACAAAGAACATTCCCAAGAACTTGAGGGTTTATTTTATCTAAATTTTTATGCCCAATCTTATTCTTTTAAAATTCAGTTGTGTTTTGATTATCTCCATTTTAAAATTCTGACTCAATTGTTTTACAAATGCCTAGAGGTATGTAAAACCATATTAATCATGCAACCAAGTTTGCCATCTAGTGGACAATATTTTGGAATACAGTCAGATGCATCATTCCAAGTAGTTCGTACTTTGATCCTAATGTGTATCCCTCTATACCCAACCTCCCAAACTCAACGCAAATAAGTACAAGAAGTACAAGTACCATATGCATCACTACTCAATTATCCTGGACAATAAATATTTTTTTTATCTTAACTATCAACCTAGTAAAGTCAGCTATTAGGAAGGGGTGACAACAGGCAGTGAAAGCAAAATTCAGATTTTGAACAAAAGTATTCAGAAATGTTCAACACTCTTCCTACTTACCAGTGTCTTTGGAAGTGAAAGGTATCCATACTTCTCTCCTACAAAGAACACATGTAACTTGAAACAAATTTTTTATTTGCATATTCTCTATTATTCTATTGAAATATTCCTATTTCATTTGGACTATTATTCAATGAAAATGAATATCAGTGTATTCTTTTTAAATAATTTAGTCTATTAATGATATACTCTTCAGAAATAAAATTGTCATTTGATGAACATGAAGACTATCAATATCATATCTCTATGGCACCATGATGATGATTCCCTATTTAATTTCCTCCAGTACTATCATAAACCACAGAAGTATATGATAATTTCCAAAATGGGAAATATTATGCTAATGATTAATCTAAATATTATTATAATTAATGTTATATGCTCAAATTATATTAATTATATACTTGCTACTTCCATATAAATCTTTGCCATTGATTAAAAGCAGGATAAGAATATATTGACTTACTAATGTTTAGTTATTATATCAAATTTGAGCAGCAGCATAACAAAATAAATTTCTATCTCCAGTGAAAACATGTTATGCACATTAGCAATCACTGGAAAAATAGGAGTACCTGGGGGAATTCTATTTGGTACAGATATTTAGATAGAGAAATGTTTTTAAAGCACTGTCCTAAGTTCAGTATTTCTGAGTGTTTTGTTTATCAACATCACAATTGTGTTATCTTTATTTCTGAGTCTGCACTTTTTACGAAGTTCACAAGTAGATCTGAAAGATCCTCTCATCTTTTGGGATACTACAGCTATTTCTTAAGAAAATTAGAAATTCAGTTCTCATTTTCAGTATCTTGAGCTTTTGTGCATCTCTACAAAATAAATCTAATTTCCCAAATACAGAAAACTTCGGGGACGAAAACAATAGTATCCTCAGTAGAGTGCTTGCCTTGAGTGCAGCCAACCTGGGTTCAATCCGTGGCATCTCAGATGGTTCCCCCTAAAAGCACTGCCAGCATCGATCCCTGAGCACCCCCAGGTGTGACCCAAAAACTTCATTATCGCACTTCGCCCAAAGAGGAAATAATTCACTACACTAATCCCTGCTAGAAGTTCTTATAATTAGTTTAGGGCTTTTTTTTTGGGGGGGGTGGATTTTGTACTTTTTTGGGGGGAGGGAGGTTGGTCCTTGAGAGGTACTACATGACATGATCAATCAGGAGGAAACCCATGGCCCTCATCTACATAAAATTAATCACTATGGGGCCAGCAAGACAGGTGCTTCTCTTGCACGCGGCTGACCCAGGTTCAAATCCCCGGCACCACATATAGTCCCCCTGAGCCTTACCATGTGTGAACCCTGAACAAAGAGCCAGGGGTAAGGCCTGAGCACTGCCAGGTACAGCTCAAAAACAAACAAACAACAACAAAAACTAACCCCTGGAAATAGACAGGCTATTAGTTAGAATATGACGAAGTTCTAATCTGAACCCATAGCTCCTCCTCAAGGAGGGGCTCGCTCGAACAAATCGATGAACAACGGGAGGACAGTGCTACAGTGTGGTTCCTTATAATATAACGACTATGGCTTCCCTAGAGGCTTTGATCAAAAAGCAGTATTGGATGAAGGCCAAAAAAGGCAGGAAGAGGGGCTGGAGCGATAGCACAGCGGGTAGGGCGTTTGCCTTGCACGCAGCCAACCCAGGTTCGAATCCCAGTATCCCATATGGTCCCCTGAGCACCGCCAGGCGTAATTCCTGAGTGCAGAGCCAGGAGTAACCCCTGAGAATCACCGGGCATGACCCAAAAAGCAAAAAAAAAAAAAAAAAAAACCAAAAAAAGGCAGGAAGAGAAGCATTAAATTTTGAACAGTAAAACAATCCTAAAAGGACCTGTTGGGAAATCAGAGTCTCTTAGAATAGAAGGGAAAATGATTTAGATCTCAGACTACTTTGAGTACACTGAAGTTCTCTCTAACTAACTGGTTGTCTTATTGACAATTGCGAACATCTGACAATTCCCCAAGTTACAAGACTAACTATATGCAGAGCACAGCTAAGGTGACTAAGATGCTAGGATACAATAAAGGATTTTCAGTAACAGTTGAAACATTATATAGGCATTGAACATACACTGTAACGTCTCCATCGTGAGACTTTGTTGTTACTGTGTTGGGCATATCCAATACGTCATGGGTAGCTTGCCAGGCTTTGCCGTGCGGGCGAGATACTCTCGGTAGCCGAGAGAAATCAGTATCTGAGGAATGGACTTATTCTTTGAATGGAAAGCAGTAGGTAGGCAGGTACAAGGCTAGGTTAACAGGCAGTTCTGTCCACACAGAATAGGAAGAATAACACTGTGGCATGGTGTAGGGACATCATTAGGGCTAACCCATTCTTTATGAGAAAAAATACTATTCTCGTGAACTTAATGATAAAGTTCAGGACAAAGAAACCACTTAATTGACCCCATCTCAATTAAGCCCATATTTGGATGGTTTCTGAAGAGAGGATTGTCCCATCATTGAATACAAAAGAAGAATTTCTAACCAAACCTAAGGAAGATTAGGAAATCCTTATTTTGGGGGGGGGGGGGGCGCCACACTTGGTTGTGCTCAAAGCTTACACCTGATTTGGTACTCAGGGATCACTCCTGGAAGTGCTGGGGAACTAAGTGATGTGCCAAGGATTGAACCCGGATTGGGGTTTATGGGACAACCCCAAATATTTTTCAAAGTTGCTAACTTCAGTGGGAGAAAACAAAGTCTCTGGGGGAGTAAAAGAAAGGAACACTAGTGTGTCAAGAGACACCTTTCCGAGGGTGTGTATTCCCCATTGGTGAGACAAGGGCTGCCTTCATACAGAGATGCCACGGGCAGGCTCTCTTCTGCTGGGCACAGTGCAAGGGATCTTCTCCTAGGGCACCGGAAGGCTGGTCCCCTACCCCTCCATGGGGGCACGGGAAAGGACACAGGGAGACGAACGTCAGAAAGCAGGAGATTCAGAGGCGGAACTGAACACGAGGCTTTCTGGTGAGCAATTTCACTTCCCGTAGGCAGTGACAAGATGCTGCTGCTGCTGCCAGAAGTGACATTTGGAGAGAACATATTCTTTCCATATGCATGAGTTCAACTGATTTCCGACACCCCCACTTATGAGGAACTTGAGTCATGATTGTCCCCTTAAGGCGAATATGAGACTTGAAGCACAGGTTCAGGAAGTGGCAGAGGTGGCCGCTGCACTTCTCAGCTTAGAATGGATGTCCACCTGTGCAGTGCTGTCCCTGGACATGAGATGATCTCTCACATCCCGGGGGGAATGGAGGACCCTCCTGAGAGGAAATGGACCTGAAGCACATTCCTTCAGGCTGGCCTGATGGACACGGCTGTCTCTATGGAGAGCGGCCTCCCTCTTCCCCTATGCACCAACCTGCATCTGCCTTTCCAAGTAGCTCCTGGTACCTGGGCCCAGGCCACTCCATGTCACACTCTCAGGCAGAGAGTAATGGTTACATGGCTGTTATCTCTTTTTTTTTTTAATTTATTTTTTATTAGTCAAACACCATGAGGTACAGTTGTTGACCTTACAAGTTTTTGTGCTTGGGTTTCAATTATACAATGATCGAGTACCCATCCCTCCACTAGTGCCCATTCTCCACCCCCAATGATCCTAGTAACCCTCCCACCCCTCCCCTCCCCCCATCCCATCCTGCCTCTGTGGCAGGGCCTTCTCTTTTGTTCTCTCTCTCCTTTTGGTTGCTGAGGTTTGCAAAAGAGGCATTGAGTGGACAATCATGTTCGGTCTATACGTCTACTTTCAGCATGCATCTCCCATCCTGGGAGGATCCTCCCAACACCCTTTTCTTGGTGTTCCCTTCTCTGTCTGAGCTGCCCTTTCCCCTAGCATGTGCAGCTGGCCTTCAAGCTGTGGAGTGAACCTCCTGGCACTTATCTTGACTATTCTTGGATGTTAGTCTGGCAGTTCTATTTCTTGAGGGAGCAGGGGGAAAACTAAAAGTCCCTTTTTAAAGAACAAAAATTCTTTAAACAGAGAAAAAACAGACCAAAATGCTGAAAAATTAAAATGCTAGAAAGATATGAAGAAGACGACTCCAGCACTTGGCCATGAAGAGGAGCACAGGGTGGGGACAGAGGGCCATGGAAGGAGCCCAGGCAGTGACCCCTCAGCCCTTCCCTGCACTCTTAGGAAAGCAAGCCCTGACCCAGTCCTGAAGGAGAGGATGCAAGAAACCCATGCGAAATGCTGCTCAGAAAGTGGAAAACCAGCTGGCCGAGCTAGAGCCTCTGCCTGCAGAGCTGCTCCTCTCAGTGTGCTCCCCAGTATACACACGGGCTGTTCTGTTATCCCAGACAACAGAGGACCACTTGGCCACTCCATCCTGCTGGCCCTGAAGAAGAGACAGGCAGGGGGCAGGCACAGGTCGGGTATCCCCACACCCGCAGTTCAGATGCACTGACTTCAGCTAGTGTTCCCCAAAGCTTCTGCGCACTGGTAGGAACTCCCAGGATACCTCATCCTAAGAACTTCCCGATTAGAAGACGGTGCTCAAGGACTGGCGGGGAGACGGAGAGAGCAAGGGCTTGTCTGGAAGAGTTGAGTTAGAGAAAGCTTTGGGCCCCCCAGCCAGCCATGCAGGTATCCAGGCTCCCCAGACCATGCCACTAGTCCCTCAACAATTCCTCTGGGAGCCAGGGTCATGGACCAGAGGAAGGACATTTGGCTTGCATGTGGCCCTAGTTCAATTCTGGACACTACCCGACTACTCTGCATAGTTAGGAGTGATCCCCAGCCACCGAGCAAGGAGCAGCTTCTGAGCACTGCTGTGTGTGGCCCTGAGGGAAAATTAAATAACTCCTCCAGAATGTGAGTGACCTTTATTTTTTTTTTCCCCAGGAGTGGGATGGGGGCTCACCCAGCAATGCTCATGGGTTACTCCTGGCTCTGCACTCAGAAATGACTCCTGGTGCTACTCAGGGGACTATATGAGATGCCAGTGACCAAACCCGAGTTTGCCACGTGCAAGGCAAGCGCTCTACCCACTACTCACTTCAGCCCCAGCTTTCTTCCTTAAATACAGTAAATATTCTTGTAAGTGGATGAACATGGAGAGCATCACGCTGAGTAAAATGAGTCGACAGGAGAGGGACAGATAAAGAATGACTGCATTCATTTGTAGGATATTTATATATTTTATATATCCATTTCACCAAAACTCTTCAGTGCCACCCTCGAGAGCATCATGCGACGACTGGAATGGGAAGGAATGGGAGTGAAGATAGATGGTCGGCAACTACACCACCTCCACTTTGCTGACGACATTGTTCTAATAACACCAAACATTAGCCAAGCGGCACAAATGCTAGCCGACTTTGACCGTGAGTGTGGAAAGGTCGGACTACAGCTGAATCTTACGAAGACAATGTGTATGAGAAACAGCCTCGTTCCTGACGCCCCATTCGCTCTCAACGGAACGACCATCTCCGAATGCAACAGCTATGTGTACCTAGGTCGAGAAGTCAACATGACAAATGACCTGGCACCCGAGCTGCGCAGGAGGAAGAGAGCGGCTTGGAATGCCTTCAAGAACGTTGAAGAAATAACTAAAAGGGCAAAGAACCTCCAGCTACGAGCACATCTCTTTGATTCCACTGTTCTTCCTGCATTAACATATGCCTCAGAGACCTGGACCCTACGAAAACAGGATGAGAACGCTATTCGGGTCTCTCAAAGAGGAATTGAAAGAGCTATGCTTGGAATATCACGATTCACTCAAATGAGAGATAGAATCTGGAGTTCTGATCTTTCCTCAGCGCTCAAGAATCAGGGACACTGTCTCATTTGCCAAGGTGTCAAAAATCAGATGGGCTGGTCAAGTAATGAGATTTAAAGACGACCGCTGGACTAGAGCTGTTACCGACTGGATTCCACGAGACATCAAAAGATCACGTGGACGCCCACCTACAAGATGGTCAGACTTCTTCGTCAAGACCCTGAATGATCAGTTTGAGGCTCTGCATGTTCCTAGAACGAACAGATACCATTGGGCTACGCTAGCACACAACCAGGATGAATGGAGACTTTACTGGCACCCGCTCGAGTAAATCGATGAATAATGGGGATTAAGTGATTAAATGATTAAGTGATATATCCATATATGAGATATATATTATATATATATATATATATTAAGGACTAAAAGGAATAGTCAATGGTTAGAAGCTTGCCACAAGTGTTGGGTGGGCCAAAGGGAAGTTAGGGTAGAGAAGAGGCCAGTATGACAATAGTTAGAAATGATGACTCTGGACAAAATCTGAGTGTTGAAATTAGGTGAAAGGATATAATGAGAACCTTCTAGTATCTGTACTGCAAGCCATAATGCCCAAAGTGTGTGCATGTCGGGGGGAGAGTGAGAGAGACAGAGACAGAGACAGAGACAGACAGACAGACAGACAGAGACAGAGAGACAAAGAGACAAGAGGCAGGCGTGGGGGAGGGGGTGGAGGAAACTTGGGACATTGGTGGTGGGAAATACACACTGGTGAAGGGATGGGTGTTGGAACTCTGTAACTGTGTATCTCACTATGGTTCAATTTTAAAATAATAAATAAATAAATAAACCGTGGATGAATGTGTCTCTACCTTTTATATCATTTGTTCTGGAGGTCATTCCTGGAAGTGCTCAGAGGCTCCTCTCAGAGGTTACCTCCCAGCTCATTACTGGGGGAACGGGTGCTGCCAGGGGCCAAACAGGAGCCCAGCCATGCAAAGCACAGAGGTGTGCTGTTTCTCAGTGTGTTACTGTGAGGGTGAAACTGAAGCCAGGACAAGTGGCAGCTAACGTTAAGTCTCAGTTAGGCCTCAGTTTCCGTTTCCCCAAAGCAGGACTTGCAGTTTCTGGTAAACTCCCTGTTCAGTCATTTGCCAAGATAAGGAATTGGGCAGTTGTGTCTGGCCGGTCATGAAGGGTCACTGCACCTTCCTTAGAAACTATTGCTAACCACTGCCTAATTGCTGACCCCCTTGTAATAGGGCCGATGCTAAAAACAGACCAGTATATAAATTGCTTCTCAACTCTGGAACCCTATATAAACTGCTTGTGATTTGGAGTCGGGGTCCTTGTCAAGACTCTACTGCATTGGCTGAGACTTGGACCCTAGCTCGAGCTAGCACTGGCTCAGGCTACTAATAAAGTTCCTTTGCTTTTGCATTATCGTGTGTGGACTCGGTCTCTCCGCAATTGGGGATCTGAAACTTGGGCACATTACCACCCAAGCCCCGATGGTACAATCTTCTTTAAGGTTATGAAGTCACAACCATGATACTCAAAGGCTAGTTCTGGCTCTGTGCTCAAAAGTGACCCCTGGGAGTGCTCCAGAGACCCGATATGGTGCCAGGGATTCAAACCCAGAGAGGCAGGATGCAAAGATAGTACCGGAGCGATAGCACAGCGGTAGGGCGTTCGCCTTACACGCGGCCAACATGGCCGACCCGAGTTCGATTCCTCCGCCCCTCTCGGAGAGCCCGGCAAGCTACCGAGAGTATTCGATATGTTACCAGACACAGTAACAACAAAGTCTCCAATGGAGACGTTACTGGGCCCGCTCGAGCAAATCGACGATCAACGGGAGGGCCTTTTTATCTCTCCTGCTCCTCTGACTTTACCTCTTGTTTTTCATTTTATTTGGGGGAGTTTGGGGCCACACTCAGTGGTGCTCAGGGCTACGCCTAGCTCTCTGTTCTGGAATCACCCCTTGGCAGGGCTCTGGAGATTATAGTGGTGCCGGGGATTGAACCTGGGTCAGCTGTGTGCAAGACACGTGCCCTACTTGCTGTGCTATCTCCCCAACCTCTGATTTTACCTGTTAATATATAAAACCTGCTGTGTATCAAAATCCACATGACTGAACATAGCAAAAGAAAATGATATATTGTTCAGACTCACTATCACAGAAACCTTTCAATGTAGTAACATAGTAAATATTTACTAAGATTTAAATGATTCGATATCCCAGATTTTCTTAACCAGTAAGCATTTATCCTAAATGTTTTACAAATATAAAATGCTTAAATGTTCATATCCAATAAAAATAAAATGTAATTTAATGTTATTGCGAATTTAAATGACATCACTAAAAAAAAAGCATGCTTGATGCCGATAAATAGAAGCCATTCAAAGGAAAAATTAGAAAAAAACACAAAAACAAATGATAAGACAACACAGTACAATGAGAAATAAACAAAACTGCCAGTTGACATTAAAATAAAGAGACAAAACGATGCCTTCCTGTGCATTCTATGGTGCTATTCTACATGTTTCAGAAATCCCAATGAACTTACCCACCACAGGAAATAGTCCAAGATTATGTGGTCATCAAGGAAAGATTCCATTTAAGTGGAAGGAAAGCAATTCAAAAATGAAATAACTACATTCATTTCAGTATGAAGTTAATAAAATTAAATCAGAATGACTACTATAAAAGAGGCTCTTACATTAAAGACTAAACATAATTTAGAAGAAATATGAAAAGGACAATTTCAATAAGGAAACTGGAAAGTTAACATTAATCCAAAGAAATCTATTAGACTGCTATATAGCAAATTTTACTCCTCGGTAACTAAATAAGAACAAATAGTAATTTTCTTTTTGCATGTGTGGAAGATAATTTACTATAAATATAACTTCATTGCGGTATTACAAGATAATTTGTTATGTATTTGGAAGTTTGACACGAAAACACTAACAGAATTACATTACAGATGTCACATATTTCAGTATATGAACAGTTTCTCACCTCGTCTTCCTTGAAACACATCATTGATTTCTCTTAGAAGTGTTGACATGTCATTGATTTGAGATTCCCAAGCTTCACAAAATACATCTAAGTTTTCTTTAGCAATTTTACTAGATGGATGCAACGTCAATGTCTCAGCAGCCGAAATTATCTTCAAAACACAGAGGTAAAGTTCAAAGCATTAGCCTGCAGAATCACACTGGAGAGCAAACCAGTGTTCACCTCAACTCAGAAAGTAACAGTGCAGTAACTCCCATGCATTAGTGCTCTGTTGGGCAATGTGGCGATACATAGTAGAACCACACTCATTATTTCTTATAATTTTATAGCCAGATAAATAGTAGGCTTTACATAGTATGTTTTGTTATACACAAAACTCTATTCAGGAAGCATTTATCCTCAGGCAAGAAAAACTATTTCAACAGAATTACTCCACAGTATAACTGAGAGCTATGCTTAAGAAAGAGTTGTCCCACATACTAGGGGAAAAGGGAGCTCAGATAAAGAGGGGAACACCAAATAAAGGTGTTGGGAGGATCCCCCCAGGATGGGAGAAGCATGCTGAAAGTAGACTATAGACCAAACATGATTGCCACTCAATGTTTCTTTTGCAAACCACAACACCCAAAAGGAGAGAGAGAACAGAGGGGAATGCCCTGCCACAGAGACAGGGTGGGATGGGGGGGATGGGGTGTGGGAGGGATACTGGGATCCGAGGTGGTGGGAAATGGGCACCGGTGGAGGGATGGGTGTTTGATCATTGTATAAGTGAAACCCAAGCACAAAAATGTGTAAGTATGCAACTGTACCTCATGATGTCTCACTATTAAAAAATTTTAAAAAAAAAGAGTTGTCTGTAGTAGTCACGGTGAGCTAGCAGTAACAGTAGCAATAGTAGTAGTAGTAGTAGTAGTCCTAGTAGTAGTTGTAGTAGTAAAGCAAGTATTGGCAATGATAGTACTAGTGATTATATTGTTGGCAAAGTTGGTAGTAGTACCAGTGGCATAGTAAGAGTAGCAGGAGAAATTATGACAGTAGAGCTAGATAGGCAGGTAGCAGTAATAATAGAATTAGAAGTAGCAGAAATATGGTGGCAATAAAAATGATAGCGGTTGTGGTAGTAATAGTAGTGGTATTAGTAGTGACAGTGGTAGCAGTTCTGGTAATGATGGTAGCCTAGTAGTATCAGTATTCTTGCATATCTGGAAACTTCAGGAAGTTTTGTTTAGTTGATGAAGTCCATCAGTCAAATTTTTCAGCCAGGCCGCGCCGAGACCACTTGATGCCCCCGATGAGCAGCTCTCCAGCACGGCCATGGCCCCAGAGGCACACAGATCTAATTCGGAAGTCAGCAGCTTCTGGCTGAAATGTGAATGGACTATAGATTAAGCTACAGAGCCGTGCCCCCTCCCCCGCCCCTGGGAGGGAAAGGGTGTCTGTCTCTTCAGCCTCTACCCACTGCCCCCGCGGCATGGTGGCTGCCACCTCAGAGCTTATTGGACCGCCAGGTATGAGCTGGCGGTGATGGGGCAACTGCGGCCTCATGGAATGAGGAGTGGAACCAGCACGTCCTTCTTGCCCCGCCAAGACCAAGAGTTGCCCCCAACAAGTGGCTCTCCGGCACGGCCATGGCCCCAGAGGCACACAAACCAATCTCTATGCGGCTTTTGGCAGAAATTCCTCCAGACTTAATTGGTAAAATATCAGAAATCCAAAATCACATGGTCTTTGTAACCAGCAATAGAAAACAAATTATTTCACGATGCCTTTTCAACAGGTTTGATTGTTGGGGGGGAATTCTAAATAATAATGGTGCATCTTTTGTTGAAATAATGAATGTAATCAAAGGAGAGAGAGAGAGAGAGAGAGAGAGAGAGAGAGAGGGAGAGAGTGTGTGTGTTAGTTAGGTGGAAATCATCTGCCTCACTGGGGAAGGTTGGGATGGGGGATATATTGGGGTTCTCTTGGTGGTGGAAGATATGCACTGGTGAAGGGATGGGTGTTTGATCATTGTATGATGGAGACTTAAACCTAAAAGCTTTGTAACTGTTCTCACGGTGATTCAATAAATAAATTAAAAAAAAATTTTTTTCAGCAAAAATTTGGCTGAAATGTACTGACTTCTCACTCAATAGAACACACAAAGATCCAGGAACAGAAATTTGGAGTTCCGTTTTGGTAAGTGCATTATAGCTTTCTTCCCCTTTCGCCTCCAATTCAGAGGCATTGGTGGGTTCTGTCCACTTCACAGGCTTCAGCAACTGAGGGCATAAATATTCTAAAAACCAAGGAGGAGACAGGTGGAGGGGGGTAGGTGGAGGCTGAGTTGGGTGGTCACCAGACAAGGTAACATGCCAGTCAACAACTGAAGAAAGAGGGAGAGACATGGAAATGCTCTTTGAAAGGGGGGCATTTCTGACATGTTTGAGGAACAGCCGATAGCCCAGTATCACTGGATTGACCTGGAAAGAAAGGAAGGTTGCCATGGCCATGTGATGGAGAAACATCAACAGCAAGCACTGAACTTTCTTCTGAACAAGTCACTGAAGAGCTTTCAGAAGATGGCTCTGGGCGGGGGGGGGGGGGGGGGGGGGGGGAGGGGGATGGGGGGGGAAGGGGAGGGTTCTAGGGCTAGTTCAGCAATAAAGTGCCTGCCTAGGAAGCACAAGGCAGCTCAGAGTTTGGTCCTCAGTATCATCCCACATGCGTCAAGCACAATCCCCACCACATTATTGTTTTGAATCCCCAGTGCATAGAAACATGTGTGATCTCTGGCACACCACGATCAAGTGTGTGCAAGGTCCGGAGCAATCCTCAGGGGGGGCACCAAAATCAAGTGTGTGCCCTCGGGGAGTCCTATAACCGGAAAGGTACATGAGCAGCACAGGTAAAGCTAGGACCCTGGCAGGCACGTGTGCAAACACAGTAAGCATGTATGTGAGGGCAGCAGGAACCCAAACCACACATGTGCGTGAGACTCCACAACAAACGGAAGGGAGCGGGGACCGGTTTTGAAAATGTCAGAGAGACATAAATACCAAAAGCCAGATATGGTCAGAGTCATGCTACCTTCGGAATCAGAACTAGGCGCTCCTCCTGGGGGGCCACAGTCCTGCAGGCAGGGGGTTGGACAAGCAGCGGGCAGCTTCAGAGAAAGTGAGCCACAGCTTGGCACCCAACTACAGGCTAGCTGCCCTTTCAGCCGGGAGCTGTGTGCCAAGGGTTCAACTGGGCCCTGGATGGCATCTAACATTGTAAAGGAAAGATAAAAGTGAGATGGCTGAGTCAGCAATGTGCGGGGAGAGCAGTAGTCAGGAAAATGTCAGGACCCTTGTTTATTTTAACAGCTCTTACCTCTAGGTATGCACAACTGTTTACATCTTCCTTTCACTGAATTTGTTATGACGCGGCCTAACAATCTGCCATTGGCCTTACCTGCTGTCCAGTCACCTGAAATGTCTCCTCTGCGTGTAACGAGGTGATCTCAAGAGGCTCTGTTCCAGACACGTGCCACAACAACCGACAGGTCTGTGAGAAAACAATCCTACAGTTTCACTTGCGTAAACTTCTTCACAGCACACAATATTATCTGGGGGAAGGGAGGACCTCGCAGGCAATGTTCGAGCTGCACCTGGCCGAGTTCAGAGGAACGTGTGGTACCAGGGTCTAAACTCAAGGTGTTCGTATGTTAGGCATTCCTTCCAGCACTTCAAGCCATCTCCCTGGCCCATATACAGTATTACCAATGATGGATATATAAAGCTTGGATGGAAAATAAAGCTTCATGTAAAAATCTTACTAGAATGTTGTTACTAAATTAAATCTAATTTGTTCAATCAAAACACATCAAGTGAGTATACTACTGAGAAGGTTACTCTACTACTATATTGGTTACCAACAGATTCTCTAGAAATAACACAGCACACGGTTTCTCCTTCCTGTCTGAGTATGGCAAGGTGGGCACAGATTATCAGTCCCAGAGCAATCTTTGATCTGAACTAGTATTGCCCACACAGTTTATGGGTGAAGAAACTTTGCTTAGAGAACAAACTTGCCCAGCATCTCAGAGCTAAACCTAAACGTTTTCAACCTTTTTCACACCTGCAGCCTGATATTGCGCCGTGGGCTGGTGGTTGAAAACTACTGTTGGCGTGTCCAGGAGACAGTACAGTGGAAAAGCACTTGCCTTGCACATGGCCAACCTGGGTTCAATCCCTGGTACCACACATGCCCCGAGCCTCGCCAGGAGTGATCCCGGAGCACAGTACCAGGAGTAAGTCCTAAGCACAGAAGGTGTGCCTCACCCTCTCCCGGCCCCCACCCAAACTCCACCACCAAAAACAGACGGAAAACAATTGTCATTAAAGCAGCAATGACTTTTTCCAAGATCTGGGGCTGAAATATTACTGAGCGAGAGCTAAAAGGGATGCTCAAAGAGTTAGTGTACATGCTCTGCACGCGTGACACCCTGAGTTTGGTACTTGGTTGGCATGGGTGACTCCCCGACCCCAAGCACTGTGAGGACTTCAAAAGTAATAAAAAAAAAATTTAAAAAATATATCAGTGAGTCCACGGCTTAGAGGCCAGCCGGGCATTCTAGGGGAAAGGGCAGCTCAGATAGAGAAGGGAGCACCAAATAAAGGGTGTTTGGACGATCCTCCCAGAATGGGAGATGCGTGTTGAAAGTAGACTATGGACCGAACATGATTGCCACTCAATGCCTCTTTCACAGACCACAACACCCAAAAGGAGAAAGAAAACAAAAGGGAATGCCCTGCCACAGAGGCAGGGTGGGATTGGAGGATGGGGGTGGGAGGGATACTGGGATCCATGGTGGTGGAAAATGGGAACTGGTGGAGGGATGGGTATTTGATCATTGTATAATTGAAACCCAAGCACAAAAATTTGTAAGTCTACAACTGTACCTCATGGTGTTTCACTAATAAAAAATAAATAAAAATATATCAATCAGGTGAGCTAAACTCCATCACAGTTACTCAAGACTATACTCCCCATCAACAAGCACATCCCTTCAAGTCAAGAAATGGTCTTAAGACTGGATTAGGCAATACTGATGTAATATACTCTAATAGGGAGACTTAGAACAGTACAGAAGAAAATAAACCATTTACTAAGATTTTCTGCAGGATTCCTATAGTCAGCAGTCTTGCCTTTAGTCATAATATTTGGTTTAAAAATTAACAGTACTGAGAAATGGGGGGATTGAGGGAAGGGGTCATAAGGCACAAAACTCCAGTCATGAGAAAACTAAGTTCTTGAGCATTATTGTAAAACATGACAAACATTTTGCCTTTTTGGAAGTTAAGAAATTAGGTCCTGGGGTCAGAACAATAGTACAGCAGGTAGGGTGTTTGCCTTGCACGCAGATGACCTGAGTTCAATTCCTGGCATCCCATATGGTCCCCCAAGCACTACCAGGAGTAATTCCTGAGTGCAGAGCCAGGAGTAACTCCAGAGCATTGCTGGGTGTGACCCAAAAAGCAAAAAATAATAAAAATAAATTAGGTCTTAAAAGTTCTCATTAGAAAGAAAAAGATTTCCTCAACTAAATAAGATGGAAGATGTTAACATAATGTGGTAATTGCTACACAATTAAATATATGTAAAAATCATTATGTTGTATACCTTAAATATGTATACACTGCAATGCCAATGAAATTATTTTTTAAAAATAAGTAAGGTCACAGGGGCTGGAGCAATAGCACAGCAGGTAGGGCGTTTGCCTTGCATGCAGCTGACCCGGGTTCGATTCCCAGCTTCCCATATGGTCCCCTGAGCACCGCCAGGGGTAATTCCTGAGTGCAGAACCAGGAGTAACCTCTGTGCTTCACCAGGTGTGACCCCCCGAAAAAAATAAAAATAAAATAAAATAAAGGTGATGTGCCCGCTTCTCTTGTGTTAAAATAATAATAAGGTCACAGAGATGGTACAGGGGTTACGGAGCTTGTCTTAGATGCATCCAACTCCAGTATGCACTCCAGCACTGCAGATGGTCCCCTGGGTATCATCAGGGAGTGATCCCTGAGCACTGAGCCAAGAGTAAGCCTTGAGCACAGCTGGATGCAGTCCGAAAACAAAATTAAGACTAAACAAAACCAAAATGCAATGAAACAAAAACTTCAAAAAACCAATCCATATCATCTCTATTTTTTGTGTCACACCTGGCGTGTGCATCCACAGACATTTGAAGAATAGTCTCATCTCGCTCTGCCAGCCCATCTTCTCCCGTCATCACGCATCTCGCTGGCTCGTCTCTCTGTTTCTCTGCTTGCCTGTTTCTGCACTGTGTTCTCTCTGGATCACACTCTTCCCCCCTCACATTTTTTTAATTAAGTTTCAAGAAAAGCTATCTTCAAAAGAAAGAATGAGAAAGAGAAAAGAATACTCCCTATTGCCAGGGAGACAGCTCAGCAGGACAAAGAATGTGCTTTGATACAGGAGTCTCATGATAAATCCCTGGGACCACATGGTCCGCCGACCACCAGGGAGCGATCCTAAGCACAGAGCCAGGAGTAGCCCCTGGGTAACACGGGTGTGGTTCCCCCACCCCACCAAACCCTAAATAAATATGTAAAATAATATTCCAAAGGAAAGAGAGTAAGTGTTCATTTACATTGATCAAGAGTTAGTGTTAAAGGGCTGGAGTGACAGCACAGTGGGTAAGGCATTTATTTGCCTTGCACATGGCCGACCTGGGTTCTATTTCCAGTATCCCATATGGTTCCTCGAGCACTGCCAGGAGTAATTCCTGAGTGCAGAGTCAGGAGTAAACCCTGTGCATCGCCAGGTGTGATGCAAAAAGAAAAAAAAAAGAGTTAGTGTTAAAGGGGCCACAGGGATATTACAGCAGGTAGGGTGTCTGCCTCGTAGGTGGCCAACCCAGATCCTATCCCCGGGATCCCATATGGTCCCCCGAGCACTGTCAGGAGTAATTACTGCGTGCAGAGCAAGAGTAACCCCTGAGCACTGCCAGGGGTGACTCAAAAAGAAACCAAAAAAAATTTGTGTTAATATTTCCTGATGAAAGCTGGAGAAACAGCTCAATGTACTGGAGTGCAAACTTGCATGCAAGAGACCCAGGCTCTATCCTTGACATCACCTCATCCTCTGAGCACCACCGAGCACAATCCCTAACACTGAGCCAGTGACAGTCCCTGAGCAATGCCAGGTAGGGCGCGGAAATTAAAAACAAACCAAGTTTCTGGATGATAGTACAACACTCTCTAAGTCAGGTTCATTTATGAGAAAATTTCACACCCACCTCAACAAGTTGCTCTTTCTGTTCAGAGAGCTTGCAGGCATATTCGGCCAAGCCATCTAAATTTCCTTCTACTCCAGTAAGTTTTAATGCTTTCAGAACCGCATGGTCAGCCTGGTATTTTAACAGATCAGTTGCCAGTTGAGTGGCTGTACTATGAAGCTGCAGATGCGGGGGTTGGGGGGTGAGGGGTGATAGGAGACAACGAATAATACGATTTTTAAGACTCAGCACTTCACAAACACTTTAAAAATGACAAGCAAAGGGGCCAGAGTGATAGTACTGCACGTACGGTATCTGTCTTGCACCGGTCAACCTGGGTTCAATCCTCAGCACCCTGTATGGACCCCAGAGTCCTGCCAGGAGTGATCCCTGACCACAGAGCCAGAAGTGAGCCCTGATCACAGAGCCAGGAGTGAGCCCCGAGCACAGCCAGGTATGGCCACAAAAACAAACCAAAAGAAAAAAAAATCTGAAGTAGAAATCACAAAGCATCTTCATCAATTAGTTAAGAAAAAAAAAAAGAGGAATGTTCCTGTGATCCCAGGTGACAGTGGGTGGCCCTGGGGAGCATCTAAGGCCCCCCAAGGTAGAGTGACTTCTCATCTGTGATTCCAACTGGTCCCACGGCGCAGAGGGGCCATGAAGGAGGACACTGTCGCTCACCACCCAGCTGCACTCTTAATTACCATAGGCTCCTGCTACTTTTTTAAAAAGTGGGGAAAAAAACCACATTAAGGGGTGGAATGCAGAGGTCTAAGGAAAAATCAAACAGTAGCTCCTAATCCGTAGTAAGTTTTGAAATAGGTTTGGAACAGTTTTCAATTTTTTTTGGTCATACCCAGTGATACTCAGGGGTTACTCCTGGCTCCGCACATAGGAATTACTGCTGGCAGTGTTTGGGGGACCATACGGAATGACAAGGATCATACCCAGGTGGGCTGCCTGCAAGGCAAAGTGCCCTTCCCACTGTGCTATTATTCTGCCCCAGTTTGCAATGTGTTTTCATTGCTGTGAAAATATCAGTGTGGGAAGCAGTCAATTAGATTCAGCCAGATCTTATTAAATACCCACATAGTGACAGATACAGTCCTATAGGCTGGACACACACAAGGACTTTTAATCCCTTCACACACAGGTGACAGTCTGGCTGTTACTGCTCTCCAGAACTTGAGTCTTGAACTGTATAAAAACACTGCACCCCCAAGAGAAATGACAACTGAGCAACAAACAAATCCCTAGGGCTTGATTTGGCCGTGGCTGGATTCCAAGCCAGGCTCAATGGCAACATTTGGGTACTATTAACTCCAAGATCTTTTCCTCTTTTCATCTTGTCTTCAAGGAAAAATGATACAATAAGTGATTTGGGGATTCTTCAAAAAGAGAACATTTTTTAAAAAACATGGTCCTAAGGAAAACCTGACTGAGAATGAAGCCAATTTGAATGAAAATGTTGTCTGGTCTTGTCGAATCCCACGCCCCCCACTCCCCGCCCCAGGAAATCCAATGTTCACTCAACTACAAAAATCACCATCGGGCAGTCAGCATTCCTGTGATCAAGTCAGAATAAATGCAGTCGGAAAGAAAGACTTCAAATGCACTTTCCTTTGGAAACTAAATGTCATGTGAGAACTTTTAGAAGTTCTGTTTAACCACCACAGCTTTAAAAACTATCTAATGCTGGCCCATGATTATAAAGACTATGAAATTGGTCCTTAAAGACAAAGAGTGGTATGTCCAAGATCATGTAAACCTTACAAATGGTTCTGTAGAGGAATTATGAATTATGGGAGGGGAAAAAGCATGGAGAAGGGAGAAGCAGCATTTCAACAATATGAAAGCAACTCCACAGGCATTATCACCACAAAATCTTGTATAAATTCTTCTAGGCTGATGTTGTCATACCCACTTCAGAAGTAAGGAAATGAAGCTTTTCTGGAAGGAGTGGTGGAAAATCATTCCATCACCAAAGGATTTTGTGTTCTGCTAGCAGCACAAATCATACAGTTTTTAATAACTGATTTAGTTGAGGGGCTAGAAAGAGAATGCAGGGGATATGGTGCTTGTCTGGTGAGGGGTGCAGTGTTGGGATGATGAATCCATAGAAGTATCACTAACAGTGCTGTAAATCATACTACTCCCATCAAATTTTTTAAATGAGAATAAAAAATAAAAATTAGTGTGTAGCATTTACACAATTACACCAAAATTCATTGATCAGTTGCCCTGACATCAGACATTTAGGCTGTTTCCAGGTTTAGGCTGCTACAAATATTCTATAGGGAATCAATGCAAAGATGATTGACTCAGGAGCTGGAAAGATAGTATAGTGGGCAGGGCGCTTGTACCCCTTGTGATCCCTGAATACCACCGGGGTAATTCCTGAGTGAAGATCCAGGATTAACCCCTGAGCACCAGCAGGGGTGGGCCCCTCTCCCATCCCCACCCTGCAAAAAAAGATAAATGACTTTAACAAAAAAAAAAAAAAAATCAGTGGATTCAAAATGACTAGTTCAAAAGGAAACTTTAAAAATCATTTTCTGAAGCGAAATGACTCAGAAAGAAAGGGCTAGACATAGAAAGATTGCATTCATCTGGGTAACATAAAGTAACAAAATAGGAAACTAACACCCAAGAATGGCCGAGATTAGTGCCGGGAATTTTACTCCATGGCTTGGAGGCCAGCCACACATTTTAGGGGAAAAGGGAGCTCAGATAGAGAAGGGAGCACCAAATAAAGGGTGGTAGGAGGATTCTGAAAGCATGCTGAAAGTAGACTATAGACCAAACATGATTGCCACCCATTGCCTCTTTTGCAAACCACAACACCCAATAGGAGAGAGAACAAAAAGGAATGCTCTGCCACAGAGGCAGGGTGGGATGGAGGGGATGGGGGGTGGGAGGGATACTGGGACCCGTGGTGGTGGGAAATGGGCACTTGGTGGAGGGATGGGTGTTTGATCATTGTATAATTGAAACCCAAGCACAAAAATTTGTAAGTCTACAACTGTACCTCATGGTGTCTCACTAATAAAAATTAAAAAAAAAAATCATTTTCTGGGGTCAGACCAACAGCACAGCCGGCATGCAGCCAACCCAGGTTTGATCCCCAGCACCACACACAGTTCCTCAAGTCCCTCCAGGAGGGATCCCTGAGCACAGAGCTAGGAGTAAGCACTTGCTGGATGTGGCCGCCAAACAAGAGGCCGAGCTCAATGTGGCGTCACCCCGCATGGCAAGCATGGTCCTGCTGCCACCACAAAGACGGCCATGGCCAGAGGGCTGCAGCCAAGCGTGAGCGGCAGTCCAACGAAAACGAAGGAAATGGGGATACGGACCAATTTCTGAGTGCAGGAACACACTAAGATTCATACATCTCACACACAACACGCAAATGAGCAAATCATTTCCGGAGTCTGGATTTCACACCGCACTTACTTCTCTCCTCAGCTCACTGAGGCTCTGATTGATCTTCAGTATCGTCAGTTCCAGTTCTTCAGTAATGCTTTTGGTTTTCTTGCTTTGCTAGACGATGTTTAAAAGTACAGACGGAGTGTTAGCCCATGTTTTAACTGGCCAGTCTAATCTTACTTGAGCTAAAAATTATAAAATGGTAATATTATCTGAACTCTAAGAAAAGCACATGTAAAAATTTTCATTCACTTTTGGGTAGACTGGAAAACAGAATTTGAATTGTTTAGCTATATTTTCCCACTTTACAAACCAGTCAATGTGCTCCCTAATTTTTTTTTTTTGGAGGGGCCACACCTGGCAATACTTAGGGATTACTCCTGGATCCGCACTCAGGAATTACTCCTGACTGTGCTCAGGGGACCACATGGAATGGCGGGATTGAACCTGGTTCAGCAGCATGCAAGGCAAGCATAGTCCTAACCACTGTACTATCTCACCAGCCCCTGAATCTGAATGTGCTTTTTAGAATTGTCATATGTGGATACAGAGACACACAGTAGGACAGGACAAGAGCACAGTGGGGAGGCGCTTGCCTTGCACTCCACCAACCTGGGTTCAACCCCCAAGCAATCCATGTGGTTTCCAGAGCCCACCAGGAGTGATCCCTGAGTACAGAACCAGGAGCAACCCCAGAGCACCACTGGGCGAGGCCCAAAAACAAACCCAAGCACAAAATTTGTAAGTCGACAACTGTACCTCATGGTGTCTCACTAATAAAAGTTTAAAAAAAAAAAAAGAACCCCCCCAAAGTCAAGACACACTGCAAGGGGAAAACAGACAAAGGCAACTGAACATGAGAAGTGATCTGCAGAGCTGAGCTTACCATGGCAGGGGAATGGTAGCAGGTGGGGGAAGACAGGCAGAGAGCCCAGGACAATAGTGGAAGGAGGGAGGCATTCTAAGGGAGAGTGTGGTGCTAGAATGGTGCGTGCATGAGGTCTTTCAGGAATGATCTTATAAATCACGGTGCCTCCAAAATAATAAAGTATTACAGAGAGACAGAGACTCGCTTGGATGAAAATAAGTTCTTACTGCTTGCATCCACACAGAAATTAGCTGCTGCAGTGCCGTTCTTGCCTGAGTGCACAGTTCCAAGATGCGTTTTCTGTGCTCGTGGCTGGTGTAGGCTGAATCGGTGAAGTCCTCTGTACGCTCCAAGATGACATCCAGTGTGGCAGAAAGATTCTCTTTTGACTGGAAGTAAAGATTCTCCCGGAGAATGTCCATACTCCTCTGAGAACAAAGATGATTTGCATCCCCGTGAGTCAGTGTCCACCCCCCCCCCCCCCAGCCAAAACGCACAGTCATTTCTTATCCTGCCATTTCTTTGTCCTGTCCCATGGGCCGGGGCTCCCTCTCCACCAAGAAGCAGGAGCACGGCACAAACACCCCTGAGAAGACGAGCAGAGCTCCTGAGTCACTGATACATTCCAGCAGCGAGAGCGTTATTGTCATGTAGCAACTGGTAGGAAAAATGAAGTGGCCTCCAGGTAAAGGAGGTACGTTCTGAGAAAATGCTGAGGCCAAGTCCTGACAGATGTTACACCCATCTATGGATCTGCGCTGAGCCCGGAGGAAGGGTGCAGAGGGCACAGATATGGAAGGATTCACACAGGTAGTGTTTCTCTCAGCCAGACTCTCCAAGTCACCTATCTGGTTGTTCCTCCATTTGGTGGAAGGGAGGAAGGGAAGGAGGGAAGGGAGAAAGGGAGGGAGGGAGAGAGAGAGGGAGGGAGGGAAGGAGGGACGAAACTTAATATGTAAATCAGATATTGCTAACTCCCTCTAATTGGCTCCTCACTACCGTTGAAATCACACCCAGATTTTGCAAAGCATGGAACCCTCTAGAATCTTGTCTCACTCCGTGTCCCTTTCTTCTCCCTTTTCTTCCCTTTTTTGTGGCTGCAGTGGGGGATGCCAGCACTCAGGCAAGGTGCTCACCCACTTAGTTGGTGGGTGTGCCAGGCGCTTCACACTGGGTTAGGATGCTCACAGATTGGGTGATGGTGCACAGAAGATTTCATACTCCGCGACACCAGAGTCAAAACCGCCATGCCCAGCACGACTGCAGTGACTTGCGTGTATGAATGCATGTGTGTGTGCACACGCGCGCATATGTTACATTAGAACTTGTGGCCTCATGCTTGTAAGGCAGGGGCTCTGCCACTGGACCACCCCCAGGTCCCTTTACGTATCACCTCTTAGCACACAAAGACTCCCTCACTCCAGTCACCCTGTGTTCAGAGTTCCCAGAATGCATGAGGGACACAGGTGACTGGTACTATATGTCTTTCTGCTTTCTTTTTTTTTTCTCCTCAGCATTATATTTTTATTTATTTTTTAATTTTTATTAGTGAAACACCATGAGGTACAGTTGTAGACTTACAAATTTTTGTGCTTGGGTTTCATTTATACAATGATCAAGTACCCATCCCTCCACCAGTGCCCATTCTCCACCACCACCGATCCCAGTATCCCTCCCACCCCCCATCCCCCCACCCCGCCCTGTCTCTCCACTTTCTAAGACACGTGATGCCACTTCAACCTTACTCATCCTCTAGGCCATGAACCATAACTGAGAGGCAACTGGGGTCAAGAATCAACAATAGTGATTGCAAATGTGACATTTCCTCAGCATTTTTTTTTAAAGCTCCTTAAAGTCCTTTCACAACTGCTATTTCAAGTGGACCCTTGTATATGGCCCATTTCGACATGACCCACAAGATTACCAAGACTCAGGAAGGTCACAAGGCCACATGCCAGCGTCTGTTTCCCCTCCTTTTAGCCTGAGCTGTCCTCAATAGTCACTCTATCCTCGGTAGGCAGGAGTTCTTTTGTCTTGTTTTGTTTAATTTTTTTTATTATTGAATTACTGGAGATACACTTACAAAGCTTTCACGATTGAGTTTCAGTCATACAATGATTGAACACCCATCCCTCCACCAGTGCGCATTTTCCACCACCAATACCCTCCCTCAGTATCCCTCCTGCCACCCCCATCCCACCCCCTCCACTGCCTCTGTAGCAGGCACCTTCCTTCTTACTCTCCTCCCTCTACTTTTGGGCATCGTGGCTTGCAATACAGATACTGAGAGGCCATCGTGTTCAGTTCTTGTCTACTTTCAGCACGCATCTCCCATCCCAAGCGATTCCTCCAACCATCACTGACTTAGGGGTCCCTTCTCCATCCCAGCTGCCTTCTCCCCTAGCACATGAGGCAGGCTTCCAAACTGCAGAGCGATCCTCCTGGCTCTTGTCTCTACTGTCCTTACGTGTTAGTCTCATATTATATTGTTTTATATTCCACAAATGAGTGCAGTCATTTTATGTCTGTCCCTCTCTGTCTGACTCATTTCACTTAGCACGATACTCTCCATGTCCATCCAGCTATAAGCAAATTTAATGACTGCATTTTTTCTAATCATGAATTTGTTTTGGGGGGGGGCACATCCATGTTACTCTGGCAGTTCACAAGGAACTGTGTAGTGCTGGGACCCAAACCCAGGCTCCTGCATGCGAATCATGTGCTTGGGTCTTAATGCTCTGAGCCAGCATTTTAAAACTAAACTGAAAATAATGGGGGAAGGGGGGGTTCTATTGTCATACAGTGCTCAGGGAGGGGCATGCAGTGCTGGAGATCAAGGTCGAAGACTCACACATCTCATGGAGGCAAGACAAGTGGTCTACCACTTGAGTCACATTCCCAGCCCAGGGATTTTTATTTATAGGGGTCAAATCCAGTAGAGTGAGGGCGTACCAGAGCCACTCCCAGCAAAGCACTTTAAGCTGCTGCAACGTAAAAAAAAAAAAATCATCAGTCATGCTGGGCTGAAGAGACTGAGCACGGGTTAAGGTACTTGTCTTAAAGCACCTTTGCCTGACCTGATTTGATCCCGCTTACCAGATCACTGCTAGGAACGACCCCTGAACACAGAGTCAGGAGTAGCCCCTGAGCACCAGTGGATGTGGACCAAATTCCCTGCCCTTCCCCAAATCTGTCATGTTGGCCACAAATCATTTCTGTTATGGTTTTGCTTTTTCCCATTAGTGAGAATGATCTTTTTTTCTTTGTTTTTATGGTAACAGGAATCAGACCCAGCTCACATGCCGATCAGACATATCCCTTAATTCTGAGTCTCCATCCCGTACCTGAGAACATGCATTTGATAAACTGAACACAGTTAGTTAAAAAAAAATAAAAATAATAAAGAAATAATAAAGAAAAAATTAAATAATAAAAAAGAAAGAAAGAAAGAAAGAAAGAAAGAAAGAAAGAAAGAAAGAAAGAAGAAGCTAACACACAAACAAAGATGCACTCATGGGGCTGGAGAGAGAGCACAGCGGGTAGGGCGTTTGCCTTGCACGCGGCCAACCCGGGTTCAATTCCCAGCATCCCATATGGTCGGTCCCCTGTGCATCGCCAGGTGTGACCCAAAAAGCAAAAAAAAAAATGCTCTCATTTTAGTTGGGGTCAGGGCTAAAAGGGTTGAAACGCATGCCTTGCCTTTGGTGTGGGAGCACCAGATTCAATTCCTGGCTCAACGTGGTTCCTGAATGCCATCATAAGTGATCCCCAAACACCACCACGTGAGTTCTCCCCCCAAAATAAAGACCATTTATACGATCACTGATGTGGCTTCACAACGCCTGTCCTTCTACAGAGCACATTCTCCAACAGGTGCCACGGAGAGAACGGCTGACGGTGACACTGACTGTGATGGGGAAGGGTCCACAGCAGGCAGCAGGCTGAGCCCAGCTGCTATAACCTGGGACCACTACTGCAGCCTCGAGGCAAAAGCTGTGGGTCTAACCCTGCTGGTTTCCCTCCTTATCCACTGACCTCTCACAAGACATCTCCTCTCTCAGCCCACATAAAAAGAGGTAAAGGTAAAGGTAAAGGCCCTCCCGTTGATCGTCGATTTGCTCGAGCGGGCCCAGTAACGTCTCCATTGGAGACTTTGTTGTTACTGTGTCTGGCATATCGAATACTCTCGGTAGCTTGCCGGGCTCTCCGAGAGGGGCGGAGGAATCGAACTCGGGTCAGCCATGTTGGCCGCTTGTAAGGCGAACGCCCTACCCGCTGTGCTATTGCTCCAGATAGCTCCAGAGGGATCGGAAAAAAGAATCTTTAAACAATCCTGTAAACAGGGGAGAGGCGGCTACAGCTTTTTTTGTCTTTTCTCTTTTCGGGTCACACCCAGCAATGCTCAGGGGTTACTCCTGGCTCTGCACTCAGGAACTACTCTTGGTGGTGCTTGGGGGACCATATGGGATCCAAGGATTGAATCTGGGTCAGCCACGTGCAAGGCAAATGCCATACCCGGCCCAGGATGCTACAGCTTATCCACATAACAAAGTAGGACCCAGGGGGCTCTTCTAAGCCAAGAACAGGGTTCTCTGCATGTCTCACACCCACACTGAGTGACACAGTGTGTACACAGTGGCACTGTGCTTTGCTTACCCACTGTGCTGGGATGGGGGTTTGCTCCCAGCAATGTTTAGGGGACCCTGTGATGCTGGTTCCCACAAACAAAGCATGCACTCTCATTTGGCACTGTTTTGACCAAAAAATACTTTTTGTTTTGCCTCTGTTCTAAACTGTTATGCAAAGTTATGGAGCCTCCCTAGACTGATGCTCCCAAGGCAAAATGAAAACACGTCCTCTTTATTCTTACCTTAAATTCTTTAATCCCGGAAAAAATACTAACAGACGCAGAGTCCGTCTCTCCATTTGGCTTGCAGTCGGTCACAATCTCGATGACCTTGTTCAGAGCCACTTTCATGCGGTCAAACACTTCTTCTTTGTTTTTGTGGGCTGACTCGCAGTTGGGATGCCTGAGACACGTCTTCAAAGGAATGGAAAAGTGCCTCTTTACCACTGCCCCAGTGCAGAACTCACAAAATCTGACACAGAACAGGTCATGCTAATAAAAACGGTTCTTTACCCAAAGCTCCTGCGTCCCTGGCTCACCCCGCTGCTTCTCCTCACTAAAAGTGGAAGCACGATGAGCAGAAAGCGACAGCAAGGTTAAGTGGAAAAGGCAGAGCAGAAAACCATATCTTTACACAGCAATCATTTTCCCGAAAGGTTTTGGGGAAACTCCTTTATCTTCATCATGATTTAAATCACTTTGAGATATTGTTTGGCATGTGCAAACCAAAAAAAAACAAACAAACAGAAAACAACAACCAAAAAAACAAACAGAACAAGGGGAAATGAACAGATGGCATAAGATCATGGATGCATCTTGGACTCACAATAACTGATGAAAATGAAAAACTGCACAAGGGCTAGATATTACCAGGGCCTTGCCAGCCAGTTTCAGGAAACTTTGGTTTTGCAGCGTGACTGTTCCTAGCCAAGTAAGTCCATTGAGCAGAAAAGGCCCTTCTAATTCAATAGCTAATGAGAGGTTTACGAGTTTATTCTTAAACTGTACCAATTTGCTGGTTTGGAATGACAAGCTTTTGAGTGACAATTGTGCAGAATAAGGAAGGAGAGTTATGAATTTATAGAATAAACAAAGGAATCACTTAGTGCTCTCCTGTTACTTAACAAATTAAAACTTGCCCAGCTTCTTCCGGAGTGCAAAGTGCTGGTTCCCCGAAGGGACTAGCCAAGCCCTTCGGGCCCAGTGGGGTGAACCGCCTCCTCCGCTGAGTGGCTCACCAACGCTGACTCACAGGTTAATTGTTCTCTGAAGCTGGGCAAGGGAGCTGGCACAAAGAGTAACTGAGATTTGACAATCAGGCTCTACTTTCGGGTTTATCACTTTTGATCTTGAAAACTGAACGATATGAATTGGAAGCAGCAAATCAGAATTCCTGATTAATTTACAGCACAGTAAAACCAACGTTTCCTCACCTTGGACGCTGTAAGAAGCATCATCGTACACTTCTCCAGGACCGCCCTAGCTGCTGCCATTTTCGCCTTTTTCTTTTCATCTTTCAGGTCCTGAAAATGAAACAAGATCACTTACCAGTTTAGAGTCATGTAAACAACCCAGTAAGTATCTACTCAAAATAGTAACGCTAAACAATTGAGTGATATCGTTGGGCAGGGGGGTGTTGGGAGTGACAGAGTGAAAGGACGGAAGTGTTATGAAATGCAACCACGCCAAGTAAGCATATCCACGCAGCAGAGTGGCCTTTGGTTAGGGGAGCAGAGCCAGACACTGAAGGCCGGGGGCTGCATGGGGCTCACATTCTGGGGGGCTCATCTCATATCCAGTATAGACATACCTCAGTCCCAAGCAGAAAAACAAGTATCATATATTGTGCTTAAGTAAAAGCAACATGGATTGCTACTTCCTTCAAAACAGACACTTAGGGTGGAAAATGAACTCTGGTGCAGGGACGGGTATTTGAACATCGTATGTCTGAAACCCAATCATGGACAATTTTGCAACTGTTTATCTCACTGTGATTTCATTAACTTTTTTTTTTTAAACAGACACTTAGATGTCAACTCTTTGAGTCTATTGCTGATTGGTTCCATCTAAGGACTCATTAATCTCAATATGAGGTTTCTGAGCTCTGAACTTCACCCACAGGCCGCTCTGAAATGTTCTGAAGATGTACTGTGGGAACATACTTTTACCCTCCTACGTAATGAGCTCTGAAGCAGGCACTGTGTCTTGATTTTTACCTTTCAGTTGCTTTTCACAGAGCCCTTGATGGAATGTGCGTGATTCTAATTTGAGGACAACCATCCGAATCAGAGTTCAACAGGCATTTTCAATAAAAGGCCAGCTAATAAAAACTCTAGATTTTCTGGGCCATCTGGCTTCTGTCACAAATACTTAATTCTGCCATCATTAAGTGAAAGCTGCCCTAGATAAAATATAAACAAATGAACACAGCTGTGTTCTCTTACTTATGGACACAGAAATTTGAACGACACAATTTTCTTTCTGTCACATTAGTCAGTCTTTTTTCCTTGGTGAGTTGAGTGAAAGCATTTTTCTTATAAAATACAAAGCACTAAAGTTTGAGAATAATGTGCCTTTTATATAAGTAAATCAGAGTGAATTCAAAGATATCCCTATAAAAGCTCACTTACGTGAATCCCAGTCGAGCTTCCTGTAATAGGAACCCAAAAGGCAAATTCTTTCTACATCAAGCCCCTGAGAAACTGCATGTAACCTAAAAGCCAGTTCCGATGACAAGGTCAAATCCTCAAGGTCTCTGTCCTACATGTGAATCACCCATCAAAGTTACCTAAGAAAAACTAGGGTTGAGGGAACTTCTAAAATTTCTATCCATTCCTCTTCTCTGTATCATGTTAGACAGTACTTCCTGCAAAAAACCTGGTGATTCTAGTAGACACAGCATCAGGTGCATAGGGGATACTTAACACGTGTAAGTCACAAAAGACTGCGGGGGTGGCCCTGCTCATCCCTGGCACCACAGGGTCCATGCAGCACTGCATCCTCCAGCCCTCACACTGAACCGCCAGCCAACCAGTACTTTTGAGAGTGGCCCACAGGCCTCCCTGAGCACAGAGGAAAAAGCTAAAACAATAAAAATGATCTTTACGGAAAAGGACAGTCTATTATCTTCTCAGGTGCTGTTTCTTCATGTGTGAAACAGTAATGATAATGTCTATTTTCATGAGATGTTTTGATAATTAAATGAGATCACGTATATAAGGCACCGAAAATAAAGCCAGGGTAAGGAAACACGGACTTGCATTACTGCTCTTCATCTAACGTAGAAAAACGGCAGAAAGGAAGAATATCCAGAATAATCTGTAAAAAGTTGAAGAAAGAATACTAAGAGATATCCAAAACAAAACTAAACTATGTAAGAGGACTCTCTCTGCGGAGCTCTGTTAGAAGGCAAATGGAAAGTCTCATGAAAGTGGAAACATTTGGGCTGGACCTTGCAGGGGAGGATGACTGTTCCCGAAGACTGTGGCGGAAACACAGGTAACTGCTGGAAGTGCAAAGAAAGCGAAACAAAAAATAAAGACCTGCAGATTTACCTTCTTTTTTGTGGCTTGTTTGTAACAAAGTTTATAAAATTCATAAGCAAGGAGACCAGGCTTCAATACGGCAATACCATCACACCGCCATCCAAATCAAAGAGTGTGCGTTTATTTGAAGATTTTTAAATGTAGTAAATACATACATTTTGTCTATCTCCAGTTAGATGTGCAAACTCCACCATTTCATTTCCAAATTGACTGAATATTTGGACAAACTCTTGAAAACTATTCACTTTCTCTAGTCTTTCCATAGTTGCAAGGACCTGCAAAACGAAATATTTTAGTGCCAGATCTAATCAGTGCAAGAGACTGGGGTTTGTCCATTCTAAGTGGGGGCTAGGGTGGAGGGAAGAAAGAAATTCGAGTAGATCCTAGAATTTACTAGAAAGCTGTGGAAGGCTAAGGGAAGACGATAAAGGAGGGGTTCCGAGAAGCAGGAGCAGATTCAAAAGTTAGAATCTTCTAGGGAATGCATCACTCTTAGAATGAAGACACTCGGACTTGAAAACAAAAAAGGAAAAAGAGGCAGAGTAATGACGAAATGGAAAGGGGTGAGCGTTTCTGCAGCAAAGGGTGCCGAGGGCAGGAGTGGGCAAGCCTAGGTAAGAGAGTCCAGGGAAGAGGCAGGGAGTGGGGCTAAAAAAGGAACACACGGGAGCTAGTGCAATGAGACAGGCTGGGAGACGCCCCTCCTCTCAGGAAAGGGGAAAGAAGGTCGTCTGCAAAGGGAGGGTCCCAAGGGAGGATGAAAGGGGAAAGAAGATCGTCTGCAAAGGGAGGGTCCCAAGGGAGGATTGGGGCGTTATGAGCAGGAAAAGAGTTTCCATCCGTTCGCAGAATTGGCAAGAAGCTGTGGGCAGCCAGCAGTGGACAGAGCGCGTGAACCTGCAGGAGAGCCAAGAGACCACGTGATGCGTTTTCTTGACATTGGAAATAAAGTAAATAGATGTGAAACATATTTTCAAATACTTTTCTCTGAAATAACAGCCCTGGAGTAGTTTTTGTCAGACCAAGATAGGAAAAGAAAACACAGATATCCTGTGTTTACTTATTTTTCACGGGTCTATAGCTGGATGTTGGCATGCTAATCTGCCCTGGCAGCTCCGGAAGTCCCAGGCGACTAACACAGATAAGGCAGCTTTGCCATCACCAGGCAGAACCTCCATCCTTCACAGAGGAAGAGTTTGGCCTCTCCTCTAACTCTCCAATTGCTTTTTCTCTTTCATCTTAACATTTTCGGATTTACTCACCACTCTTGGGGTACTTCCCAGCCGCAAGCCCTGTTGGATCAATTCCCCACTTGGCTCACTCTCTTTTTTCTTGATACGGAATTGCTCATGGAAAAAATAGTGATTGTACAAGTGCTGGCTTCCATCATTGAGGAGCTGGGATCATTATCTGAGAGACTGTTCGAGTTCCACACCAGAAGAGTCTGTCTGTTCTCTCAGTTTTGTGATTTTTACATGACTTTTAGGGAACTTAGTATCCAGAGATTGCACAGTGTGAGTTGTTTCAGATATCTGAATTATTTCTCAAACTTATACACTGTTACTGGGGGGCAGGAAAGGGAAGGGGAGACAGAGGCTGAGTCTTGGGGAAGGAGGCATTGAGAAATTCGGTATTTTTGTCAACTAGTTTCTGTACTGCCTTATAACTCTCACAATGGAGACGCTACCGGTGCTCACTCGAGCAAATCGAATAACAATGGGAGGACAGTGCTACAGTTTCTGTACATACATTTTCACGGAGCTCGTCTTTTCTTCCAGAATCTCTATACACGAAGGGCTCTCACCAATATACCTCAACAAGCCGATAATGGTTTAATGAGAAGAAACCATTTTAGCTTCCCTATGCACACCCATCATTTAGGAATTACAAATGCAAAAGAAACACACCACCACTTTTAGGGGACAGGGTAGGGGCGAGGGAGGGCATTCCTGGTAGCTCTTGGGGCCACTCCTGGCTCTGTGCTCAGGAGTAACCCTTGGTGGTGCTCAGGGACCATCTATGGTGTTGGAGATTTGAACTGGCGTGGACCACATGCATGACGAGCGCCTGAACCTCAGGCCCTGAAACGCCACTTTTAAACTAGAATTCTAAGCAACTGAAACATATGAGCATTGCCAAATTACCTTCTTTGACCTCAAAAACTCTTTTTAAGAAATGATACAGGGGAGTAAGGAAGGCACTTTGCCAGATATGACCTGCTTCTCCAGGAGGTCTCAGGGCAACATTTTTTTGTTGTTCAAAAAAATAAACCGGAGTGGGGGAGCAGAGCGATAGTACAGGGGGTAGGGCATTTTGCCTTGTATGCGGGACAACCCGAGTTCAATCCCTGGCATCCCATATGGTCCCCCAAGCACCGCTAGGAGTAATTTCTGAGTGCAGAGCCAGGAGTAAGCCCTGCGCATTGCTGGATATGACACCCCTCCCAAAAAAAAAGGAAAAAAAATTTTTTTTCAAACAAAACTGAAAGACACAGTATAGGATCACCAGAAAAGCAAGTACCTTATTTCTTGATGTTATTATCTGCTTAATGACTACTCGGTCAGCCAACAACAGCACTTTTGTCACTGAAGAAAGAAGCAATCTGGCAGCTTTTATCACTCCTGCTTTGTCTGTGAAAATTGTGATCTGACCATCAGGGTCTGGGGGATTCAAGCTGCTGACATCTGTAAGTGCTGCAATCGTTTCTCCTGAAAGGAAAGGCAAGGGAGGGAAGTTCAGTTGGGAATAAGATACATTTAGATGAAAATCCACACTTTCAAAAATCTTTTTCCTTTGGGGTGGGGAAGGGGGTGGCTGGGAGGGCCAGCACTGCTCAGGAGACTTTCGGGGACTTTGCGTTCAGGAGACCCCTGGGAGTGCCCAGCGGACCATATGTCACGTCAGGGATCCAACTGTGATAGCTGTTATTCAAAGCAACCAAATGCCTTACTTCCAGTACAATCTCTCCGGCCAGACTTTTGAGAGAGAGAGAGAGTGTGTGTGTGTGTCTGTGTGTGTATGCTTGAGTCACACCCAGAGACACTCTTAGGGCTTACTCCTGGTTCTGTACTCAGGGATTAAATTCACCCCCAGTGGACTCGGGGAACCACATTGGGTGCCAGAGATTGAACCAGGTAAGGTGCACGCAAGACAAATGCTTTCCCTGCTGCACCATCTCTCCAGACCGCTTTCTCTAATCTTAAGGGATATGTGCTTGGTGGGTAGAAACCCAGCTTTGCGGGAGAATGGGGGGGCATGGGAGGACCCCTTAAGACGCGGACACTCTGGTGGTGGGTGTGGGGTTGGAATAATGTGTGTGCCTGAAACTCCGTTATTAACACTATTACAGATTGTGTGACTAAATGAAAAATGAAGAGGAAAAAAATGAATTCGACTTTGGATTACTTCAGGAGCAAGGAACAGTTTCCTCGGGATAAGCACAAGGACTGTCATGTGAGCTCCCAAGCACAAAAACCAGCAGCACATTCTTAAGAACTCAGACACTTTTGTTTTCAGTGAATATGAAAAACATCAGCGCTTTTGTTCCCACTGGTGGGGCAACTTACACCATGAAGTAAAGTTCCCTGCTCTACAAGACAGTGAGAGAAATCTCAAGAGTCAATAATCAAAGAATCAAAAAAAAAGAGTTGGGGGGTGTGGGAATCAAGCCTCTATAATCTCAGGGTTCCTGACTTTTATTGGATCCCTAGGGCAGAGGTAAAAGGGCTTCCAGCCACCTTGGGAAGTGTCACCAGTGAAAGGCGGACTGCAAGAACCACCCACAGGCAAAGGGAGACAATAAGCAAATTTGTCTGTTGGTCAGCCCAGGCTCTGTGTGGGCAAAGAAAAGAAAAGCCTGCCTTCATCCTGGAATTCCACCCAGAGCCTGACCCTCACCCAGGCTTCCTGCTTGGCTTTATACTTCGAATGATGCCCATCTTAAACCATTCTGCCAGGGGCTGGACAGAGAGTACAGCAGGTAGGGTGCTTGCCTTGCACACAGCAGACCTGGGTTCGATCCCTGGCATCCCATAGGGTCCCCAGAGCATCGCCAGGAGTAATTCCTGAGTGCAGAGCCTGGAACAACCCCCGAGCATGACTGGGTGTGAACCAAAACCCAAAAGGAAAAAAATAAATAAAAGAGTAAAACCAAGGTGTACTTTTTCCAAGACTAACTGTTTAACAAAATTCAAAAGATAAACCTTAAATCATCTTATAATGCTCAAGATGATTTTAACATGTGTGTTGGTGGGCAGGGGGAGTGTGGGTCACACCTTACGGGCTACACCTGGCTTAATGCTCAGGGATCGCCTCTGGCAGTCTTCAGAGAACCAGGTGAGCTCAACCCCCTGAGCTCCCTCTGGCCTCCTCAAGGTCAATAAACCTAAATAAACCAGTACGCTTGATGGATTGGTTTTCTCACAACCCAAGAATTTATCTCCCTGTCACTAAGAACTTTGTGTAAATACATCTGTGCAGTAATAGGACTGAGTATAAGCAGAATGAGGATTCAGATCGGTCTGGCAGAAGCACATGACAGGGACTAGAATGGTGCTCTTCAAACACAGTGCATGGATCTGTTCAGATGCGCAGGTACAGGAAGGCTAGAAACCCCTGCTCTACTGCCAGCCCATGGACCGGGGTGCAAGCCAGGGGCCAGGCCATGGATGCAAACAGCTTAGAGAAACCCGAACTGGAAAGAATAGTTCAGGGTCAAGCTAAGAATTGGGAAGCTATTTCAATTAGGAGCATGTGGGGATCTTACAAACAGTGTGGGCATGGAAATACATAATTTTTTATGATTTGGGAACTATTGAAAAGAAAAAAATCTAAAATTACAGCCTGAACATTGACAGGAAGAAAGGATGAGTGGAGGTGGTGGTGGTGGTGGTGGTGGGGTGTATGTGTGGGGGGGGAGGGGGTCCTGAGGTCATCAACTAAATCACTTGAAGAAAACCCGAAGGGCCTGGGAAGAGCTGTGGTGAATTTAGTTTCAGACAACAGAAACCTGAAATGATGCTGGGGGAGAAATATCAGCCACTAGGTACCCACGGATGACTAACAAATGAGTCTCCAGTAGCCCAAGGAGTCACAGCACCCAGCAACTCCACTCTCAGGCTGTGTCCCTGACACAACTTCTCGGGTTTGGTATGGCTGCAGTGATGACCCCCTGCCACCAAGGCCCCTGAGGGAGCATGCTTGGCAGCTCTCTTTCTTCCCAAAGGGAAACTGAGGGAGATTTCTGACAGGAGAGACTGAAGTCTGGGGCCAACTGACAGCCCGAAAGGGAAGTCCGCCAGGGCTTGAGAGCAAGTCCCAAAGCAGAGTCTGCGTCCAGTCAAGCTTCCTAGTGACCACAGGCCCCAAGGGCACCCTCACTGCCAGTCCTGAGAGACGCCAACCTAGGACCAACTGTGAGGCAGGCGACACCCTGATTCCTTGCAGGCAGAGGTAGCAAAGTTCGAGGTTTTAAGCGCTTGCTTTTTTTTTCTTTTCTTATTAGTCACCAGAAAATTGCAAAGTTATTCGTGATTAGGTCTCGGCATACGTTGTCTCAGTACCGATTCCGCCACCACTGCCCGCCTTCCCCCCCCAATTTATTCCCTCGCCCTCTTTGTCTCCTACCCACCAGGTTGTGATATGGAGTACTTCTTAAAAATACATGAGCTTTTGCATTATTGTTTATTGTACTATTGCCGACAGGGTTTCATACAAAACACGTTGACACCTTTCAGCACCCACTCCTCCTCCCATTTGATCTTTCCTTCACTATAGCAGCTGCCTCCATCCCACCCCCCCATCCTCTTACCCTCCCAATCCTCTCAGGAGAGATATTTCCTACGGACTGCCAGTTCTCATGGTCTTTGTTCCCACATCTTTGGTTATTCATTATCCCCCCATGATGTTTCATTATACTCCACATATGAGACAGACAGTTGCTGCCTTGAGGTTAACTAACTTGTTACCCAGCAATAGGTAACTAGCACAAAATTTAACAGCAACTTCACAGAAAAAAAATTAAAACCAAAAATGTTAATGTACGCAGAAAGGGGCAGAAGGGAAATATTGCTTTGCTTTCAGCAATAGCTGAAAGGATGGCCAAGTTTCCTCCGTAACGCTGGAAAATATTACCTTTTCCTGTAGCTCTCAATCACCAAAGATACCACATATAACCATATGGCATTATTTAACCTTTCCTTTCCTGACTAACCCCTCGGCATTTCACTCACAAGGTAACATTCGGTTAGCTCCACCAGCATAGGCAGATAGTTCTTCAACACTCTACAGTTGTCCAAAGTGAAGACCATTCAGAAATCAGTTTGCGAAAAGTGACAAAGGTGTCTTGCAGATGCATGGCTGTCATTTTCTGATATGTTAAATGCAACTAGCGAATACTTTAATGCAAAAATCTAAAGCTAGTAAAACACTGATCTCAGCTCCCAAGCAAAACATAAAACTTGGCTGGTTGTCAAGTAAAAAGTGAAAACACAGTATAAGAGCGTTCAACATGGAAAGAAAGGCGTAAAAAGGAAAAGTCCGAACAACGGGTTGCATCTACTTTGACTTGGTTTTATTTTTAGTTTTGGTGCTAGGGACTGAACACACATGACTGGCTTGCTAAAGGTGGACCACTGAGCCACCACCCAGGCAACAACAAATATTTATATTGAACAACTTTCTAAATGTCAAACACATGGGTAGAGAGCTTGCCTTTGAACATGGCCAACCTGGATCCAATCTCTGGCACACCACCAGGAGTGATCCCTGACAGCAGAGCCAATGGTAAGCCCTGAATAATTCCTGGTGTAGCCACTACACCAAACCAAGCAAAAACCCAAAAAATCTTCTATAAATTCTAACATTATCCTTATTTTAAAGAAGAAAAAACTGAGTTTTTAACAAAGCCTAAGAGTTTGCCCAGGGGGGCTGGAGTCATAGCACAGCAGGTAGGGCATTTGCCTTGCACACGGCCCACCCAGGGTTCGATTCCCAGCATCCCACATGGTCCCCCGAGCACGTCCAGGAGCAATTCCTGAGTGCAGAGCCAGGAGTAACCCCTGAGCATCACCGGGTGTGACCCAAAAAGCAAAAAAAAAAGAGTTTGCCTAGTGGGGCACCGTCAACAAGCAATGCAACCAGAATCCAGGTATCTGATGCCAAGGATCTAGTTACTTTATTACTATTTTATGTGATTCCTCCTCAAATGATTACTAAGTTTTCTGGAAGTGAAAATGGTTTCTATGGGCAGCGTGTCCCGGAAATATCTGAAGAATGATTTCAGCCAATCTGGATGTGTTAAGAGAAACCAGGACTTCCAAATGAGAAATGAATTACAGGAGGCACCACGGTTACTTGTGGACCCAAGTCCGTTCTCAGGAACTGCTAGGATGCATCAGACAGGAAGAGACAAGATGTGGGGCCCCTGAAATCAGCTGGTTGCCAAAGGCCTCTGCTGACCAGACGGCAAAGTAGGGAAGTCTCCCAGTGCTCGCTCTGCCCTGTGTCCTTCTTCCCACCACACAGCGACACACTAGCACGACAATAGGGTGAACAGCACTCAGGTGGCTCTCTCATCACAAAGCCCGTTCTCTGGGCCAGAGCGATAACTCAGTGACCTAGAGAAATGAACTGGGTACCACTAAAGGAGTGACCTGGGTACCACCCACAATCCTACACAGTCCCCAGAGCACTGCGGGGAGTAACACCCGGGTGCAGAGCCAGCAGCAGCCCTGAACATCTCTGGGTCTGGGCTTCCAAGTAAACACTGAAATCTATATGCACGCATAGACCAATATAACCCCCCTACTCTTGCTTTAATTAGGAATTGCTATAAGAAACAGTAATGGGAAGAACATGTCTACCACTCTGATGAATTACCCATTGCATTATGTAATATGTGTTGCAAAAGCACCCACACAATAATTTGGTGCCAGGAAAAAAAGGTCTCTCTCCTCTTGACATGCTGGTCTGTTTCCTTTCAACAAAACAATGAGAATTATATAACCCTTTCTTTCCCACATTTTTTCTCTCTTGCCTTCCAGGAAGGATAAAGATAAATTTCGTGCTTACTTAGAATTACAAAGTTGGCTAAAAGTTACTAGTCTTTTATTTCCATCTCCTTGTAAATGTGTTTCCTGGATGTATATCTTTTGCTATAAGCTATTTCAGTTCCTTTCACAAATGTAAGCAGAACATAAATTATGAGTATAATAAACCACCCCCCTGTTCTGAGAGGAAAAATGTCTACTCTTTACCTCAGTGAATAACTAGAAACCCCGGAGTTTCTGAAAATGTTCCATTTCATTCGATCAAGTCCTATCTGTTAATCCATCTAGATGAGGATTTTGTGTCCTTCTTCTCCTGCTTTTCACATCTCCGTGGCAATGCTTTGGTTTAGACTATTTGTTATAAGAAGCCTCCATATTAATCTCCCTGACTTTTATATCTACTCCCAATGATTCATTTTATCAATCAATTAACCCACACTCATTAATTTCTTCAATGCTACCTGAAAATTTTCTAATGCAAAATTGTCTCTTTATGGTCCAAATTTCTCAGCCTGTCCTCTATAGGATGAGTCCTGAGAGATTCATTTACATGCATAAGGGGGTTGACACCTCCAGATTTATTAGGCTTTATCTTACTCACCCTCTACCCCTTCATTTTTCATTTCATTTCATCATCCTGTTATTCGTCGATTGCTTCGAGCAGGCCCCAGTAACGTCTCTTTCATCCTAGCCCTGAGATTATATTCAAGGCTCTTTAGGAGAATGAGACCCATCATTGTTACTGGTATTTGGCATATTGGGTACGCCACGGGGAGTTTGCCAGACTCTGCCCTGTGGGCAGGCTACATTCGGTAGCCTGCCAGTTTGTCCAAAGTAGGAATGAGATAATAAGATGTCATAAAAAGATGTCCTGATAAGATGTAATAATGACCTTCTTAAATATTTACCTGCACCTTCCTCGGGAGCTATTTTTTTTTTTTTGGCATTCTTCTCTTTTTGAACTGGATTACAATCCTACAAAATTTCAGTGGTGTGTTTGCTTCTTTCTTGGCCTAGTCAATCACCAAACTTGCCTATTTTTCTGCAAACAGAAGCATCATTCACCCAACTGGTTCGCCTCCAAATGTTGGAGTCATCATCCCTGGCTCTTCTTTTGGTCACATCCTGCAATCAAAACTACCAGCAGGGATCAGAGAAATAGTACCGAGGCTAAGGACCTTGCTGAAGAGTGACTGACCCCGGTTGAATCCCCGACATGGCATACTGTCTCCCGAACATAAAGAGCAGTGATAGCTGAGCCCAGAACCAGGAATAAACCCTGAGCACTGCCCAGTGTGGCCCCCCAAACAATCCACCAAACAAACACAAACCTACCAGCAAATTCAGTAGAGCAGTCATGCCACAGCATCTATTTCATCACTCAAAGGCTATCCTCTGGACTAAGTCACCATCACAGATCACCTGAGTCCACAGCAGGAACCTTCTCCCCAGAGGCTCTGATCTTCTGATCTCTCTCTCTCTCTCTCTCTCTCTCTCTCTCTCTCTCTCTCTCACACACACACACACACACACACACCTTCTAAAACCTATACTCGGGGACCAGAAGATCCGTTTGCAGAAAACTTTGTGGGGCCACAGAGACAGTACAGGGAAAGGTGTTTGCCTTGCATACAGCTAACTCCAGTTCAATCCTCAGCACCAGGTGTTTCCTGTAGAAGCAACGGGAGTGACCCCTGAACCAGGAGTACCCCCTGAGCACTGCAGGGTGTGGCCCCCAAATAAAGAGAGAACAACAACAATTGTTAGGAACATTTGGCAATGTCTGGAGGCTTTTTTTCCCCGGCGGTCACATGAGGCAAAAGTGAATCTACTGGCATGAGTTTAGCTAAAAGCTAGGGATTTTGCTAAATACTCTGCAGTGCATAGGAAAGTCATTCAGTTAATTACCGACAAAGGCATCTGCAGCCCAAAAGGTCAAAAGAATAAAAGCTTAGAAACCCTGCTCTCCTATAATAGGCTATATTGATTGCCAATTGCCTTGATAATTTTCTTTTTTGGGGGGGAGGTCACACCCAGCGATGCTCAGGGGTTACTCCTGGCTTTGTACTCAGAAATTACTCCTGGAGGTTCTCAGGGGACCATATGGGATGCCGGGGATTGAACCCAGGTTGGCTGCGTGCAAGGCAAATGCCCTACCCACTGTACTGTTGCTTCAGCTCTGCCTTGGTATTTTCTTCACAGTAACAATCACTACCTGACATTATGTATTGTTTATTTGTTTATAGGTTTGCCCCCCTTGAAGGAGGTTTTTGTCTCCCTTGCTGGAAAGCAAATAATTCAAACTCTATGGGCGCAAACTTGTGACTGCTTTATACAGGGGGCCTAGAATAATTTCTAACATATCAGCACACAGTAAATGTCTATTGAAAGAATAAGTGGATGGGAGGTATTTCAAATAATGCTGAGTAATTTGTGACCATAAAAACATCCCAGGCTTTGCCATGTTTTGTACCACCAGCTACAGAGAACTGTGAAACATTGTGAGATTGAAAGTCACTGTGATTTATCTGTAGGAGAATAAAGGCACATGCTAATTTTTATTTCTGTTTCCTACATGGGGGGGAAATAGGCTAACATGCTCCCCCAAGCAGATTTCTGAATTCACACTTGTCTATACTGCTCATATTTCAGTGGTTGATGACAAAAGTGGCAGTAAAAGAGTTCAATAGTTCAGTGTTTCAGATTTAGGACTTAACCCCAGAGAAGTTTCATATTCCAAGAAGGTAACCCAAGCACCTAATATACAAGAAATAAATCTTTGCAAAGTTAAATAACAGTTTATATTTTAACACCCAAATTTAAAAAAATTTAAAAATGTTTGTGGTTATTTTCAGAGCAATACAACTGCCATAAAGAGGCTCCATTATCAACATACCTGCTCGTTTCGCTTCAATACAGGCAATATTTATTTCTTCTTTCAAATCCCAGTTTTCATTGGCGATGGCTTCCCCCACTCTAACAAATCTTCCAACTGCCAAGTTCACAGCTTGTCCTACCCGCTGAATGGCTTGCAGAGTTTTATCAGACTTTTTAGTGTTATCTTTGTGATTAATAAGTGTCGTGATCTAAAAATAAAGATAACAACAACTTACTTAATTTTGTCAATTTTTTTAAAGAAAAATCTATATCACAAAGGCTAAGGAAAGTAAACATAGAATACTGGGCAAAGTCTAATGAACTAAATTGCCACTTTTCATGTTTTAACCCAGCAATGATCAGAAGAGCATCCTGAATTCCAGTGTCCTTGTTGATGATAATTCCACAAATAACCTCAAATCGTGAAAGCCCCTTCATCACCTGGCATCCGATTCACTGCCAAACTCAGCACAGAGCCTGTACAGATACCATCTGTGCCAAACCATTCTACTCAAATGGGATGTTTCAGAATGATCACTGCAACCTGTTTTATACTTCTCCTAAGTCACAGACTCAAAGTAAACAAAATACCAAATGTTCCAGGCCCTGAAATAAAATATACAAAAGTGACATGCTACTGGAATTTTCAAAATGCCTTAGAAAATTACATAAATAATGCTGACTGATATATATATGATATCTCACATAAGGTAAATAGCATGTATTAACTGGCTACAACTATCAAATGATGTCATTACACCTATTAACAAAGACCAAACCAGCTCATCCATAGAAAAAGAAGGGAATCTTTGGATGCCACTACTGTGTGCCAATAATCTGTGGTATGTATAGAATAAAAGAATAAAAGGATCAGAAAGGCCTAGATTGAGCCTTGGTTCTGCCATTATGAGCAAAATGACCCTGGGGAATTTACTTGGTCTCTTTAAATTTCTTCATCTGTTAGTATTATTTCTTAAATTCTGAATATTTCCTAGATACCAGGTTTCAAGGATACATCAGAAGGCAAGACAAACACACGAAATTAAATACACTGCACACTATAGATGGATAGTAGAGGGGTTAAAGTGGCAAGCACTGATTTAATCTCTGGCTTCACTTGGTCCCCCAGGTATTGCTGAGTACAGTTCTGGAGTCCTCTGAACAGGGCCAGCTATGGGCTATATGTCCCTAAACACCACGAAGAGGGCCAGGTGATTCCCATAATGGCAAGGTCCAAGTCATCGGATCCTCTAGCCATTGCACTGAGCTGGGGCCCCTCTCTGGTGCATTCTTAGCATTACTTGGGAGACACACACCACACACATACATCACACACCTATCATATATCTAATGAAATTCCATGAAACAGCAATAAACAAGGATGGCAAGACCCACCCTCTCATAGAGCTAATATTCTCATGGACAGGTAAGCACGTGTGAAGGAAAGAAAAGGTTTACTGTTAAGGTTATATGAGATATAACCATAAAATCATATGATGGAAAGTATCTTTCAGCTTCTATGAAAAAATGATGTTTAAGTTGGATGTCTAAAAAATATCAAGGAGGGGTTGGAGCGACAGCACAGCAGGTAGAGCATTTGCCTTGGACACAGCCGACCCAGGTTTGATTCCCAGAATCCCATATGGTCCCCCGAGCACCACCAGGAGTAATTCCTGAGTGCAGAGCCAAAAGTAACCCGAGCATCACCAGGTCTGACCCAAAAAGGAAAAATATACACACACACACACACACACACACACACACATATACATATATATATCAAGGAGATGGAAAAAAGGGAGGAAGGAGAAACATCAGGAGGTAAAAGCATATTTTAAGAAGAAATATGTTGGGACAGAGCTGTGGCTAGGAGGTCACTGTCACTGTCCTCCCGTTGTTCATCGATTTGCTCGAGCGGACCCAGTAACGTCTCCTTCATGAGACTTTGTTGTTACTGTGTTTGGCATATTGAATATGTCACAGGTAGCTTGCCAGGCTTTGCAGTGCGGGCGAGATACTCGCGGTAGCTTGCCAGGATCTCTGAGAGGGAAGAAGGAATTGAACCCAGCTCAGCCGGGCCAGCTGTGCACAAGGCAAATGCCCTACCACTGTGCTATCGCTCCAGCCCTAGAAGAAATAAAAGTTTCAAAAAGAAGAAGAGTTAAAAAGATAGTTCAGGGGTTAGAACACATGCACTGCATGCAAGCAGCCATCCCTGGCGCAATACCCAGCACTGCATATGGTCACACACACCCTGCCCCAAGCACCTCCAGAATGGTCCCTGAGTACAGAGCCAGGAGTAATCCCTGAGCACTGCTGGGTGAGGCCCCCAAACGAAAAAAAATTAAATTGAATTGAAAAGAAAAGAGTGGTAGGGAAGTTTCCTTTGGAATGAACCTGTCCTATTTGATAAACGAGAAAATGCCTTTCAAGAGAGCAAGTATAAAATACCAACTAAAAAATACCAATTTCTTTTACTCATTTTATTTTAATTTGGTGGGGGGTGGGGGGATCACATACCTAGTAGTGTTCAGGGGCTTCTCCTAGCTCATTGGACACAGGTGACCCCTGAGATCATGATGTGCTGGGGATCAAAACTGGGCCTCCCGCATGTAAAGCGTGTGTTCCAGCTAACTGAGCTGGCCCTCTGGCCCCTCCTCTGCTCATTGTCAGATTTGGTTTTGAGAGCTAGAGAGAGAGTACAGGAGAATACAGGAGTTAAAGCACTTGCTATGCATGTGGCAAGCCTTGTGGTCCTAAAGGGGGGGGGGGGGGGGAGAGAGAGAGAGAGAGAGAGAGAGAGAGAGAGAGAGAGAGAGAGAGAGAGAGAGAGAGAGAGAGAGATCAGATTTTGCAACTGAGCTGTGTTTCTGATACACCGGAGACACTAACACCTTACCAGGTAGAAATGTGACTTGTAAATATTTTTCTCCCTCCCTATAGTTTATATTTCTGTGTGTGTTTGTGCCTGTGTGTTTTGTTGCTGTTTTGACTCTAGAGAAACTTTTCATTTTTCCTCCTATTATTGGTTGCTTTGGGTGTCAAATCCCAAAATTCATTGTCCAGACCAATGTCATGGGGAATTTTTCCTGGGTTTTCTTCGAACTTTAGGTCTCCCGTTTATATCTAGTCCATCTCAGGTTGATTTCGTGGGTGGTATAAGAGTTCAAATTCATTTTTCCCCCCATGTGATCATCAGTCTTTCCACACCATTTATTGGAGAAACAATGCTTCCTCCATTAAGTGTTCTGGCTCCTTATCTGACATTTATTGATGATATACCTGTGGGTTCATTTGGGGGTTCTCAGTGTCTATTTTTATGCCTAACTGTTTAATCAAACTGTTTTGATTACTTACACTTTACAGTGTAGTATGGGTTGGAAGTGTAACACCTCAGGCTTTAGTCTCCTTTCTCAGGATTGGGTAGTTGAGGTCTTTTTTGTTTCAATACACATTCCAGGATTTTCCATTTTTGTCAGAAATGACTTTGGAATCTCGACAGTGTCTCAATCTATATATGGTTCAGGGTAGCATTTCAATATGAATTCTTCTAATCCCTAAACATTTGTGACTTCAAGTTTTGTCACCAACATCTTGTAGTTTCATCATACAAATCTTCCATCTCCTTGGTTAAAGTTTTCCTTTTCCCCACCTTATCTTCCTTGTCTATGTTATGACAAAGGGGTTGCATTTGGGTACTGAGCTCACATATTTTAATTGTGGTGTAGATACACACTTTATTACAGCGTGTCAGAGGTCACAGACTTTGTTATCATGCAATGATTTGCCTGCAGGAGGTCAGGATTCAATTCCTGGTACTGTGTGGTCCCCGGAGCAGTGCCAGGAATGACTTCAGAGGACAGAACCAAGAGAAGCCCCTGAGTATGCTTGGGTGTGGCTCAAAAACAAAAAACCCAACAAAAAACAAAAGAAGTATATGGCAGATTCAAGTATTGGGTTCAACACAGTACTCAGTTTACAGTAAGCATTGAAAAGTATTTACTTTGTCCCTTTATTTAATCCTAACCAGGGACAATTCAAGAGAAGAAAACTGAGGCTGAAGGGCTCAGGGAAGTCTCACTGGCGGCACACCTGCCTGGCAGACGGGAGGACTCTGGAGCCAGAGCCCCAGCACCACCCCACTTTGCCAAGCGCAACCCTGGTAGTGCTATCACTGTGACTCCTGGTGCCCCCAGTGTGTGGTCTCAATGCAAGCGTGTCCAAACACTGAAACTCTGGGCCAGAGCGATAGCACAGCATGTAGGGTGTTTGCCTTGTACATGGCCGACCCGGGTTCGATCTCCAGCATCCCATATGGTCCCCCAAGCACCACCAGGAGTAATTCCTGAGTGCAGAGCCAGGAGTAACCCCTGAATATCATCGGGTGGGACCCGAAAAAATAAAAAAAGACACTGAAACTCTGTTTGTGACTCCTGGCAAGCATTCCAACCAAGGTGCATGAACGGAAATAAAGAAATGGGGTAGGGAAAAAGAAAAGAGAAAGAGAACTGGAGCTGAAGGAAATCATGTACTTCGTTTATACAACCAAGGAGTCATCTTGCTTAGAATTTGAACCCAGGCTTCTGTCTCAACCGAACGAACCCACCAAGTATTTTTTTCAATCTTTTTATTTATTTTTGGGTACCCCCAGCAGTACTTAAAAGTTCACTCTCAGCTCTGTGCTCAGGAATCACCCCTGAAGTGCTTGGGGACCACACGGGGGTCCTGAGGATGAAACCCAGGTCAGCGGTGTATCAGAAGGCAAGCCCCTACCGGCTGTGCTGTCTCTCCAGCCCCAGAGCACATTCTTCAAAATAAAATATTTGCGTTACATAATCAGAGAGGAAAGAAGAGGAGTCGTGGTTCAATTCTCGGGATGCCAAGAGAGGAATCCTGCAAGTGCCCACTCAGTCTCTTTTCCACATCAGACGGACCCGAGCTGAGGCCAAGCCAAGGCCCTGACCACTACTGACCATTCCAAACAAACACTTGGGGAAAGGTGCTAGATTTTGAATAGATGTTTAAGTCATGTTTGTGAAATCCTTATTTACACAAAGTTTTACATTGCTAATTAGAAAGAGAAGGTCCTGCAATCAGGCTAAAATGCCAACTATTGTTCAATTCCAAAACACATGTTTTGCTTTCACTACAAGTACCCTCCCCAGAGCCTAATTAGATGTGGCTGTCTTCTTCCTCTTACTTGAAGCAA